CGTCCGGAGAAAATAACTGGTCTACATTTCAGCATGACTCCCTGGAAATAATTCTGGATCCATCCTGTTAGACCCTTAAAAAATATCGGCTCTAGAAACGCGCCTGCGACCATCTTACATGTAATGATTTCAAGTTGATCAAGGATCCAGTCTCAGCATGGGTTCACAAACGGTCGATCATGTCTCACTAATCTGTTGATATTTTAGGTGGAAATATCAAATGATGTAGATGAAGGCAACCCGGTTGATATTCTTTACCTTGACTTCTGTAAAGCGTTTGACAAGGTCCCTCATGTTCATCTTGTCAAGACGATCCAAGCCCAAGGTATCTCATCTAATGTCCTGAGATGGATTGAAACGTGGTTGTCTGACCGTCAACAGCGTGTGATAATCAACAGTTGCAGCTCCAACTGGAGTTGAGTGAAAAGTGGGTTACCACAGGGCTCTGTCCTAGGCCAACAGTGTTCATCATCTACATCAACAACATCGGCCAGGAAGTTGACAGTCACTTGTTAAAGTTTGCAGATGACACAAAAGTGTTTCGTAAGGTTTTATCTGCAATGGAAGCTAACAACCTACAAGAGGATCTTAATATCATGCATCATTGGTCTTCGGAGTGGCATTTGTTGTTTAATGCTGAGAAATGTAAATGTCTTTCTCTCGGGCACCGAAATCTTGACTACTTCATGGGGGTGATCCAGTCCAATCTATATCACAAGAAAAGGACCTACATGTAGGAGTAATAATTCATCAGTCTCTTAGTGTCAGCAAGCAAGTTGGAGCAGCAGCTTCCAAAGCCAATCGTATCCTTGGTTTGGTCAAGCGTACCTTCTCATGCAAAAATGCAAGCATCATGCTGAAGTTGTACAAGTCACTCATCTGGCCCCATTTTGAGCAAATTCCCATGCAGGCAATGGAGACTATAGTTACAGAAAGACGTAGATGTCCTGGAAAGAGTTGTGCGTCGCTTCACAAAGATAATTCCAGAGCTCCAACACTTAGGCCCCCTACCGTACGAACAGAGGCTGGACAGGCTGGGTCTCACTCACAAGCCTTCAGACTTGTCGTTTCAGAAGAGATCTGATTGAGGTCTTCAAAATTGTGAAGGGCATGCAGCGACTAAGGGCATGTGATTTCTTCTCCTTCGGCAACTCAACAAGTAGGGACATCAATTCAAGATCTACAAACACATCCGGAAATTCAGCTTTTCTCAGAGAATCATAGACATGGAACAGTTTACCTCCTGAAGCTATCTGACTGAAAACAGTCAATAGTTTCAAGGGCCTGTTGGGACAAATCCTTCGACATAAAAAGGGAGCATTTATGAACCAGCGGGTAGCGCAGCTCCCTGCTCCGTCACCCTCCACGTCCCGGCAAAGATAATTGGTGAGATGGAGTACACAGGTAAATACAGTATTTACTTCCCATTTTTGTATATTGACGTCATCAAGCCAGAAATAACTTGTATGTGTACAAAGAACATTTACTGAAATTTATCACACCGTAAAAGATGCTTTTTTTTAACAAAATAATTTATTGTACTGTAAAGTATATTAATACATTAATATACTTATATTTTCCATATTTTAATACAATACATATTAAAGGGAATGTACATCATTGACTTTGGCTGTAGTTTCAGAATTGATTTATTTGAAGGGTTAGTATATTGCAATAGATCAAATATTATTTCACAGACATGGTTGAGGTTTTGTGTTCAAAAAGCTGAGAAAACTAAGAAAAACAAAAATGTTAAGGTAGTCTGGTTCCCTGACTCCACTTAAGATGAAATGGATACTAAATTTATAGATGCCAGAAAATTGTAAGGTGGCTTGCTCCCGTTCATGAACATGTTGTAACCAATGGAGTTAACCAAAGTGAATACGTCACACACACAAAATATGTGTTAAAGTCATTAAGCGCCTGATTCAGCCCGTGAACCAACACGCGCGCGTACTCCATTCGTTTGCACTTCATTTTCCAGTTTTAAATGTCACACTTCGGTAGTCCTTAGCAAACAAACTTTGGACTGGGAAAAAATGGTAAATTTGGAGTACTTAATTACATGTACATGTAGTTGAAAAATATTTCCACCATACCAATTAACAAAGCGAAATCTCTTTATTTGTCTGCCACAAAAAAAGCAGGGAATTCCAAAGCGTGCAGTTTTGGCGTTGTAGACAGGGGACGCTTCATGAAAAATCTGTGCTGTACGGGTCATGTAACTCATTACACATTTTTTTTTTTTTATAACTTAGACTTCTTGGCTTTAGGAAAATATATTTCCTTGAGCTTTTCAAACATATTTTAGCTTTTTTTTTACTTTCTTTTTTCAATGCCAATACACTTTTCGTAATTTCCCCAGATTATGTTCAGTATCCTCGTTTTGGTAATTTATACAAAAGGCCTAGGCTAAATACATGTAATACATATTTACCTAGGAAATGTATCTATCCCGATAATATTGTTATTATGATCATCCCAATCAACAGAGACAGTTTTCAAGATGTCGGATTTTACAACTTATGACCAAAAAATTCCAAAACATTAACTTTAATACTGACGACAGTGGGAGACCAAGAAAGGTCACTATCTGTCATATTTTTGATTTCTGCAGGAATAGCTGTAAAAAACATACTTTTTTTCCCTTCATTTTTTGCCTGAATTCCCGGTAAAGCAATATGTGTGATTTGTTTCGGCTGCTGCAGTAAGGTTCGTGCATCAAAGATTACGACCCCAGTGAAAGTATGTCATTTTTTAGGATGCACGCCTTGCAATATATAGGAAAATAGGAGCGCGTATATCATTGTTATCAATGTTTCACTCACCTTATTCACATGCACTGCAACACAACAGTGCAGACTGCAGATTTAGCATGATTCAACATGTTCAACATTCCAGTTCCAAATGCAAAATGTCTGAATGGAGGAAGTTAAGTGACCCGTCAAATCTCAGTTCACTGTTTTTTTTCATGCACGTAAAACTTGACAGAATCTTGTCGGGAGGTACGGTACGGTTGAAGTCACAAATGCAGTCTCAGCTGGCTCGTCAAGCAGACTCCGCTGGGCCAGTCCATGTCCCGTGCCAGTGGCGGGAGGAACCGATTCGTTGGTGTTACTCCTGAAGTCGGTAATCTTTATCTTTAGGACACCTCGAGTTCTGGTCAAAACAGTCAACCCTTTTGAGAGATGATTTGTAGGATTTTTGTAGCGCAAAATAATCATCCAAGTTGAGAAAAAATGCCCAAGTCTGTGGCGAACGTCATTATGGTGTACTACTATGTACTATTACTTTATTAGTCTGGTTCCCAGATTTTGACATAAAAAAAAACGCGGCAAGTTCTATTTCTCACCAGTGTTACGGAGGTGTTAAAAGGACAAAATACAAACTAAAAAAATCATACTTATGACTTATCATAAGACATTGTTATGACTTATACATGTACTTACAATAATGACTTAGTATTAAGTCTTAATTATGACTTTTATCTCATAATTACGACTTAGCAATTATTCAATCATAATGACTTAAATCTCATGATTATGACTTCATATAAATTCATAATTATAACTATTATTATTTATTTAGTTTGTATTATGTCCCTTTAACACTTCCGTAATTTCTGACGAATTGATGAAGGGAAGTTTATGTGCTTGATCGAATTACGACAGGATATATCCACAATTTGTATTTTGTATATCGTCATATACGCATGCTTCGACTCATTTAATGGCGCCCCGTTGATTCGGCCGCTTAATTGCTATGGCCGTGTCCGAAACGGGCTTCCAGAGCTACGGCTACGTCTATTGTCAGCGCGTCTCCGCGTATTTTCAAAGGGCACAGACCTAGACCTAGCTCTAGGCAGTTGATTCGGATGCAGCCATATAAAGCGCCACGTGTATATTAAGTAATTCAAATTACAGGCAACAGCGCCCTCATTCTTTGATTGGAGTATTTGTTTTTAGATATAGCGCCCTCTAACTAATGATCGGAAACAGCTGGCTTCGCTCGTGGCCAGCCCGCCGTTTGTGCCCTTAAGCCAGGCACTTAATCATTATATACACTCTTGTTTTTTTTACCGCAAACTTTTGTCAAAATATCATTTTTAAAAGCTGATCTGTCCGGATTTCGAATCGGAATGTGTTCTACAGTCCTTTAGGCATCTTTCCAGCAAATTTCAAGCAATTTCATTTTTTGGCCAAAATTGAAAAAAAAACACAAGGGGTTAGCCTTACTTTTTTGATGAAATTTGGCCCAAAGATGACTTTTCTTCAAACTATGCAGAAATCCTTTTAAAGGTGAGAGGAGCATCAATCAGCATTCAAACGCCTAATATTTGAAACATTTTGGCTGAAATCATCAATTTTTATTGGAAAAAAAAGATATTTTAGATTGTTTTTTTCCCCGCAAACTTTTGTCAAAATATCCTTTTTAAAAGCTGATCTGTCTGGAAATCGAATCGGAAGGTGTTCTACAGTCCTTTAGGCATCTTTCCAGCTAATTTTAAGCAATTTCATTTTTTGGCCAAAATTGAAAAAAAAACACAAGGGGTTAGCCTTACTTTTTTTTGAAATTTGGCCAAAAAATGACTTTTCTCCAAACTATGCAGAAATACTTTTAAAGGTGAGAGGAGCATCAATCAGCATTCAAACACCCAATATTTTAAAGATTTTGGCCCAAATCATCAATTTTTGGTGAAAAACAAATTAATATTTTACACTGTTTTTACCGTTAACTTTTGTCAAAATATCCTTTTTAAAAGCTGATCTGTCCAGAAATCGAATCGGAATGTGTTATAGGGTCCTCTAGGCAGCTTCCCAGCTAATTTCGGGCAATTTCATTTTTTGGCCAAAATTGAAAAAAAAAACAAGGGGTTAGCCTTACTTTTTTTGGAAATTTGGCCAAAACATGACTTTTCTCCAAACTATGCAGAAATGCTTTTAATGGTGAGAGGAGCATTAATCAGCATGCAAAAACTGAAACGAGTCTTGAAACAACACTTCCGAAAATCTGTGGAAATCTTTATTGAAAATAAGTCAAAAAGTTTAGAGATGACTGAAAACTATTGAAATATGACAAAAATAGTCAAAATATGACTGAGAAGAGCTCAAACTTGACTAAATGATTTGTTCAAACATGACTGAAAATTAGGCCGAACAGGACTGAACATTAGTCACAACAGGACTGAAAAGAAGTCCAAACTGAACTGAAAATGTATTTAATTTGGTGTGGAAAAGTCTGGTATAAGAAAATGCCATATTTTGAAAATGTCCACAAAACATCGGAAACTCTTCATGAAACAGGTCCAGTTTGAGGGATCCGTGCTTTCATGAAATTTGTTGAATTTGGATCGTAAATTCATGCCATGCCTACTATATTTTAAAAATGGTCAATTTTAAGAAGAAATGGTGTCGAAGAGGTAATTCACCAAAGTTTTTGATATCAACACTCGGATTGTAATCCGGAAAGAATTTTTATTTTTGTTTTTGATGCAATTCTGTAGGTGAAATATATAAGCAACGTAAACCTCCGACTTTATATCAAGTCCTCTGATTTAAAAACACTTGATTCATAAACTAAGGCCACACAACTATATATGCCATTTCCAGAGAATGATTTTAAATTTCGAAAAGAATATACTGCCATTGACTTTTTTAAATTTACAAATTATTAAGCGCACATTATCAGTGCTAATATCTACTTGAAAATAAACTTAACACTAAACTAAAAGTGATCATTTTATATTTTTTGCATTTAACTACACCAGCATGTAAAAAATGTACATGTACTAAGTAATCAAAATACACGCTTTGTGAATGCATGTACATGTATAGAGTTCGTAACACAAAAAGTAGCAATTATGACATAGGTCGAAATTTTTGGGGAAAAAAAGATAATAGTGGAGGAGCTCAAGTATTTTTTCTGGTCTCTTAATACACAGGTTGATGAATCAGTAACTTGATGGCAATTTGATCAAGGCAACATTACACATGCAGTCGCAGCCATTTAGCTACCTCATCATAGTTTTGATCCATCCATCTGATATTGGCACTGATCACGGCCAGTGATTGGGTGAATGCTCTGGAGCCTGTGCCTTGATCTGGGTGCTCTGCCATGAATCGTTTCACCTGATGAAAACAAAACAAACACAATATATCAATGGCAAGACTCATTAACATAAATACTAATAACATAAATAACAAGACCCATAACAGAAATGACAAGACTCATAACACAAATGACAAGACTCATAACATAACTGACAAGACTCATACCAGAAATGATCAGACTCATAACAGAAATGGCAAGACTCATAACACAAATGACAAGACTCATAACACAAATGACAAGACTCATAACACAAATGACAAGACTCATAACACAAATGACAAGACTCATAACACACATGACAAGACTCATAACACAAATGGCAAGACTCCTAACACAAATGACAAGACTCATAACACAAATGACAAGACTCATAACACAATGACAAGACTCATAACACAAATGACAAGACTCATAACACAAATGACAAGACTCGTAACACAAATGACAAGACTCATAACACAAATGACAAGACTCATAATGGAGACTTATCTGTTATGAATGACCAGAACTTATAAATACAAGGCAATTACACAAAAAACCTCGACACGTCACAAGTACCTTATCAAGCTCAGCTTGGGTGTTGAAGTCATTAGTCACTGCCGTCACGACGTTTTCAAGCAAAAACACACTATTTCCATACCTTCAATAAATATACGGAGAGTCAAATTTACAGTCATGTAAACTGTACAATATAACAAGATGGCCCCTCGTGGGAAGCTTAAAGTTCCCCGATAAACACTTTACACAGCAAGGCTTTGTAAAATGTTTTTGGGTTTAAAGGCTTTTTGTGTGAAGTGTGAAAACGCAACTTCATGTAGGTTAACTGACTGTCTGGTTATTTCTAAACGCTTGCATTAGACTTGTTTGAGATAAGACCGATCATTCACAAACTACAATATTCACCCATGCAAACTGGTACATGAATACCTTATTTCATTCACTGTCTCTAAAACACAAGAAACACAGCCCATCTATAGTTCTTGCATGAAATTCTGATGATTGACCAAAGCCTTTTCAGTATTTTATGGTTATTAAATGTAAACTGCATAACTAAGTCCAACCTTTTAGGCAGAGTCACATTCTAACACAGGGTGGTCAAAAAAAACAACTTCATACTTCCCCTCTTCAGAGACCTACACTGTGGATAGGAAATTATGTTGGAAGGGAAATGATACAAAGAACCCTCAATTCGGTCCAGTAGTTTTGATTCCAGCATCATTTTTGTCAACCAAAATCGGGGGCTCAATTTAGGATTATCCCTGTCATGCACTAATGATTTCAATCCTGGTCATGTTTGTGTTATTCACCCAAAACCAAATAACCATTAACTTTGGTTTACAAAAATGTTGCTGGAATCATAACTACAGAACTGAATCAAAACTTCTTGGTATCATTTTCCTTCTAACAACTTTTCCTAGCCATGGTTAAGGTTCCTGGATATTGGAAATATGAGGTTGCCTTGTTGGTTTTTTTTTTGACAAACCTGTGTTTACAGAAACTGAGTACAGTGTTACCACAGAACAAAACTAAGTGCAAGTATTACGTTTCTCTGAAGAAGGCCCAATTCTGGACAAAGAAGTCCCATGCCAAGGTCCGTCCTTCCGGGTTGCCTGCTACTGCTGAAACCACTGCTTGACCATCTTGAGCTCGTATCAGATTGGTATCAAGAACTTTTTCCAGATACCTGGTATCAATGAAAAAGGGAGGTTGTATTTATCTATAAAATGAAAAGTCAATCTGAGCACATTCATCACTTCATGATAATTCTTAAGGTGAGGGAAGGGATAAGTTGATACCAACCCTATAGCCGTCTAATGAGGGAGCAATACATCCTATTTTAAAAAGCACATTTTTAAGTTAAGTTTAACAGTAATGCATTGTACCATGTTCAGTCAATGCCGTCAAATTGTATATTTTCACCCGTCATAAACATGATTTTGTGAAAAGTTAAAATAGTGCTGCAAAAAATGCACATGGTGTGCAGAAACAAAAAATGATTGCATCTTCTGATGTCTGAACACCCACTGCAACAGCATGTAATCACAAGTGAACTAAATGCGCCGAGTGTAATTGATGATTAAAATCACAGTACCATGACTTGCTATAACAAATGTAGCTGTACAGAAACCAAATAAGATTATTTACTTTTGTAGAGTGTCTCTATCTTTACTGCATGCCATGGCTGACTCTAAGACATCTTTGAGTGAGGAGACTGTGTTAGAATCATTATAAGCTGCAAAGGCAGCATCCCATTCAGTCGATCCACCCACGGCAATGGCTGTACAAAACACCGTGGATTGGAGATCAGGTTGAATACTGCAAGAAAATTTAAAAATTGAGTTATTAAAATTCGAGCATGGATTGGACTACATCATAGAAGTTATAGACATAAAGTATCGAACTTGTGACAACATAAATATTAGCTAATAGACCCCTCATAATTGAAGGAAACATCGCATGCATGCAATGGTCAGAGCTTGCAAATGACAGACTAAATTCCAACGGATTTGCAAAATCAAAAATGACCTTTGAAATAAAGGGAATACAACATTGGCTTTTGCTGTAATTTTCAGAAATCGATGGATATGGGGGGTTAGTATTTCATAGCAAATATTGTTACACTTACTTGTTTGAAATGTTGTGTTCATAGATGCTGGAAAAACCAAGAAAAACAATCATGTTCCTGTAGTCTAGTTCCTGACCCCACTTTAATTGAAATGGAGCAATTTAAAGATGCCAGGGAATTGTAAGGTCAGGGAACCAGTCTAGAAGGCTTGTACACATTCATAGATGTGTAATCATTTGCAAACAAAATGCAGACTAAATACGGTAAATTTGGGGCAGTACTTGAAAAAAAAAAGTTTTTTTCTAACGCTGGTCGGCCAACCAGTGTTGGAAATTGATACAAAAATACCACTTTTCTTGAAAATGACAGCACACCAGGTGCCATAATTTTACAGGATGCTTTAGACTGTCACTCACTAACAGTCCAGTAAGGTATTTCACAACAATTTGGTAGTTTCGTTTTTTGATGTTTGCAAATGTTCCCTATAACCAGGACTAATGCTGTTATTGTGCCCCAATATGTTGCATTTGCTGTACTTGACTATTAGGCATAGAGTCCTCAAATTTAGATGCTGATAAGTCAACTTACGTAGTGTCAGTAGGATTGTTCATCCAATCTTCAAACAGCACTTCAGACTTCTCGACACAATCTGTGTTGCGGTATCTGCATGCCAAACTGATGGCCCTTGAACGACCCAACCTACAAAATATATGACAACCAGAAATTGACTTTTCAAAAAAATTTTAAAGCAAAATTTACGTTGTCAGGAACTCGTAATCAGGAAATCAGATCAATTTATACACAAAACAATTTTTTTTTCTTTCTCTGCTCAAAGTGGCAAACACCCTTTGTTTGCAATAATAGTAAAGTGAAGCTAAACATGTTCACTGCCCCTCTCCTGGCTTCTTCTCCACACTAATATTACACAGCTGCAAATTAACCAAACCTGGTCATTACAAACAAAAAATAAAAAGACTAAAACAAATGAAAGACAGCATTTTTTCTTTAGATTTATCATTTTGATGTCATCTCATTAAAATGGTGACTTAATCCAGCACTTTCATTTGATAATCTTAGCTAAAACAAAAAAGGAAGAAAACAAAGGTTTATTCAGCACAAAACACAGGATATGCAGTTGCTTAAGGACCGAATGCAAGCAAAGGTTTACTAACTGACCGTTTCAGATGATCTCCTTCATCATCCCATCCTGTATAAGTATACATTGGAGTCACTTTCTCCTTCATGTACTCCTACAGAAAACACAGCACACAAAATTGTCATGGACAAATTCACTGAGAACATTGCCAGTGAAAAAGATGTTCAACAATGTCGAAAGCAACATGCCATTAAAAAAATGCCAGTAAAATATGGAATGAAAATTCTGACTTCATTTTGTGAAGTTGATGAAGCTAAAAGACAGATAGAGCAGCATTTTAAAACTATCACTTACCATGAAGTTCTCATTGGCATCTGAAAGAGCCAAGTTATCCCCAATATAACCCATGACGCGGTCAACAGTATACCAAGGAACATAGTCTCTTTCCTCATCCAAGTAAGATGTCAGATCCAAAGCTTTGGTCTGGCTAAGATCCCCAGACCTCGCCAAGTTGAAGGCATCATAGAGAAGGGCTGAACGACTCGGTACAGATATCACCTGCAATAAAATGTTTCTGGTATTTTTATGAAACCTCTCTTTCGTATTTTGCCCACAATAATGGTATTTCAGATTGTTGTACAGTTAATGTATTACCAAAGTTTGTCTCCTTTGCATTCAAGAAAGATCTTGATTCAATCCAACGTCACATACACCTTCAAAGTTTTTCAATCAGGTCAATAAAGCAGTCTGTTCTTTACTGTTTCAAAGTTTAATCCAAAGTTGTTTTTTTCAAGTTTTCTCTCATCCAATGAATTTAAATCAAGAAACTCCAGCTTTTCATCTGCTCAATATTTATTATGTACCGTGTGTTTTGTCATCAGCTGTGCGCTGAGTAAAGCCAAGTTTTTGGCATCATAGTTGACGCTGTAAAAACCTCTCTCATCCACGTTGACCAAAAACCAGTCATTATCACCACCGGCGCCATCTAAGACCATTTCAGCTGGTGAATAAAGGTAGATAGAGAGACCTTCGTATCAAAGTTTTATAAGCACAATAATGAATGCATGCCCTTTATCCCAGAAAGGGTTGATTTAATATGGAAAGGATTCCCAGAGAGTGAGTTTATTTAAGCTGCAGGCCCAGTGTAAGCAGCAGCCAGGACTTGGTGAAGGTAGTACCATTTGCTAGAAGAATTCATCCTCTAGTTTTTTTTATTCCGTAAAGAGAAGTCTCCGAACCAACCAAACCATATTCAATGATCCTTATTCAACATATAAAAATGACACCGACATCTTCACAGGGTTTCACCAAATGTAAAAACTTTGACCTACTGGTTTCTTGATCAGGTCTCATCCAGTGACTCTCGGGACTAGCGAAGTCTGGATTACCTCCTGCTGTGTAAGTCAACGGCACATGCCATTTGTATCTACAAATCAATGAAATTTAGCAACAGAAATTTTATTTTTAACATATATTGGTTCATTTAAAAAAAAAAATATTTATTTCATAAAGAAATTTATTTTTTCTTACACTGATCTATGCCAATTCCACTTCCAAAAACTGAGTTAATCCCTCATCTTTAAAAAGAACAATGAATCATTTGGTTCATAACACATACGTTTTTAATTTTCAAACATGTGAAACTCTTGAGGGGGAGGGTGTAGTCTGTGACATGGGATAAGGGTCGGTCAGGTTGGGGGCAAGGGGTTGGGGGTAGAATACACCTGTGAGTTATTGAAAACCCTGGCATTATTTGCCTTTCAGGTTGAATTCGCAAACCTTTCCAGCAGCTTTTACTGCTTTAATTCTAAAGAGCTTGATTAACTCACCCAAGGTCTGGGTATGGTGACGTCGTGTCTGAAGTCGGGTCTGCCAGGAATCTCTTCTGTGTAGCTGTAGCAGTGATCTTATTGGCTTGCCCAGAGTATGTCCTTGTTACCGTGACAACAGGGAAGCCCATCTGATTGGTCCATGTGTCCATGATGGTTGCTATGTCTGTAATCCCATCACCAAGGTCAACTCCAGCCTCCCTCATTTCCTGAGAAGGGACAAAAACTTTGAATCATGCGGTTGCTGAATGATGAGCACATAAATTGTACTTCAAAGTGATGAACATTTAAAACATTTGCTAATGAGATTGTCTTTATTCGATTTCACTAAATTGTTTTATCTGTACTTAGTACTGCAATCTTGCTTTCTAAAATGTAGTATCTCTAGTGACGACAAACATAATAATCCCTCTAAAATACAATATAGTTTGTCAAAGACAGCCAACTTCATAGGAAAATTACAACTGCGTATTCAATGCCATCAGGTATGTGTGCGCACATTGTGCAAAATTCTGTAGGCAGTGACATCATTGGAGAGATATCTATGCAAGTTTAACGTTATGCAAATTATTTATTACTGAAACAGTAAGGATTTATCAGGTTTGTACTTGTATTTTATTATCAGGGAGTATTTGTGAAGCTAGAACAATGTTCAGCATTACAGAAATATGTCCATGATAGACTAGTGTTAATTGTCATCATTTAAAGCTTTTTTTGAATGATAATGCAGTAAAGACTAGGAGTAAGCCTTTAGCTGAGGTTATTCAGTAACCCAGCAATTATCCATTAGTTTATCCGCCTTCTACCTTGTTGACATGGTACCAGAGATCGCTGTTCTCAGCACCGCTGTACTGCTTGCCTCGCAGATAAGACTACAACAAAAAAGAATGGATGGAACTGTCTTGAATAAAACCATGAGCCAAACTGTTAGACTCAAATACATTTTGAGTAGTTGATATTATTTGACAATCTTACATGTAGGGTATGTGTCCTCTGTTCCTTATTTGGCCCTAAACTGGGCATTCTATATGTACTTCCTCTTCCTAAGTACATGTATATTGTAACTTGTGTTACAATAACATTGTTAATAGGAACATTTGTTTTGCAATGCACTATGTGCTGAAAATAGATCTCTTAATTAAAATTACCTTAAGGCCTTTCAGGAAGATGTCATTGCCGACAAAGTGACTTGCCATTCTCAAAACTGAAGCACCCTGTAGATTTAAACAATAATAAACATTTAGCATACATACAAGCTGCCAACATTCAACATCCTTTCACCTAAAAACCACATATCCACCTTATGACTGGCAAACAATTATAGGCCAAACCTCAATAAATTTAGAATGATCTCAAGAGACTTCATTGGGCCATGGCAAAGTTCAAATTAATTTAACTTAGAATCATTGTATTTAAACCACATACCAAATTGGTCATTTTGGTAAAGAACAGCTTCATCACAGGGTAGGGCTTCAAACTTCCTGATTCTAAGCCTCTTACTTGAGACTCTGTCTCCATGTCTCAATATAGACACAGGTACGTACCCTGCCACAAACACATCAGATCACTCAATTCAAAGCCACATTGAGTCATCTTCACATGGAGAAATGGTCCTTTGGCCAAAGATGAAGACAAAGCTGGACACACAAAATGTGCAAAACGGCCACTACTGGTGATTAGTATAATCAGTGTACAAAGAAGATGAAATACTGACCTTCTGGTATGTTATGGTGTCAAACATTTCGTTGATTTCTGATGGCGTCAATGTTTTGGCGACGATAGGTCTGGACGAGGTCAAAGCATCAACACCCATTGCTCGGTTCAGGTCATAAATCACAAACTTGTCCCACTGTTTCAACAGAACAGATACTTCTGATTAATTTTCGTCTCATCATTTCTTATAGGTGAACTACTTACCAGGTTTCTATGATATTCTACAAACAATGAATTCTGTTGACTCCATGCATAAACACTTGATGGCACTTTGGGACTACATTCAGGAGACACAGTAAGTGGGAATAATCATAATAACTCCCTCTCTCTCTCTGTTACCATTGAGGGCGTACTTGTCCACAGAATCCATAGGAAAACATTCAAAATGACAGGAGAATAATTTATAAAATGATAGGAGAATAATTGGTCATAGAGACAGGTGCAAGCAGGTGGGTTATGGAGAATTATTTGTTATATTTTGGGGACATTCTAGATATCAAATCTTACCATTGCCCAGTCTTGCTCCACTTCATCAGTCCCAATGTATTCTACCCAGCTTGCAAAGCCTTCATTCAGCCAGAGATAATCCCACCATCTGGTTGTCACTAGGTTACCGAACCACTGCAAATAAAAGAAATAAATCAGTTCCGGTCCAGGGTATTAAAATAAATGAGCCAACTTCTATCGCATTTTTGGCACAACTTTCGGCATGTCAGGAGGAATTTAGACATCCACACAGCTCTTGACATTATAATTGTAACTTTACAATGCATTAAATGACTCACTTGATGAGCTAACTCATGAGCAATGACAGCACAGACACTCTGTTTACGACTCTCTGATGAAACTCCCTTCTCATACAACATACGAGATTCCCGATAAGTTATCAGACCCCAATTCTCCATGGCTCCAGCAGTGAAGTCTGGCAGAGCAATCATATCTGATGAGAGACCAGCGGGAAATAAGTACACAAATCCACTAACTTCCCTTTCTTTCCATCACAATTTGTTTTTCATTTCCAATCCCACATCAGTGCTATGGAGACATAATGCAGTTAACAATTAATACTCTTGAGTAACAGAATAATCTAAAAAAAAAAAAAAAAAAAAAAAAAAGCAGCCCAACAAATAAATTGATACAAGTTATCAGGTAAAAATAACAGAATAAATTGATAACAACAGATTGTTAAACATGCTTTTATAAATTTCAAGAAAATGTAGCTTACCCAATTTAGGTAAGGGGTACTTGATGTCTGATCCATACAAATTGTCAAAGTAGTCTAGAATTTCCACTCCCTTCTGAAGAGCATAGTCAGTTTGGTTGATAAAATCTTCCTGGGCCCAAACTCCAAACTGAAACAAATGAGAAAATAATAAATTTGTGAGAAGGATTTTAGAGAAAAAAAATTGCATTTTTGACTAACAATCCCTTAAAAATGTTGAGGCGTTTGTTTTTGTAGTCAACTAAATTCTTCCATGTGACACAACCACATAAGCATGACTACAGATTTCATTATAATATCTCTTCCATTTTATGATTCATTCATTGTTCCGCACCAATTTAGATATAAACTCACCTCCACACCATTTCCAGTAGTCATAGTCTTATTCTTGAAATCACTTATGACATAGCAGACAAGATAAGTAGACATGACGACACTTTCTTGGAAACTTGCTCTGATCCATTCACCACCATCTATTGGCACAGGTGGACCAATCAGGGGCATGTTGGCTAAGGCGTGGTACTCAGGCTCATGCTCCAGGGTGATATTAAAGGTAGCTTTGAAATCAGGCTCATCAAAACATGGGAAAGCTTTACGGGCATCCACAGGATCAAAGAAGGTGCTTGCAAGATACCTGTTGCAATTTACAAATGTTCAATGTGTCAACCTCTGATTGCAAAGCCATTACTGCGCCATCAGCATCGATGTTAAAATACAAGGGTTTTGCTACCCAGCTAATCACTTGTACTTAATGATGTCACCTTCCAAACTGAATATCAAATGATGAAAGTCAATGAAATGTGAATGATATTTGTGAATGACAAAGATCAAGTCGGCCTTGTTCTGTGCACAAACAAATTTAAGCATATGTAACTTTTATTAGGGGGTGACCAAGGACGTTCGAGAAAGTTGTAAGCATTTAAAGTGCATAGGGCCTATACATTAACAAATGTTGTACTTTCTCACCTTTCCTTTTCGCCAGATTTCGGGGTATAGCTACTCCAGTAGTAGCCCTGCCGGTCATTACGCAAGACGTTATTGAAATCAATATGAAGACGTAGCTGGGCCCCTACTTCAAGTAATGCATCCAACTGTATGACAATGAACTCGTTTTCCGGATACAGCCAAGGAGTCACTTGCAATCCTGGGGCTTGTCCACCATTCACAGGTGTTAAGGTAATTGCATCAACAGGGATAGTTAAGTTCCGACTATGTACGAGAATTATGTCAGTCTTTTCAAAGCACTCAATCAAGATATCCACAGAGCCATTGAAGACAAAGTTGGTCAGGTCTGTTCGGACCTTGAGGTCGTATGTGATGGGCAAGACGGCGTCTGATAAACGAATCCTCTCCCATGGTTCCTTGCTGAAACAGAGAAAACACAAGGATATATTGAATTATGCTGACAAATCCCTTGCATAGTGTCTATCAAAAAATCATACATGTTATCACTCACTCACTACATTAGAGAATACACATATGATAAATTAAAGTACTTAATTAAAAAAATAGTAGAAGGCTGCAAAGGAAAGAACAAAGCTGTCTGAATTTCAGAAGTCAAACAGAATCCTTCAAGTTTTTGTACCTGGCATTATCAAGCCATTCCTCCACTTCATCGTAGTTTTGTGCCATCCATCTGATATTGGCATTGATTTCAGCGACGGACTGTGTGAATGCCTGTTTCCCTGTTCCTTGATCTGGATGGTCAGCCATGAACTTCTCAACCTGGTGGACAGATATACATATGACCAAATGTACGTCAATGCAATTGGACTCATCCAGGATTTGAACCCTAGACCTCTGAATTGCAATACGTCATAGTCTTTAAGGTTTCTCACTTCCTTGTGTCAGGCAAGCAAATACATCTATAATCATATTGAAGACTGCCTTTTGCACATTACCTTATACATGGTGAAGGCTTGTCAAAGAAAGAACAAGTCTGTTTGACTAAAACATGTGAATCTCCAAATATGAAAATGTAATCTTTTGTCAATATCAAACAAACTGAAATATTAGCATGGAAAATCCACAAATGTATGCAAACGTGAGGAATAAAGCAAACTTGTACCTCTAGAAGTCTGTCAGGCGTATTGAAGCGTGTTGTGACTCCGATAATGAGACTATCAAATAAGAAAACTGTACTGCCATACCTGCAACAAAGAATATTACTTTTACATCAAGAGGAAGGGATTAAGACAAAATTTTCACATGTCATGGTGCTCAGACCATCCCAACAAAAAGCTCAAATCATCTTTCAAGAAATTAGTCCAAAATATTCAACAATAACTCAAATCTTGACATTACATATTTGCCAGTTTGGTGCTAATTGTGTTGAGATGAAAACTGTACGTTTAGCACTATCAACTTACGCCTTCCTGAAGAAATTCCAGTTTTCTCTGAAGAAATCCCAAGCTAGATCGGTGCCAGCAGGGTTAGATGCAACAGCCACAACTACGTCTTTACCATCTTGTTCACGGATCAAACTAGTGTTGAGTACTGCATTCAGGTATCTGCTTGTTGAGATGACAATATTGCATTGGTTGCATTATTTGTTATCCAAATTTGCACAGTAAGGAATCCTTCACAAACAAAATAATGTTCTTTTCTCTTTTTTACTGGCTGTGGTTTGGATATTTCTATCATCAATAAACAATTCTACAGATTTTCATGATAGTTTGGGTTGTTTTTAAACAAAAACCTACCTGTTGAGAATGCTGTAGTCTTTACTGCAAGCCAAGGCAGATTGTAGATTGGACTTGAGTGAAGTATCTGTACCACTATCAGTGTAAAGGTCAAAGGCAAACTGCCATTCTGCTAGGGTACCCTCAGCGATGCCAGTACAGAACACAGTGTACTGTACATCAGCCTCAATCCTGTAACATTAAATGCAATGATTCAAATAAAACTCTCAAGGTTTTTTCACATTGCTTAAAACTATTCCAAGAAAAATGTACAAATCATAACCCCTATAAACCTGAATAAAAATAGGAGTTTTCCCATATAATAGAAGGGCCAATATGACCTTGATCATTTCCTTGGAATAAAAACTTGTTTGGAAAAATGAAGTCTCTAAATACAACACTTGTGTATAACCAACAGTAGTTATGATAAGATGTATGGCCAGAACGACAACCATTTCTTTAACCTGAATTTCTACTGACAGATGCTAGTCACCGAAAACAAAACATAACCATGATACAGCATACAAATAGTTACACTGATGGACAAGGCATTATCTGTTGGAAGTGGTGATAAAATAACTGGGTTCTTACTTGTTGGTGGTCATATCTGACATCCAGGCTGCATACCGCTCAGAGGCTTCCATTCTACAATCTTCAATTCCATAACTGCAAGCCATGCTAATGATCCGTGCACGACTCAATCTGTTACCAATAAATCACATTGAGATGGAGTGGATTGTAAACTTGTGAACCTGAAAGCTACTATAAACTTAAAAGTGCTTACCAGTAAATACAACTTTACTGTATATAACAATGTCTTGACACACAATTTTAATTCTTTTGACTGATTCCCAGCTTAATGATAAGATTTCTGCTATGAAAAAGGTTCCTTGTTCTTTAAAGCAAACTTGACTGGCTTTCATAGGATTTTGCATCTTACTAACTTTTGGAGGTGGTTCCCAGTGTTGTTCCATCCAATGTCTTCATACATGGGCTGAATCTGTTTCCTCATGTAACTCTATTAACAAGCAAACAAAACAAGGAAACGTCATGCAATCTGCACTTGAACAATGTCAGTTATTTTGCTGTGCTGAAAGCTAATAATGTGGTACTAGTGAAGAGGAAACAGTTAACACCGGAAATATACAGAAATCTGCCAAATAGTGTACTAACCTCAAATGATGCATTAGCTGGTGTCAGAGCCAAGTTATCATTGATGTATCCAAGGACGCTATCCACAGTATACCAGGGAACATAATCTCTCTCATCTTTCAAGTAAGTTGTCAGATCCAGAGCCTTAGCCTGACTCAAATCACCTGCTCGGGCTAAGCTGAAAGCATCACTGATAAGAGCTGAACGACTCGTGGTTGATATCATCTGTAAAGCAGTAAAAAAGAAAAAGAGAATAAAAAAAGGAAGCAAATATGGAAATGATCAAAAAGCAAAATGCAGACTAGGAAACAAAATGCTATACTTTACCGTGTGATTATTGATGAGTTGTCGTGACAGGAGTTTCCAGTTATTTGCATCATAGTTGACGCGATAGAATCCTCTCTCATTCACATTGACCAGCAACCAGTCAAAATCACCACCAGCCTCTTCAATTTCAGCTACAAATACAACATCATGATAAATAGTATAATGATTAAAATCACCACCAGCCACTACACATACAACATCATGACAAATAGTAAAATGATTAAAATCACCACCAGCCACTTCAATATCAGCTACAAATACAACATCATGATAAATAGTATAATGATTAAAATCACCACCAGCCACTTCAATTTCAGCTACCAATACAACATCATGATAAATAGTATAATTATTAAAATCACCACCAGCCACTACAAATACAACATCATGATAAATAGTATAATGATTAAAATCACCACCAGCCACTTCAATTTCAGCTACCAATACAACATCATGATAAATAGTATAATGATTAAAATCACCACCAGCCACTTCAATTTCAGCTACCAATACAACATCATGATAAATAGTATAATTATTAAAATCACCACCAGCCACTACAAATACAACATCATGATAAATAGTATAATGATTAAAATCACCACCAGCCACTTCAATATCAGCTACAAATACAACATCATGATAAACAGTATATGATCAAATCCAGGTGCTACGAAGGATATTAAACAAAAGGGAAATAATACCCTGCAAGTTTTGTTAAATATTCAGACTTGCAGTGAAGTGTAAATTCGAACTAGCCTTTGCCAATTTCTGAAATGTAAACTTGTGCAAGTGTATTTGCTATTGGCTGTTACAGATGATATTTAATCTTTTAAATCTCTTTCACAGATTCCTTTCATTTGTTATTCTTGTAATCCTTTTACATCTCATTCAAGGTTCAGGAATCTATCGCGCTTTCATCAACCAAATCTTACCGTTTTCATTTGTCAACATCCACTTGCTGCGTGGTTCATCAAAATCTGGATCCATTCCTGTGGTGTACGTCAGTGGTACATGCCATTTGTACCTGCCAACAACATGCATAACAACCTCTTGATCATATAATGCCGGGAAAAACAGTGGATACCGAGGACTTAACCAGAAATTACAGGAATATGTAGAAAACTGTTGATTTACAATGATTGACAACTGTTTGAGAATGACAAGCCAAATGACAATCAAATTATAATCACTTTCCTCGCCTTCCACCGCTGTGACCCAGGTTTGATTCCTGCCTGGGCCAATATGTGAATTGGGTTTTCAGTCCCTAATTGATGCAATGGGTTTTCCTCAGAATGGTCTTTAGGGATTTCCTCCCACATCTAGATCTGTAATTTCTTCACACTGTCTACTCTTTACTGGGCCCCACAAGAGACCAGTTGATTCCACTGAATGGGCCCCCCAGCTAAAATAAGAAATAAATAAATCACTTCACAAAAGCAACTACCCAAATCAAGTTCATACCTCATTATATCTAAATAAACAGTGAGAAATAAATGAAACGCACCCCAAGTCTCCATAGTTGGAAGAGCCAGTATCAGATGCAGGATCTGTCAGGAACCTCTTCTGCGTTGCTGTAGCAACAATCTTGTTTGTATTTTCACCGTACGCTCTTGCTACAGTGACAGTTGGGAAGCCCATCTGTCTTGTCCAAGTATTCATGATGGTTCCGACAGTAAGACCAGCAGTGGGGACATTGTCCTCTGTTGCTGCCTGTCAGAATCATTACAATAAACAGGTGAAAATCAATTCCTTCAAACCACAATAGTTTGAATCAGTGCTCTTACAAAACTTCAAATTTTGAATACTTGTCATTTATTTTATATATGCACTCATCCCATTGATGAGTGGGTTAATAAGAGCATCCATCCCTCATCCTATTTGAGAATGGGTCTGTATACGTAGGATGCATACATGGACCCATCCCATTTGAGAATGGGTCTGTAGAATGCATACATGGACTCATCCTAATTGAGAGTGGGTCGGTAGGATGCATACATGGACTCATCCCATTTGAGAATGGGTCTGTAGGATGCATACGTGGACTCATCCCATTTGAGAATGGGTCTGTAGAATGCATACATGGACTCATCCTAATTGAGAGTGGGTCTGTAGGATGCATACAAGGACTCATCCCATTTGAGAATGGGTCTGTAGAATGCATACGTGGACTCATCCCATTTGAGAATGGGTCTGTAGGATGCATACCTTGACCTATCCTAATTGAGAATGGGTCTGTAGGATGCATGCATGGACTCATCCCATTTGAGAATAGGTCGGATGGATTATTCCATTTGTAGAATGATCGAGACCCATAAACTCAACATCTTCCAGACTAACCATCTGTATTAACCACTACAATCCTACCTGCTGCAAGTAGGTCCATAGATCACTGTTGTCTGCAGTATCATACTGTCTGGCCCGAAGGTAGTACTACAAGGGGACAAATTTACAGATAAGTATTTAAATGATCTACAACATGTATGTTACATCACTTTATACTTGATTTCTGTCAGATGATTCTCAATGCTTTAAAGCTGCAGTATCTTAGATGTTGAGGATTCCTCAGTTTTCTTGCCACAAATTTGTCCTTTCAGTTTTGGTTCAACTGAATTTTAATGTACTGTATTTAAGTTTATAGGTATGAAGGTTCAATTCCTATGGGTACAGACATTCGTTTGAATAAATCTAGAGTTTTACCTTAAGTCCATTTGTTAATGTTTCTTCACCCAGAAAGTATCTCATCATACGAAGAAGTGATGCACCCTTTATTCAAACAAAAGAAAAATATTGTCATGAGTAGAACGTTAAGTCTGATTAAACCAAGATCAATTATCCAAACCGCAATTAATTATGTTTTTTACTTTTTACCTTGTTATAAGAGATCCTGTCAAACATGATGTTGATTTCTGAAGGTGTTGAAACTGGAATGACAACTGGTCTTGATGTCACAAGTGCATCAGACTGCATGGAACGCTGTAGATCATACACCACAAACTTGTCCCACTAAAAAAATAATCAAATTGCATTGGATATGTTTATAGGTATCTAAGGCGAAAACACAACAATATGGGGGCAGAATGGTCGCACAGTTAGTGTTTCTTACTGGTGATCAGAGCGTCGGGGTGCAAATTCAGCATATCCTTCATCTCTCACCATCCAGGGATTAACATTTAGGAGGAAAAGGAGCATTCTAAGCTGTCATATAAACTAAATATATTTACTTTTACTGTTGTTCACTAATGGCAGAGATTGATATAAAAAAGTTCTACAAAAGACACAATCTACTCTGCTTTGTGTCTAGCTAGCTGGTGAAGTTTGACCACTTTCACAGAAGTTTTTATGGATACTGAGAACATAGTAATGGCAGTTCTCGGTCTCCATAAAAACCTTTGTGAAGTGGTAAACCTTCACCAGCTAACAGAAAGCAGAGGAGAGCAATACACAATTTGAAGAAAGAATCACAATTTCACTTAAATAATTATAAAAACTCACAATTTGAAATTCTGGCTCTTCTGCCTCAGTTCCAACATACTCAACGTAGCTGGCAAATCCCTCATTCAACCAGAGATAGTCCCACCATTTCAGTGTGACTAGATTTCCAAACCACTACAAATAAACAAACAAAACAAAAAATACCTGAGCACTGACCGAAAAACTCCCCCAAAATGCATATTTAACAAAATGTTTTCATTTAACATAAGATAGGCAGACTTGGCAAAGGTATTGGCTCCGTGTGCGAACAAGAGAGGGCGCCTTTTAATCACTTTCATACAGCTTGTACGTGTTGGTTTGTGCACGTATAGTAGATGCAACTTATTCTATTATGAATATGCATAAAAGAAATAACGTCTTTGCACGAGTGTCAGGCGCCATCGGCAATGATTTCGAATGTCACTACCGGTGCTCTCACCCAACTCTCCCTTTCTAAACATTGAGGGGGTACTTGTGCACAGAGCCATATACTACTGGGCTGAAACAATTTAGTCCTATAAAGCTTGTTTACAAATATAATCAACATTTAGTGCAATTTTTAAGTCTAGATTATTCATATTTTCTGTACCTGATGAGCCAACTCATGAGCAATGATGGTGCAAACTCGTTGCTTTTGACTTTCTGATGACACTCCTTCCTTGTACAAGAGGGCGCTCTCACGATACGTTATCAGTCCCCAGTTCTCCATAGCACCAGCTGTGAAGTCTGGCAAAGCAATCATGTCTGGAAAAACAATCATTGAAACAAATCATCATTTCAAAATAGTAAAGCTGCACTGTAACCATGGAAACACTGACTTGCTCAACAAAACCCTGAGATACAAGGATTGATTAACCCATGCTCTCTTACAGGCCATTGACTTCACAAAAACAATTTACAAATATTGCATAGTTTTTGCAGAGCGTAGCAAAGCAAGGGTTAAAAAAGTCAATACATGTACTTTCTGGGTTGACTTACCCATTTTGGGTAATGGATATTTAATATCCAATCCATAAAGTTTGTCAAAGTCATCCAAAACATTGGCGCCAACTCTGAGAGCATAGTCCGCTTGATCGATGAAATCTTTCTGAGTCCAGACACTAAACTAAAATAAAGAAATAAAAAAAAGCATTTCACACAAATATCAAACTTTATCTTCCATAGGCCATTTATCTGCAAAAATACTGAGTTTGATAAAGCATAATCTTCTTTATGAAGAACACAAAATATTAAATTGTTGATGTCCATCATTAAGTTTCCCGCCAAGATATACTCACTGTAACATTGTGTGCTGTGGTCATATTAACAGACACAAAATCGCTGACAACATAGCAGACAAGATATGTTGACATGACAACACTCTTCTCAAAGGTCGCTCTTCTCCAACCACCTTCAATGTCCTCATCTGGGCGACTCTTGGGCATGTTGGCTAAGGCATGGTATTCAGGTTGATGCTCCAAAGTGATGGTGAATGTAGCTTTAAGATCAGGCTCATCAAAGCATGGGAAAGCCTTACGGGCATCCACTGGATCAAAGAAGGTGCTTGCAAGCTTCCTGCAGGTTTAACACATTGCTAAAATTATCACAGCTTGTTGAAATGCCTCAAAATATTGTCAAAGCCTCATTTCTGACTGATAATGTTGGAGTGATTATAGACCTGGTGTTGTCAAGTCTTAGACACAAAAGTGGCACTGCCAGCTGGGTTGGGGGGTAAGGTAGGTATTTACACTTCAATATTTTCTAAAGACTGCCCTTTTCTCTTCAAGTGCCCTTTTTTTCACCCGCGTTTACCCCCCAATATTTGTAAATATTTTTTAAAACGAGTGCCCTTTTTTTGGTAAACAAGTGCTTTTTTTTTTTTTAAGTAAGTGCCTTTAGTTTTTACTAGATTGATTAGCAAACTTGGTGAGGGGAAAATAATTTGTCAGCCACACAAAATGCCTCTGTAGTATTGAAATTGTCTGAATATAGTAACCAGCATACAATAGAAAGACAGTGAAATTCTCACCCTTCTTCTCCTGCTTCGGTGGTATAGACCATCCGGTAGTAACCAAGCAGGTCATTTTCAAGAGGTCCCATAAATTCCAAGTGTAGAATGTACTTTTCCCCAACCATTAAATATGAGTTCAGCTCCACGACGATAAACTCGTTGGGTGTATAAATCCATGGTTCCTTGGTTCTAGTTGGTGTGGGGCCACCACTAATTCGTGTTACATTTGTCGCTCCATCGGTAAATTTTAAGTTCTTGCTGTGAAGCACAATAACGCTAGTCTTCTCCATGCATTCAAAGAGGATGTCCACGGTTCCGTTGAAGATATACTCATTCAGGTCGGTCCTGATTGTTAGGTCATAATGCTCTGGAATTATAGACATTGGAAGGCGTATCTCTTCCCACACTTTCGGTGACTCCCTGTATGAAAATGATAAGCCAATAAAAATAATATATAATCTTCAAGGTGGATGATACAAAGCTGGATGAAAAAAAATCATTAAAAAAATACAATACTTGGCTGCAAGGTAAGTTGTACATGAAGTTGGCAGAAGTGTGTCACTTACACTGTTTCTTTCAACCATACATCAACCTCATCATAGAATTGATCCATCCATCGGATATTCCCCTCAATGACAGCAACAGCTTCAGTAAATGCTCTTGCTCCAGTACCTTGGTCTGGGTTAGCCTCCATAAAATCCTTCAACTGTTACAAAGGAAAACATTAGACAACTTTAACCAGTTGATGAGAAATTCGACTATGGCGGTCGAATCATGTTAGAATCACGTCAACACAGCTTGTAAAATATTGTCCAATTACATGTACATGATATACAAATGGACAAACAAAACAGAGTGTACAAAAATTACATAGGGTTGTCTGAGGGACGTGGCCAACTCGCAAACGGTGATAGCTCAATTTCAATTATTTGATAATTTTCAGCGAGGACCATGCACTGTTGTGTACGCATTTTTATTTGTGCTCTTTCAACTTACCACTTGCAGCTCAAATTTAGTGTTGAAATTGGATGTTATACCACTGATGAGGGAGTCTAGCAGGAAAACAGTGTCACCATATCTGTCATATGAAGCACAAAAGGGCATCCCAATAAAACAATCATGATTGAAGGTGTTTGGATGATAGGAATTGATGATAAGCAAATTGACAATAAGATTACATTTGATGAGCTCCTACATTAAAAACTTGATAACGATTTTTGTTCCAGACTTTTAATCATTTGAAATGATCAGAAGATCTTACTCTTGTCTAAAGAAGTCCCAGTTTGCTCGGAAGAAGTCCCAAGCTAAAGGTAAGCCCACAGGATTCCCAGCGACAGCTGTAACTACATCCTCTCTGTCTTGAGATCTAATGATCTTACTGTCCAAGCTGCTCTTCAAATACCTAAATGTTAACATTGATGATACAACATAAGAAATAATGTGAAGTACACAAGAAATAACAATGCAAATGGCTGACGTAAAAGTATAGCTCAAAAGATCAAACCATAAGATGACGATTCACCTTAATACTCTTGCAGCATGGTGTCACACACCGATTATAAAGGAACTCACGGCTATCTCCTGCCCAACAAGAAATTTAAATACATTTGTATAAAATCAAAGAAGAGCTGCAAATAAGTCCACAGTTTTTTGCAGATTGTGACTTGCTAAGGCAGCAGGCTTCTTGTCTTCACGTTTAAGAGTACTGACTTACGTGCTGAGAATCCACGGCTTCTTGCTGCATGCCATGGCTGTCAACAATGCTGATTTGACTGAAGTGCTTGTATTGAGGTTCTGGTAGAGATCAAAGGCAAAGTACCACTCATCTTGCCCACCCTCTGCGATGGCCGTACAGAACGCTGTAGCTTGCATGTCTGGGTGAACATTCGGGGTACTGAAATATAGAAATTTAGATATGGATTGAGGACTTGATTTGCAACTGATTCTGTAAAACTTAAAGGTCTCACAAATGATCACACAAGCACATTCAGAATAAATATTCAATAAAAAAGATAACAGACCAATTTGACTTACAGGGTAACATGGATGTTTTCCATCCACTCAGCATACAGATTTATTGATGTTTGCACACAATCCTCATTGCCATAGCGACAAGCCATACTTATGGCACGTCCACGGCTCAACCTAATAATAAAAACAAATGTAAAATTACAATCTGCTGCAATAACATCAATCCTAATAATTATATTAAGAAGTAAAGCAAAAACCATTGTTTGGCTTGTAAGGCTTACTATATGTTGTTATTAACTAAGATTCACCAAAGAAACAGGATAACACTTCATTTCATTAACACAAATGAAAATTTTGTTATGCTCAAAATTTCAGCTGCAATGAAGAAAGTCAATAGATGAGATCATCATCAAAACTTATTATTGTGTACAAACCTTTTCAGATGGTCTCCTTCGTCATCCCATCCAATATATTCATACATTGGAGTTATTTGTTCCTTCATATATTTCTGAAACGACAAAAAAGGGAGACAGCCTTTAAGTATGAAAACAAACAACTCTTTCAACAGAAGAACAAGCTTGTCAGGACCAGCAGACAATCTCCTGTAAATATTTTCCCCTCACAATATATAAGTTCCCTCACAACCAAACAGAATGGTTAATATTTGACTTGACAGCCTAATTGGAAAAGCAGTTCATTATTTATTTTATTTCAAACTAATTACCAAATAATTACCTGGAAGTTTCCAAATGCTCCTTTCCTCTGGATATTGCGCTCAATATTCCCAAAGGCACTGTCCACAGCATACCAAGGGACATAGTCTCTTTCCTCCTTCAAGTAGCTGGTCATATCCAGAGCAGTACGGTGGTTGATCTCTCCTGCTGTTGCCAGACTGAAGACATCACTGATGAGAGCAGCTCGACTGGCTGTTGGAATTGCCTGGAGAAGATAAGATATTGTGAGGGACTTGAATACAGAGGGGCATAAAAACAAAACTGGAGTTAAATTGTAGTGTTTTATTTCCAAATTTGAAATATGACAGAAGGAACAACCTGTTTGGATGGAGCACAATGCTTGGCAACATTTTCTCTTCTGCATCAGTTTTTTTCCGGAATAGTTTTTTTTCAAAGTGAACATTATTTGTGATCTAATTTACCGTGTGTTGGATCTCTAACTGTGCTTTGAGTAGCTCCCAATTCTTATCATCATAGTTGACACGATACATTCCTCGCTGGTTGATGTTTACTAGCACCCATTCATCATCACTGCCCCCTGGAATCTGTAAGGTACCTGTCATTAGGAATAAGACAAATGGGAAAGATGTAACAGACTTGTTGTGGTTTTCATGGGTTACTAGTAAGTCACAAGCTTGTCAAATAAAGGTGGCAAAGGCATTGTTAGTGTAATCCCTTTTACTGTTGACATCACTCATGGATTAATTTGTAAACTTTGTGTGGTGGAATACTGAATTCCTACTTTATTCCATCTTTAATGTACTCTGTCTAAACCTTTTTACTAGTCTTTTTTACTAGGGGAATGAAAGTTTGGTTTCAGGGATTATTACTAGAATCCCAGTGAAGCCGTCTGACTTTCTCCCAAATTCTCCACTTACCATCCTCATCTTGTGGTTTGAGCCACATGCTTCTTGGTGAATCAAAATCAGCACTGCTTGCACTTGTGTAAGTCAGCGGCACGTACCACTTGTAACTGAACAACAATAAAAAATATTTGCAATTCATAAAGTAACATAGGTACTCCAGGTTACATCCCCTGACCAAACGTGAGTGCCAACAACATAGTTCAAATTAAAATTTGAGTCAAGTATCACTTCTATGTATCGACCATCAGACACTTAAATTTAGCAATATTAGAGCATGGGTGTCACATGACAATATTTGTGAGCCACTTATGAGAGCAAAACATACCATTGCTCTCTATCAAAAGCTACTTACCCCAAATCTGGGTAGTTTGTAGACGTGTTTGAGTTAGGATCAGACAGGAAGCGTTTCTGCTTCACTGTAGCTGTGACTGCACGAGCACCGTTGTAGCTTCTCTCTACTTTGATGAATGGAAAGCCCATCTGAAGTGTCCAGGTTGCCATAATGGTTGCTACATCAAGTCCCTCACCAAGTTCTACACTGTCTTCTTGGACTGCCTGCAGGGGGAAAAAGTTTGGGTTTGGGAATAGACTTATTACTTAACTACGTTTAAAATCAATCCAATAAGAACACTTCTCCTCGCTTAGAATTGTTGTCATAAAAATATCTTTGTGATGAACATACCTTTTCAAGATGGAACCACAAATCACTGTTTTCTGCGTTGCCGTACTGCAAAGCTGTCAGGTAATACTGGAAAAAGAATTAGTCAAAATTGAAAAAATTTACCGTTTTTGTATTCACGAGAGTTCTCAATTCAACAGGGTCAAAATGATTCCTTTCTAATCGCCTGTTCTTGAACTAAGTCAAAGGGTATATAAAGAGAGAATTAGGAGGTTTATTTCTAATTAATTTTTGTTTCCAACAGTTGAAACATTTCATTGAGAGTAGTTTCCCTTGGTACATACTCAATACATTAAATTAAAAGTGACTGTGAAATCAAGTCTTACGCTGACTAACAATGCATCCTAACATATGGCTAAAAAAAATCCTTATAAATCTACAAGTTAATGCAAGTCGTACCTGGAGGCCCTTTATGAAAGTTGACTCTCCTAAGAAATGTTGCATCATACGTAGAATGGAGGCACCCTGGCAAAACAATTTTAGACATGGAATAAATACAAGCACAAAACATGATACTTGTAAAATGGGACTGAAGCTCTTCAAGGGTAGCATGTGTCTTTCAACAGCTATACTTTGTATTTTCAGCATGATTTGGTACATATTCTTCAATGTATTTATTTTGTTGCTATGTGAGAAGACAGAAATTAAATACTTTTGACATTGAACAGGGTGATTCTTAAGGACAGCAGGAAGAGTTGGGAATACGTACCTTTTGGTATGAAATCCTGTCAAACATAATGTTTATCTCTGAAGGTGTCAAGACTTCAGTGACCATCGGTCTGGAAGTAACCAGTGCATCTGTTGCCATGGCACGATGAAGGTCATACAAAATAAACTTGTCCCACTATAATAAGAATAAGAAAAAGAATAATTTTGCTGAGGTTAATCAAAAGTGGATTGTTTTTTTTCTGGACTATAGGGGCTATCACGAAAAAAAACTGTTCATAAATGAGGAGGCTTGGACAAATTACATTACACAACAACTGTTTTCTGTGTTCTACACAAAATTCATAATTTAGAAACGTTTGACAGAAATCTTGATTAGAAAACAGTTATAAAATTCCAAAGTTTTCCAGAATTTTATTTGAATTCAAAATGACATTAAAAGATGACAAGAATTTGATGAGGAGGAGAGGTATTTGTGGAATGTGGAGGCATAATTTTCTGTTATGAATGAAAATTAAACTGTGCAAACAACAGATCAAGTGATTTTACCATTCCCCATTCAGGCTCCACTTCATCAGTTCCAACATACTCAACATAGCTGGCAAAACCTTCATTCAACCACAGGTAGTCCCACCATTTCATTGTCACCAAGTTTCCAAACCACTAGCATAAAAAAATGACAAAATATAAACACAAGGAATTGTTCTTACAATATCAATGAAATCTGCATAAAGTAGCTACATTTGTAAATTCACTTGCAAAACACGAATTTAATAACGGATCCTCCATGAAGTTCAATCGTGAGAACTTTTAGGGGCTTCACCTTGAAGGTTTCTGGGAAACTTCTTGGTTATGTAGAGTGGTTAATAAATTCATTGCAAGCTTTTACACATTTCTGTAAGTTTATTTCGCTCTAAAAGAAACTGTGTTTATCCATTCGGGGATGCAAAGCTCACACGTTGTGTTTACAAAGTATGAGCTTTGATTGAATGCAGGAATCTTAAAGGGTTACACAATGCCTAAGATGCCATAAACCCCTACATGTACTTTTTGTTTGAAAGGGATTTGTTGTACCTGATGAGCCAACTCATGAGCAATGATGGTGCAAACTCGTTGTTTTTGACTTTCTGATGACACTCCTTCCTTGTACAAGAGGGCGCTCTCACGATACGTTATCAGTCCCCAGTTCTCCATAGCACCAGCTGTGAAGTCTGGCAAAGCGATCATGTCTGGAAAAAGAATTGGAGTTGCAGTCAAAGACAACACATGCACGAAGCCATGATATAGTGTAATTCTCAGAATCTCAGAATCTCAGAATCTCAGAAACTTGACTGGATATCGCCGCTAGGCATCATCATCCAGTTTGACTTCACGCCGGTGCCGTGCAAGCGTAATTGGATATGATCTCGGAGAAACTATAGAATGCAGGGCCACGCCGGAGCAAGGTTTTTTTTTCTGCTTGGAGGCGTGGATCGAGGCCGGCGATGTGAGGATAGGAGTAATAGGCTACAATATAATAATATGCAAACCTGCAAAAAGTGCTAAGTACAGAGAATGCACTTGTCTTCTCATCAATGATCGGAAGAGAGGGCGCGCTTGTAAATGTGTCGGGGCACGGAGCCACGGATCGCAGAGTCGCAGGGCACTGGAGTCGCGGAGGCGCGGAGTCGCAGAGATGCGCGCCGATAGAGGTCGCAATTCTCGGCGGTATTTTTTTGAGAACGAAGCATCCATATCCATTTTTAATTTCCTCGAAAAGGAAGGGTGGGCGACGGGGCACTGGAGTCGCGGAGGCGCGGGGTCGCGCAGTCGCAGAGACGCGGAGTCGCAGAGACGCGGGGTACTGGAGTGGCGGAGTCGCGAAGTCACAGAGATGCGCGTCCATAGCTTAGAGGCCGCAATTCTCGGAGGTAGGTCGACTGCAGCTCCACGGCTCCACGCCTCCATGCAGCCGTACGGAGGCGCGGATGTAGAGTGTACTGGCCCTGCATTCTATAGTTGTACCGTGATCTCTGTTACGACTACCACACAATGTATTTGGTAGTATGTGCATGTAGTTACATTTTTAGGACCCTGGTCTGGAATCTACAGACAGAAAAATATAATATTTTTGTGTCTTGAAGTTTGAACTTACCTAGGGCCTATAGGCTATGCTATTGCTAAAAATGTAATACTACAGAGTACAGTCATTGACAGTACAGTCACTACATATCACGTCACGGGTAAAGCTCATAAACAAAAAATTCTGGAAATAACATACCCTGAGAGATCTTCCCCCTTGTATGACGGCATATTCCGTGTCATTTCATTACGAAATATCTTAAATGTCGCAAATATTAACACAAAAAAGTCAAAAGACATTGCAGACGATGAGCCCGTGTAAACAGCACCCGCACGGCAAAGTTTGAAGGGCGCCCTCATCAGGATATCTCTATCATCAGCCACAAAAAGCCGAGGGCGCTATAACAAAAATACGGGTGATTCTGTCGGCACCACGGCGTAAATACGGTGATCGCAGGCAGACGTAATCCCCCGCTATCCACGGAGCCCTGTATCCGCAAGGGTTTAAATACATAGCCTAGGTAGACTCGGTCGCAGCGCTGCATCAAGTAAACACACTAGGTTTCTATTTAAAAAGAACATTTTCCCCTAGTCTTTAAGGTGCAAAGAATGGGATCTATCTTTGTTACTGGCATTCAACGTCAGAACACGGAACTCACCCATTTTAGGAAGAGGATATTTATTCTCGTCTCCGTACAATCCATCAAAGTAATCCAATATCGCCACTCCCCGATCCAGCGCATAGTCAACTTGATCGTAGAAATCTTCCTGAGCCCACACGGCAAACTAAAAAAAACCAAATTTTCACTTCACCAAAAGGACGATTTGTTTTATTATTATTTTATTATATCTTTGAATTGATTAACTCGAAAATTAGGTCATCAACTGACGACGTGATTCCGCAACAAATAATATTGGTGATCTTTAGTGATATTTGTTTCTCGATTACTTGAGGGTCATGGATTGCAAAATGACGGATCACACATTTTACAGTTGAATTGGAAACAAATATGAATTCTATATCAAAACAATCACGAAATCTCCGATCTCAATGACAAAATATGATCAATACTAAAATTCCATTAATTAAAAATAAATAAATAAAATGTTATTACTAACCTCTACGCCATTAGCCGTGGTATTATACTTTGCCTTGAACTCACTAACGACGTAGCAGACGAGATACGTTGGCATGACAACGCTCTCTTCGAAAGTTGCTCTAATCCATCCATCTTCCAGTTGTTCATCTGGACGACTCTTGGGCATGTTGGCTAAGGCTTTATACTGGGATTGGTGCTCCAATGTGATAGTGAAGGTCGCTTTTAAGGCAGGTTCGTCAAAACACGGGAAAGCCTTACGGGCATCGACCGGATCAAAAAATGTACTCGCTAAAAACCTGTGAAGATAATCAATCGAGTACGCACGTTTAGAAAAATGGTGATGGTATATGCAGAATCTTAAAAATTATTGCGACAAAAGAGAATTTGTAATTACGCGATATTTGTTTTCAAACAAAAAGAGCACGTTTCAGTTGGCGGGCTATTGGCTAGTTTTCTAAACTGGACGTACTTTACCTATTTGAGACAATGAAATTTCGTTTATTGATGCTTAGGAGGGGAGAAAATTAACTCATTTATTATCAGTTTTTATTTGACTTCAACAAAGTAAATGGAAAGCCTTATGCAGCGAATATTTGAATGAAACCTTTTCTGCCAACTAAGCTAAGAAATGCGATATGATGTTGATGTACGTGACATATCATCTTATCAGCACTTTATTGTCAGTGTGCCGAAATTTGTCCGCCAGTGTCAACATACAAAACCAGTACAAAAGTCAAGTTCGTGTAAACACAATTCTTGTATAAACACGATAAAAAGTTGAAATATAGGACCTATAAAAACGGAATAAAATCTTCTAATGGCTGCGCACAATTAATAAAGGCTGTGTCATAAACCATGCACAAACAACCGTTGAGAGAACTAAGTGTAAGATGTGTGTAAATACGAAGTGCTGAGTGTAATGTCAATAACAACCTTGCAAATAATATGAATTGGGGCAAGTTTCTCACCCACTTTAAAAAACTTAAAATATTTGTTGTTATTCATAGCTCTGTGGTACCTGGTGGTACTACTCAGGGATCAGGGATCATTCAAATAATTTCATTGCACATTTGAGACAGACAAAACACTTTCCACTCCTTTAGTCCCGGTTTTCGTTTGGATTTACTTTACAAGTACCGTACCGTACAAAACGAGCTACAAAATTGACCTAATTAGCAAAAGCGTGTATGATAACGAACAACTACACTAAGGCCAAAAAAAAAAATCGGCGACGCGGTTTTTTTTTTGGGGGGGGGTGACTTTTTTTTCAAGCTTGAATTGTACAGACAAGGTGGGTATTATTTTCCTTTTTTGTGTCCTCATAATACATTGGTGTCCTCCCTAATTTGCCTTGGTGCCCTTTATCATTTGCCTTGGTGCAATTTCCCCACTCATTGGTGCTCCTTGGTACAAACATTTGAGGAGGTGCGGCAATAGATGGCGCTGTTGTAGCTTCCGTGTTAATTTGAAGAAAAAAAAGGTTGACGCGCATGATTAAAATCGACGCGCGCGCTGACCAGAGACCGAGTAATTTTTTTTGGGCCTAACAGTACTGCAGTTTTATGTTATCATGGGCGTGGTCAAATACTGCGGCTTGCCCATCAGATATACTCATCAAGACAAAGATTACCAAATTCTGCCAAGGGCGGATCCAGAGCACACTTTTTGGGGGCCCAAACAAACTTTGCTCCCGAAAAAAAGGTGTTTCAAAAATTGACGGCGTGGGGTTCGGCGGCCCACTTATGGCCCGGGAAATGTTTGGATGCTTTAATGTGCGGTCTGAGGCAATTTATGATCACTTTAACATTTTTTTTAAGCAAAAGATGATGGTGTACGCAATGGCTGCCTTTTGCGACGCCACGTAAAAAAAAAGTGGCTCTCCTCCCCGCCCCCCCCCCCCCCCCGATCCGCCGTTGGTTAAAGCAGTGCCAAGTGTATAATGTCATATATTTTTCCCCATTTACCAAGCGAGTTTATTATTCTTGATTAAATTATTGTCCTTACTTTTCCTCTCCGGAGGCAGTCTTGTAGGACATCTTGTAGTAGCCCAGTAAGTCATTCTTCAACGGTCCTTGGAACTCCATATACAGCCGATATTGCGCTCCTTTATCAAGCACGCCACTCAGTTCGATCACAGCAAACTGATTATCTGTATACAGCCACGGATCTTTAGCCAACTCAGGAGCCTTGGTCCCGCTACCTTGTCGTGTCAAGGTTGTCTTCCCTTCGCTGATGACTAGTTCCTTACTGTGAATCAGTATGACGTTAGTGTCTTGCAAGCATTCTACCAAGACACTGACGGAACCGGTGAAGATGGAGTTAGTCAGATCGGTTCTGACTTTGAGATCATAGGAGATGGGTCGCAGGGTCTCGGGTAGCCGTGTCGACTCCCACGGCTGCTTGGTAAAATCTGGTGTGACAGGATCTGGCGGAACATACTCTCTATACGAATTTGAAAGAAATAGTAAAGAAAGAGGAGGAATGGAGACTGCACAATTGAGCAACATTACAAACAACAGAGGGCGTCAGGTCTCGAAATCCCAACAGCAATTATCGCAAATGAAAATAAGCCTATATACAGCCGTGCGTTCATGATACTCGTAATATTTTTTGTGAGGCTCAAGCGCCGCCGCAGAAAGCCGTTTTTATACGATTTTAAAGCTTGGAATCTTAACTTTATAAGTATTGGTGTGATTTTCAAAAGGGTTTTGAAATTGTTCGTCTTCAATTTCTCTTCGTTTCAACTTCAAGTTCTGTTTGTTATTTCAACAGCTTGTTGACGTGATCGGAGCCTGAATCTGACGTACCGTATCATGGATATTCCTTGGAATTGGTAGACTTTGTTTTCGACATGCCTATTTGAACACAGTAGTTTTAAAACTCTTTTAAATACCAAACCAATATTCGCAAGGAATAACGTTCAGATCCAAGCTTTAAAATGGTACACAAAATGTGTATACATGTCAATAATGGCACGGTTTCCGCGCCGACGCCGAGAGCCGCGCAAAAAAAGTTGCGGGTATTTTGAGACGCGCATACCGGTGGCTAACTAATGAAATTGTTTTATCGACAAATTGCAAACTTGATTTTATTGTTTGGTATGTTTTCCGACTGGAATTAATTATGAAAATATATATAGATGTCAAGTGACAAGAACGGTTTGGCTTAAGTTCATTAGCTGTACTTACATTTCGCACTTTGGTAGAAGACCACACAAAAGTCCAACCAATGCTGCCGCAAGCAAAAATGCCAGGAGTAGCAGGATCGCTGACTGTTTTGTGACGACGTACTTTCCCATGTTGGTAGGAAATGATTATTACGTCATCTGCAAGAAATTAACAAGTAATCAATTATTTTTAGTCTGCCTCTTTCGAGTTTCCCTACAGATTTGTTTTGTTTTGTCGTTTTTATATTCCATAACATAACTGGCGCCCAAGTTTTCGACAGACAGCTCCCTGTTGTGAGGTATCCAGGAATTTCTCCGAGGTCACAATTGCAAGGCCGCTCGGTTAGCATGTGACTCAGGGGGCTGGAACGCTCCTCAAAGCGGACAAGAATTCTAATTTCGCATATGGCGGTACTGTTAGTGAGTGATGTACGTCTTGTCTGTTTTATTTTCTTTTCCGTGTTTTATTTTTGGGTAGTATTTCCGCCGGGACGGGTTGGGAAAGAGCCCAACTCCCCTTGCCGCCCCCCCCCCCCCCGCCCCCGGCCCACACGACGCTCGTCATTGTTGGGTTTTTAAGGGATTCGCCCATCTTTTAATTTACGTGAAATCAACACAAATACCTTCCTACTAACTTCGTTTTATGGGGGGGGGGCTATTCTTGACTGCACACTGGCGTAGCAGTAAACATCTTCATTGCAGCTTACTTTGTCATATAGTACAAAACACCGTTCGTGGACCGAAAGCTTTGTCAATGTTCCACATCATACTGCATCAACTACAGTATAGCACTTGGGCATACTAAAATAAAATCATAGAAAGGTAACTCACCAGAGTCATACAGCTGGCGTATGAATTCCTGGACGTTCTCCCCACTGAACACTAACCCCAAACTGCTGGCTGCTTACAATTGTCGGGCTTATTATTAGGGTCAATTCAGAAAGGGTACGTGCTTATAAAAAGCCGACCCTGTCAACGTGGTCTTTATACTAGATGTGTTTTATGGCTGATAAGATAAAATCAGATAAAGGTAGTCATGTCGTACACCTGTAACGGTCACAGAACTTAAACCTCTTATCGTCATAAAGTTTACATTAAAGAGGCACAACACATTTACGTATCGCCGTGTATTACAAAATCGTCTTTACGCCAGCGATAATTGATTTTCACTCTAAAATTAAATAACCTATGGGTTATGGCCTATTTTTTTTAAAAGCTCCACAGAAAGCAACATATACAGACTGTACTACTTTGGTGACTTAATTCACAACGCGCGATCTGATGGTATCAAAATCTGCACCTGCTCGAGGTTGAAGAATTGAGAACGTGGTGATTTGGTCCCAGTCTTCATTATCTCATAACATGTCTTAATTGGTATGATTGAAATATATTCAGGGGATCTACCTTTTTTGCGGCAGACAACGGTCATTGTTATTTTCCAGGCTCCATATCTGCTGAGCCCCCTGTATATCCCTTTAATCTGTCGCGCGGATAAGTGGCATCCCACAAAGGTGGTTTTTGTATTCATAAAGTTCAATTTGGGATATGCTGGTAAAACACTTATCTTGCACTAAATTTGATCTGGGCATGGAGCCATGGGAAACCCTCTGGGTTTTATTTGAAGGTCCCTCGTGTACCAAGCCTGTGCCAGGTATTCCATGTTTATATTTGGTTAATAAATAACCGTGTTAATCCTTCAAAAGGGCAATTTTTTATGTTTACCGATGACAAACATTCCTTACTTATCGATGGAGTGACGCTCTTTTATCGGAGTTTAACTGCCCATTGGTATATGAAGTTTTGTTCGTTAAGTAATTCAACGGGGGATTTACATATTATACATCGAAACTGAGCATGAGAGACAGTTGCTGAACGGAAATTTAAGCAATATTGTGAACAAAAGTCAGCAATCTCGTTTGCACACTGGGATATTCACAGAAGTGCAGATGCCCCCTCATGATCAAGTTTCAATTCAAGGGATAGGTCGACATTAAATACGCTACTGAATTTCAAGATATATTTTAACTGTTTTAAGAAAGACTCAATTCAGGAAACATATCATGACATCCATTTTAATTTCAAGAAAGGCCACTACATCAGATCCGTAAAACACAAAGATTAACAAACGATTGTTTACTATACTTAAAATTTCGCAACAAAACAAAGGCAGAATACTGCATGCAAGGTACCAACTTAAAAGATTAAATTTGAAGCAAGCAACAATTTTGTAATTAATGTGTTTCATTCGCATACATTTGTAAGTATGGAAATGCTTTTTCTAATACTTTGAAATTAACACTTAGATTATAAAAACATCCGAATAATACAATTGAAGTAAATTTAAACAGCATAATATTTAAACAAAACGATTACAATTCTAACTGCAAACACTATCTAACACAACAAAAACTAGCAAAACACAAATGAAAATAGTACGTATAACTGAAATCATAAACAACTCAACAGACCTCCGAGAACCATCGATGTGATAAAACAGTGACTGGTTCACTAATAACCTTTCTAATAAGAGAAAGGTTTAAATGCAAATGTTAGTTTCTCCCTCAGTTAAAAAATGGGAATGGTTTGGAATATTAATTTTTTTTCAAACATTCACTCCATATCAGTGGATTTTCTGCTTATTCCTCAACTTTTCAAAGAGTATTTTACTTTCCGGTTTTAAAACGCACTTGTCTACAAATGTTTTTGCCTCATGTTAATGCTCAGGTTGACTGAGTTAAAGACCCTAATACACAACCTTCTTGAGCCAATTAGCGACATCGTTATAGCTTCCATCCATCCATCGGACATTAGCTCTTATTACAGCGATTGCTTTGGCGAATGCGTCATATACATCCCTCCCTTCTTCATAATGGTCTGCTTGGAATTGCTTCACCTTTATGTTTAAAAACCAAAGGAAAAAAATGAAAAAGTAAAAAAGATTGTTTATCCTTTACATCACTGATCCCTGTCCATTCTTTCCTCCACAAATAACAACTGAATCATTATGAAGCAAATCAATAAAAATGAAACAAACAAAATATATTATGAATGGATGAAAAGATAATAAAATACATAAGAAAAAATGTATCAATCATACCTGCTCAAGCTGGGCCTCGGTGTTCAAGTCTGAAGTCACCACTTTAACCACATGAAGTCCATACCTTTAAATGGAAAAATTAATTCAAAAACTGATACATTTTGAATAGTTTATGTTACCTTTTCAAGAGCAATTTCAAATCCTCAGGAAGATATCTAGCAGGTACCTTTCTTCTCCTTCCATTGAAGGATGCACCAACACAAATTTACTTGTTGATATTTATAATGAAGAACATGCATGAGGCTTGTCAAATTGAATGGATAGCTACTGCTGCAAAGGTAGATTAAATCCGCCCCAGGCGCCTAAGACACTTTGCCCAAATTTCTCAGAAAATATAGTTTCAAAAATCAACTGTTTTAGGGAAGACAATTATAACCTAACAATAGTATACAAATATTGACTGCTTTGTGTGGTGTTGTGCATCTGTGACGCCGAGGAAAAATAGAATGTTGCATGGATCACAGAGGGAGGCTGGTTTTACTATACCAGGATATAAAGCAGTCAATATTGGTTTTAAAACACCTCTCCCACAGATTCTGCTTGGTTTTAAAATATAACTGTTGAATTTAATCTAAAAACAATTCAGATATACTTCTATTTGAAAAAGAAATTAGCTGAAAATTTACTTGGGTTTTTCCAAATAACCCCTTCATGAAATGTTTGAACCCAGCTCTATAGCACTAGTGCTTGGGAATAATAAGCACAACGCACACATCCATATGCATTTGCCCACAATACCGGTTGTCATGTATGTATAGCACTGGTTGCTGTGGGTATAGTGCTTTTAGCTGTGCACAGCAAGATAGCAAAAAATAGCCAATGCCATGTGATTCACTCTTGGCCAATCAAGATACAGAATCAGTGTGTGGTGTTATGATAAGACTTATAGTTAGCCCAATTACTACTGTATTGTGATTTTTTTATTTTAGATCAGATGGGCGTTTGGTGGTCTGGCTGGATGCCTAGTTCTACACAGCTTGGATAGAGTTAATATTCAACTTACATAGTCTTAAAGAAGTCCCATTCAGTTGCAACAAGTTTCCACACCATGGTCCTTCCGACTGGATTACCAGCAATGGCTGAGATAACGTATCGACCATCTCTGCTTGGCACTAGGGTGGAATTCAGAACTGTCCGCAGATATCTGACAGGAGGGAAAAGGACAGAAATATTACTTATCTGTTTGTGGAAGTATCGCAAATTCCTCATTCCACCCCTAAATGTTTACCTGGAAAAGCTTACACCATCCTACACACCTCCAGTCAAACACCTGTTACCCTCCTGATTCTTCAATCTTTTTCTGACAGGCAGGGGATGGGCGATTGTTCGGGATGGCTTGCAAGAATGGCAAATACTTTCCATCTCTCAGACACTGGTTCTAATTCTACATGTGAGCTACTTGAATTTAAAAAAACAACTAAATAAGCCAAACTTAGCACTTCACATCCATTTAACAAGAAAGTGATCAGATGGAACTTTTGCGTCAAAATTGATGATGGAATTTTTTCGACAAAATTGTTTGTACGTTTCCAAGATTTCTCTGTTCTGGCTGCATCCCATGGCCTTTTCCAATATATTCCTGAGGGAGAAGTCGATGTTAGGATCATAATAAGCTGAGTAGGCTGCGTTCCATTCTTTCTGTCCACCTGCAGCGATGGCTGTGCAGAACACCATCTTTTGAAGATCGGATGCAATCCTGAAAAAAAAAAAAAACATTCACATTTAAGTGATTACATAAAATATTTGTAGCAGACGAGGAACAACAGGAAAGACAAGCATAGATCATATTGTCACTGTTTCACACAATGGTTGGAAAAATGGCAGTAAAATAGTGTTATATACAGTCTCTTGATTTGAATGTTTGCATATCAAGACTTAAAACTAGAAGGGTATAGACAGCTAATTATGGACTCACGTAGTGGTTGTTTTATTGGTCATCATCCAATCTGCATACATCCTGGCAGCTCTACTCACACAGTCCTCATTGCCGTACTTACAAGCCATATCAATGATTTCAACACGAGCCAACCTATATACATACAATACAAATCAAATGTAAACATTGGATATCAACAATCACAAACAATCTGTAAATTAAAAAAAAATACTTTCATTCATGGCCCCAGGAATCTTCAACCTACATGTACTTCTAACCTGTTTGATAGTACACTTCATCAGGATCATGGACTCAAGTGTCATTGCTGACTATGATATTACCACTGTAAATAATGAAAATGTTCACACACCCCTTATTATGATCATCATCATCACCTCCATCTTCCCAGCCTACGTACTCATACATCGGGCTGACTTTACTCCTCACATACTCCTGACCAAACGAAGAGAAAAAAAAACGAAAACCCTTTGTTACGATATCTTCAAATGAATATATAAATTTACCCAATCATAAGTCGTAGACATTTCTGACAAGGCAAAGATAGTTTGACCTATAATGATGAACAAGTAAGCCCATCACAGATGAATTGCCTGTCCATTTTTTCCATGAATCAATTGTTTTAATTTTCCAGGCATACAGCTGATGTGCAACATTGCACAAAAAGGAAAGCCTTGTATCCTTTTAGTTGTAAAGTCTAAATTTGATTTGTTTTCTTAGTAAAACAAGTGACTTCAACTGGTGTCCAATTTGCAGGCAAGTGTGCACTCAGGGTGACTTACTATCCAGAGGTGGTGTTCAATGCACAATAAAACAAGCTCATTTTTGCCCATTGCATATGCTGAAGGAGGGGGGAGGTAAGGGGGGATGGGGAATGCCTCAAGTGGGAGGCCTGTGCCCCTCCATTCTCAACCCCCGTAAATAAGCCAAAACAAAGTCATGCATGAAAGTGAAACTGTATTTACCATAAACTTCTCATTAGCATCCTCCAAGGCCAAATTCTCACTGACATACTCCACAACTCTTTTGAAAGCAACCCAAGGAATATAGTCTCTTTCCTCATCCAAGTAAGATGTTAGATCCAATGCTTTGGTCTGGCTAAGATCTCCAACCCTGGCCAAGCTGAAGGCATCATAGAGGAGGGCTGAACGACTCGATATGGGAATCACCTACAGATATCACACAACAATGTAACTTTTAAAAGTTCTACATTTCAAAAAGCTTCAACAGCTAGAAACTATTTGGTTGCAGTAATAGGTGACTATAAGATCCAATCCAGATATCAAGTCTTTTATTCAGCCAGCGGGACGTTGGTAGGGATATAAAGACAAGGGACTTACAGCAGGGCTACATCAGAACAGGAGGGTACACACATGACACATGTACAGGAGAAACTTTGGGTACTTTTAGTATAAAACCCATTTTAATCAATTAAACATACCATGTGGTCTGCCTGTAGCTGTGCACTAAGTAAGGCCCAGTTTGTCTCATCATAGTTGACCCTGTAAAATCCTGTCTGATTAACGTTGACCAAAAACCAGTTACTGTCACCACCAGCACCATGCAGGACAACTTCCGCTGGTAAACAAAATAAACAAGAAATGGAGTTACGAGCAAGCATATGTATCACCATTCATGACAGTTGTCAAGGTCATGACATAAGAAGACAAACTTACTGGTTTGATCTTCAGGTCTCATCCAACGAAGCTCAGGATTAGCCAAGTTGGGATTAGCTCCAGCAGTTAAAGTCAAGGGAATGTGCCATACGTATCTACAAATTAATAAACAAAATGCATATTAAGAAACTGTTAAAAGGGAGTTGATTTTATAAGAGTACCCAAGAGAATGTTTTAAGGGAAATGTTACATAAATAACCTTCTAAATAGCAGAAACTGTACAATGGTGATAAGATTACCGAAAAAAGATAATATGTCCTGAGTCATCACGGTTTGGAAGGAATTTTAGAAAAGATCAAGCACACTGGTTTAGGGTTTAGACGGACAGTTCTAAAAAGTATGTTTCCTACATGTTCTTATGACCATCTTTTAACTCTCCAGCTATAACAGTTCAAATTTTCTTCCACTTCTCCTACTATACTTTTAACAAAGGCTAGTCACCGGCAGTCAGATCGTATTTCAAGCAAGCACTGTGTCTAGTCATACTCAGTCAACAGACAATGAACAGACAAAGCAGACAAGTCGGGGGCACAGCTGGCTTATCAATTACCCAAAGTAAAAGCAAAGCTGTACCAAGTTACTAAACAGTCCCAGCCAGTCAATCCTGCTTTATGTGGAAATTTAAGTGCTGAAAACAGTCATTTGCTTGATTTTGACTGAAAGGACTACTTTGCACAGAATGCATGTTTGTATGTTTAGGAGGGTTAATAAACTCACCCAAGGTCTGGGTATGTTGACGTTGTGTCTGAAGTCGGGTCTGCTAGGAATCTCTTCTGTGTAGCTGAAGCAGTGATCTTATTGGCTTGCCCAGAGTATGTCCTTGTTACCGTGACAACGGGGAAGCCCATGTGATTGGTCCATGAGTCCATGACGGTTGCCATGTCAGTTATTCCATCTCCAAGATCAACACCATCCTCTGCCATTGCCTAAACGTCACATAGTTAAAAAACAAAACAAAAAATGTTTGGTTGTGAGTTACTTCCTTTATTCAAATTAGGAAAACTGAAAACATAAAAATAGTCATGTACAAATATTGAAATACAGATATGTTCTTTCCTACCTTGTTCACATGATACCACATGTCACTGTTCTCAGCATTCCCATACTGCAGAGCTCTGAGGTATGACTGAGATTCAAACAAAATGGTTAGCTTAATTACATACATTACTTTCTGATACAATAACATTATTAAATGAAAGTAACACAAAAAGAAATGACAAGTAAACAAGTAAAGTGAAATAAGGCAAGAAAGAACTTTGACAAATGGCTGAAGAATAAATTGTTTTACAAGTTTGTAATAGAAATAGAACTAGTAGTACTCTTGGCACTTACCTTAAGGCCTCTTAAGAATGTGTCTTGACCAACGAAATTGCTTGCCATACGCATCAGTGATGAACCCTGTAATAGGACAAGACAAATTGTTCTTGCCTTAAGAGGAATTCTTCAGAAAAAGATTCATGTGGGAGACATTAATAATAATAATGATATTTTTATATAGCACCAAATCCTTCAAAATGACTTTCAAGGCGCTTAGATGATGCTGATTTAGATTGATATTTGTTATAGTCCGATCACAAGGTGTTGTTTCCTATTACCTGAAAAGACAGGTGTATGCACAAAAAAACAAGACTGATGGGGTACACTGACTATCTTGCCGCTTCCAATTTCAAAAAACTTGTCCATAAAATTTGAAAAGGATGAAAACACAAACCTTTGTATAAATTATTCGACTGAACGCGTCAGAAAGTCCATATCTTGTCTTTTTGATGACAAGTGGTCGTGATGTAGGCAATGCATCCGTTTCCATCGCTTTATGAACCTCAGAAACAACAAACTTGTCCCACTGTAAATTAAAGTCACATTCACTGTAATTTCAGTTCTTCAAACCATTTGTAAATGTAATGTCAATGGCATTCACCTGATCTGAAGTTTCATCTACTATGGTTCTAATGTTCTCAAACTCATGTTCTGTCACTTCATGGTTGCATTGCCTAAGATTTTTATCAACAGCATTGTCTTGCAAGTCATTTTTTTCCCAAAGAATAACCTGCTGAGACGTCACTTTTGCCTTATGTGTTAAATTCTAATGACGCGACATGTCCTGGGTAATTTTGTTCAGTTTGTTTGACCTTTGTAAGACCAACAATATCGATGTCAGACAGAGGTGTCCTTACCAATTTCCAGTCTGGTTCTGCATACGCTGCTCCAACATACTCCAACCACCCAGCGACGCCCTCATTCAACCACACATAATCCCACCATTTGGCTGTCACTAGGTTACCAAACCACTGCAAATAAACATAACATGACAAAAATACCGTTCACAATTGTTGCATGTTGTGGTTGATCAAGTTTTGAAAACCTGCGGGGAAAATGGCGACACTCAGTGAGGTGAAAACGACATCTTCAGTGACATGAAAAAAGCAATCTCGGTCAAACTGTCACGCTTAGTGAGGTGAAAAATGGCATGCTCAGTGAGGTGAAAAATGGCATCCTAAGAGAGGACAAAAAGGCACCCTCAGCAAGATGAAAAACAACATCCTCAGTGAGGCAAAAACAGCACCCTCGATGAGGTGAAAAACAGCACCCTCAGTGAGGCAAAAACAGCTCCCTCATTGAGGTGAAAAAGGCAGCCTCAGTGAGGCTAAAATGGCACCCTCAGTGAGGCTAAAATGGCACTCTTAGTGAGGGTTCATTGCCAACATTCAAAATAAAGGATCATTGTATCATTACTGCTGATTTTTCATTGTACTACTGTTACATACAAACAATAACCCACCTGATGAGCTAACTCATGCGCAATGTAAGTGCACACTCTTTCTTTCCAACGTTCAGATGACACTCCCGCCTCATACAAGAGATTACGCTTTGGATATGTTATTAGACCCCAATTCTCCATGGCTCCAGCAGCAAGGTGTGGCAAAGCAATCATATCTGCAAAAAAAAAAAATAAAGGGAGTTTTGTCAGAAACCTACTTTTGGAATTGACTCCAATGGCAAGTACAGGCAAAAATGTAAATCATCAACAGGTAATGAGGGATAAAATATTTACCTTGAATGGAACAGACTTACCTAATTTAGCTATTGGATACTGGACATCCATTCCAAACAAGTCATCGAAGTAGTCTAGAATTTCCACTCCCTTTTGAAGAGCATAGTGAGTTTGGTTCATAAGATCTTCCGGGGCCCAAACACCCAACTGTAACAAAAACACACACAATTCTCTGCTGAAACCCTTAAAAAGTCAATAACAATTTTGTTCCTTACAGGTGGATATTATTTTTATTTCAATTAGTATTAACAAAGGTGATAGGTTGATGGAGAACACACTTTTATCTCTAAATATTGCCTTATTTATTTTCAAGCCTGGCCCTCATGTTTAAAGACTATAATGCCTCTCCAAAAGTAGATGAATGCTTCCTTTCAAAATCAATATAAATCATTACAATTTCCTTTAAATTACAGCATGATTATTAACCTAATAATTTGGCTTTTCTTAGAAGTTATAGAAGCATGTTTATACAGCCACCTACCTCCACACCATTTTGAGAGGTCAAAAACTTGGCCTTGAAATCACTGATGATATAGCAGACAAGGTACGTTGACATGACAACGCTTTTCTTAAAGGTCGCTTTAATCCATCCGTCCTCAAGTTCCTGATCTGGACGACTCTTGGGCATGTTGGAGAGGGCGTGGTACTCAGGCTCATGCTCCAGGGTGATAGTAAAGGTAGCTTTCATGTCAGGTTCATCAAAACATGGGAAAGCCTCCCGAGCAAAGGTCGGAGGAAATAACGTGCTTGCTAGGTACCTGTACACAAAAAAAAGAATCAGATAATCTTCTCTGGAACACATCTAATCAACTGGCAACCACCAATGATACAAGAATATGAAGGTCAGATTAAAATTTGAAAATTGGCAAAACGAATACGATAGCAAACTTATTATTATTACGCAACTTAAACCTTTACCTTGTCTCACCAGATTTTGGGACGTAGCTACTCAAGTAATAACCACTCCAGCCATCAATCAAGAAGCTTGTAAAGTCAAGATGCAGCCAGTACTTAGTGCCTGCTTCAAGGAGAGAGTCTAGCTCCATCACTAGATAATCGTTGTAATAATACCGCCATGGTGGAGACTTAAATCTTGGGGCTGGTCCACCATCCTGCTGTGTTAGTGTAGTTGCATTGTCAGAGATGGTTAAGCCACCACTATGTATGAGAATGATGTCTGTCATTTTAAGACACTCAATTAAGATATCCACAGAGCCATTGAAGACAAAGTTGGTCAGGTCTGTTCGGATCTTGAGGTCGTACGAGATGGGCAGGATGGTGTCTGGTAGACGACTCCTTTCCCACGGTTCCTTGCTGCAACAAACATTTGGATAAAAGGATAAGGTGTCTACAATGGCCTTCTGTTTAAATCATACATCTTGAGATTTGACTATTATTGTCAACATAATTACAGTTTTTAATATGGAAGGTCTCTGATGGATAGCCACTGGATTGATGGTCCACACTATGCTGTTGGCTTAAAAGAAACTGAATGCTTAGCAAAAACTGACTGTTTGGCAGCAATAGACCCCTCTCATAGACAGCCATCTTCGTAGGAAAATTACAACTGTGTATTCAACGCCATCAGGTATGTGTGCACGCAGTGTACCAAATGTTCTAAATACGCGCACATGTACCTTGAAACTTCTTCAAAATTCTGCACAGCTGATGCACATCATGAAAATTTGATGCCCAAAATGCCAATGCACATGACAATCAGTAGGAAGTGAGGGCATTTGAGAGACCTCTTGGATTCTTAGCAGATGCTGAATACTTACACAGCTTCTTTCAGCCAATCCGCTACGTCTTTGTAGTATAGGTTGATCCATCGGATGTTAGTCTCAATGACAGCTACAGCTTCAGCAAATGGTCGTGCACCTGAGCCTTGATCTGGGTGGTCTGCAATAAACTGCTTCACCTGTAATAATCCATCCAATTTGAATCTATCCATTTCTGTCCCATCTTCTCAACAAAGTATAAACACCCAAAAGTTTGTTTAAATTGAACATTTAAAGTGCATCTAAAGCGTACAGTTGGTCATACATTTTACAACTAATTCCACAAATGTGCCATGATGTGGACAAGTGTTTCAATGGCAGAGTGACAAGAATCATCTGAACATTTTGTTGTCTTGCAGTCCATTCATCTTTTGTCAATCAAATCAAACAATACAAATTACCATTTGTAGTTCGAATTCCGTGTTGAAGTTAGACAAAAGACTACCGATGAGTGAATCAAGGACAAACACGATGTCACCATACCTGAAATGTAAAGAAAACATACAATAAACCTGATGTGGTAAAAACAGAATAAATTTCTGCTCTAGTTTCATTTTAGAGTTTGTCAAGATCGCCATTTTTCTTTCAGCATTTTTTCTTTTCCTGAAGTTCAGATCAGAGCTTTTTTAAGAAACTTTCTTCACAATACACACAATTTCCAACCCTGTCAGGAAACCTGAGAATAAAGCATCTGAAAGTGAAGATGTTGCAAAGAAAGTAGACGAGATGAAGAAAAACTCCAAGCATTGGCATGAATCTTAAAGCTCATTATCAGGTGGCCAAAGTCAAATGAAAAACATAGGGGTCAAAGATGCTTGTCAAATAATTATGCAATGATAATTAAGTATGCTCTTACGCAGTTCTTATAAAGTCCCAGTTTGCTCGGAAGAAATCCCAAGCCAGTGGTAAGCCAAAAGGATTCCCAGCGACTGCTTTTAAAACGGTTGGTCCATCTTGCATTCGGATGATACTACTGTTCAAGATACTGTCTAGGTACCTGTAAAATCAGAAGTGTAAGGTGATAAGCTGTCTGTACGGCAATACACGTTAATGGGCTTTGTGAATAAGTACCCCTCAATGGTAAGGGTGGGAACGTTGGGGGAGACACTTTGATTGACAATCGAAAACATTGCTGACAAGGCATGACACACGCAAAGACGCTATAGCTGTGAACACAGTCAGAATAACATTAGTTGTGCATACTTTGAGCCATACGCACACAAACCAGTATACGCCCCACTGGGCTATCGAAGGTGGTAAACAAGCACCCTCTCTTGTTAGAATTAAACCAGTCTTGTCAATTGAGAGTAATTCTATTAGGTGAGAAATGTATCCACATTTTAATATTGTGGTGCCCAGAACTGGAGTAGCTTGGACAAGTTGGGGTGAATCTCCCCATGACTTTGTGATGAACAAAACGGAGGGACTTTACACATGGGTAACATTCATCTATTTCTAGCCAAGACAACAAAAATATAATCACTGACCCATTCCATTTGTAATAAACTTTCACCAACTATCACAAGTTCATTGAGTCTTTGATTCTTTTCTTCACTTACTGTCTTAGAATCCATGATTTACTGGTGCAGGCCATGGCTGTCAGCAATGCTTGCTTGACTGAGGTACTTGTGTTGGGGTTCTGGTAGAGATCAAAGGCAAAGTACCACTCATCTGAACCTCCTGCTGCAATAGCTGTACAAAACACAGTACCTAGCACATCCGGAGACATTCTGCAAGAACAAAAGGTCACAAAGGTTTGGGTAACAGTTATAAATTGGTAGGGATTAAAACAATTGGTATCATGACAGGGGGGCGAGGGGGGGGGAACTAAGCCATTGTGACTTAATTGAACCTAAGCCTACTGTGAGTCACTGACTGACTGACCGACTGACTGGGTCACTAAGTATAAATGATGCACCTAGTCAGTTTCCCTGTATGTGTTCTTTCGTTTGCTGTTTTCCGGATTTGCTACATTGTTAGTGTTGCTGGCATCGTGACTTCGGGTGTGGTCCCTGGCTGCATGGCAAACAGGTTAATGGCTTCTGACCAGCACCCTTGAACAAAGACATTTACAAAATGACATCAAAGCAAAATTAGGAACTCCAATATAGGGCTGGATAGTTCAGTTGGTAGAGCACCAGAACGGCAATCCGGAGGTCACTGGTTCAAACACAGCTGCAGTCAATTTGTTTGTACAATCTCAATATAAAAAATGTCCTAAACTGAGGCTTTCTGGTCAGGCTCAACAAGGTCAGCTTGGTCTTGTTGAAAATTGATTATAATCTGGTTATCAAAACTTACAAGGTTTGATCTCCGTTTTCCATTAACTCTGCATACAGGTTCACTGCCATGTGTCGACAATCTACGTTGCCATAGCGACATGCCATACTGACAGCAAGTCCACGGCTCATTCTGAAACAATGAAATTACAAATTACCAACCAAACTAGACTATAATTCAGCTCAGGGGAAACTGGATATAGCAGGATATTATGATGAATACCAACCTTTTTAGATGGTCCCCTTCATTATCCCATCCAATATATTCAAACAGCAGGCTGACCTGTCCTCTCATGTATTTCTGAAAAGGTTACACAGGGAATTCATATATTTATCTCCATCAAAACATCAAACATTAAATGAATAGGTCTCTGTCAAAGTGACAAAATTCTATACAAATTCCTAAGCAACAGCTAAAAATTGTATAAAAGATAACCAAGATTGGATATTGAGTCCAATCTAAGAAGACTGTTACCTTGAAGTTAGCAGAAGCCCCTCTCCTTCGAATGTTTCTTTTGATCATCCCCAAGGCTTGGTCAGCAGCATACCAAGGGACATAGTCTCTTTCGGCCTTCAAGTAGCTGGTCATATCCAGGGCAGTACGGTGGTTGATCTCTCCTGCTGTTGCCAGACTGAAGGCATCACTGATGAGAGAAGCTCGACTGGCTGTTGGAATCACCTTAAACATACAGGGAGGACGTTTGTGTAGAACAAAATACAAGGGGCTTTGCTAGATAAGGTGTGGATTCAGCAATGGCTCTGAGCCAGTCAAATAGAGTTATAGCAAAATTGGAGCAAAGCAACAAATCTTTTATATTCAATAAAACTTTAACAGTAGGGTTTATTCTTCCTAAAACCAGCCATTTAAATACCCATTTTGTTTCTTGACGAAAAATAGCTAATTGTAGAAACACAACTTGCTCAAGGAACGAAGAATCAATCCCCTGTGGATTTACATCCCCATTCTCAACGTGATACCCATGCTGCAAATAACCAGGCCACGACTTCACAATGTAGATTTTACATCCTAGAAGTCAGGACAACACTTTTGCTCACTGTGTGATCAGTGTCCAGTTGAACCTTGAGTAACTCCCAGTTCCTGTCATCATAGTTGACACGGTAAAATCCTCGCTTTTCGACATTTGCTAGCAACCATTCATCATCACTGCCTCCTGCAATCTGTAAGGTAACTGCATCATGAACAAGAATATTAAGAAATTTTTTGATTTTTTTTATTCAAATATTCTGCTCACGTGCAGTCTTGTAAGGTACCCCTAATACAGACCCTTTCTCTAATTCTCCACTTACCATCCTCATCTTGTGGTTTGAGCCACATGCTTCTTGGTGAATCAAAATCAGCACTGCTTGCACTCGTGTAAGTCAATGGCACATACCACTTGTAACTGAACAACAACAAAAACATATCTTCAATTCATAAAGTAACATAGGTACTCCAGTTTACATCCTCCGGCCTATAAGGGAGTGTCTCAATTGGAACAGGCAATGTTCCCCAGTGTAACGTTCCAAGTGTTCCGACTTTTTGAGACATTCCCTGAAGTGAAAGTGAGGAATTAACATGAAGTTAAGGTACACTGTCTACATAACAGATGAGGCGAAGCTAAGTTGTCACTAAGGAATGCCAGTGGCTCTATCAAAAGCTACTTACCCCAAATCTGGGTAGTTTGTAGACGTGTTTGAGTTAGGATCAGACAGGAAGCGTTTCTGCTTCACTGTAGCTGTGACTGCACGAGCACCATTGTAGCTTCTCTCTACTTTGATGAATGGAAAGCCCATCTGAAGTGTCCAGGTTGCCATAATGGTTGCTACATCAAGTCCATCCCCAAGATCTACACTGTCTTCTTGCACTGCCTATAAAAGTCAAAAAACCGAAATGAAAGTGTGGTAAAATATACCCCAAAATACACTTTTTAAACAAATCAATATAACAGGCCTACAATATTTAGTAATGCAAAATTTGGTTTGGGGATTTTCACACTACATTCTCGTGGCTGTGAAAGAATGAACCTTGATTTTATTTTAGCTATCTAACGTCCTAGTATGCGACATTTCGAAGCAAAATAATCATATTAAAAAGTCATTTTTCTCCATGGAATTTCAGTGACAACTATCCAAACAAAGCCAGTCAAGTTTGCCACCTTTCCGTCTCATTTATAGCATTAACCCAAACCCCCTAAGGGCTCTTTGGGGGTCAAGTACCACAGAATATTATATGTTGTGTGCACACTTGTAACGAAAGCTTACTACTCAGTAGTATTTTGTAGCTTTAGGTGAGGTTAGGGTTAAAGGGAATATACAACATTTGCAAACATCGAAAACTAAAACTACCAAGTTTTTACGAAATACTTTACTAGGATGTTGGTGAATGAGAGTATGAAGCATCCTGTAAAATTATGGCACCTGGTGTGAAGTCATTTTCAAGAAAATAGTATTTTTGTATACATTTCCAATGATGCTCGGCCGACCACCGTTGGAAAAACCTAACTATTTTTCAACTACTGATCCAAATTTACCATTTTTTTCAGTCCAAATTTAGTTTGCTAATGGTTACATGTTCATGAACTGGTGCAGGCAGGCTAGACAGGTTCCCTTACCTTACAATTTTCCGGCATCTATAAATATTGATCTATTTCATCTTTAGTGGAGTCAGGGAACCAGACTGCTTGAACATTTTTGTTTTTCTTGGTTTTTCCGGCATTTTCGAACACAAAACTTCAAACATGTTGGTGTAACAATATTTGATCTATTAAACGAACCCCTCAAATAGTTCATTTCTGAAAATTACAACAAAAGCCAATGATGTACATTCCCTTTAAACAATTCTGGTCATCTTTGAATACTTTCTGGTCAATAGTTACAGATCACCTTCAATAGTTGTCTAGATATCCTATTTGCCTTACCTTGTCCATGTAGACCCACACATCACTGTTTTCTGCATTACCATATTGCAATGCGTTCAGGTAGTACTGAAAGAAACAAACAACAATAATAACATTAAAAAAAAAACCGACAGTGATAATGATCACATATTAGTAATTTCAACTAACCACTGAAGTCATGAATTATATTCAGGCAACAAAACAATTTTTTTAAGAAAACGCGACAGAACGTCAACATCTGAAAGGATTCAACCTTTATATTCGAGACTCAGTAGATCAAGAAATTCCAGGGCTGAACATTTGGTCCTGGCTGAGTGGCTGGACCTTCCCAAAGGTCCTCCCAGAACTGAAATGTAATGCTTTCTAATGTTTTAATTTATTTAGTCTAGAAAATAGAGGTTTTATTTATTTCCAAGACTTGGTATAAAACAGAGGAAGGAAGAATAAAGACAACAAGTGATATCAATTAATACCTTGAGTCCTTTTCTGAAAGTTGGCTCTTCTAAGAAATGTTTCATCATACGCAGAATGCAGGCACCCTGGGAACAACAATTAAGAACCACAAATTCTTAGAATATAAGATGTCTTTGATTGATAGTGATCTTTCCTGGATCAACGGGCAATGATTGAGCAATAGTACTGTGGCACAGGCATATCAAGGTAGACTTTGTGATGCAACAAGTTAGACTAAAATCTAGGTAGATTGTAAAACTATGCACTGAGTCCACACAGGACACATACGTACCTTCAGATAAGTGATTTTATCAAACATCATGATGTTCTCTGAGGGTGTCAAGACGTCGATGACAATTGGTCTTGAGGTAACTTGTGCATCCATTGCCATGGCAGGATGAAGATCATACAAAATAAACTTGTCCAACTGCAGCACCCAATGAAAAATGCTAATGTCATTTTTCCAATGGTGACTCAGTTTTCCAAATCATAGCTCAATATCCCCAGTATTATTTTGGGAATTAACGCTTTAAAATTGGTAAGCAAAATGAAAGAACTAACATAGCACCTTTTTTATATCATTTCTATGCAAGCTTTTGAAAACTTTACAGGAGGAAGAAACAAAGGAGTTGAAGGCAAGAAAGTTGTAAAAAACATTGAATTTTTGGTAATATGTAAATGTTAAAATTTCGATAAATTCTGAGTTTGCTCACCACTTCCCATTCTGGTTCTACAAATTTAGCTCCTTCATACTCAACATAGCTGGCAAAACCTTCATTCAACCAAACAGAGTCCCACCACTTCGTCGTCACTAAGTTTCCAAACCACTGTCACAATAAACACAATTTAATAAACAAACTGTGTCATGAACAAAAGCTGCACTGAAAGACACTGGAAAATATTCATATGAACGATGCCACTCAGTAAATATATATCAATGCACGCCATATTCAGACAACTTGATTCCAACGGAATTAAATGTTCATTGTACTGTGTCACAACTAGGTCATTGGTAATAGGTTTTCAAAACCAAGTTTTTTGCATCTGTTAGTTAAGTCCAGACAGCGAGGTCATAAAACCAACTATTCGTAGGCCTGCCCAAAGAAAAATATTGCATGCAATGCAAGTTATAGCTTTTGTATCTAAGCACATTCATGTAGGAGTACCCACTGCCCAAGTGCCCAGAAGTAGTGTTTTCTTTCAATAACATGGGGACAACTTGCACATTGTATGTGACCATGGTCTGACTAACCTGATGGGCTAACTCGTGAGCAATAAGTGTACAGATTGGATACTTCTGTTTTTCTGACGTCTCTCCTTCCTTGTACAACAGCTCCCTCTCGCCGTATGTATTCAATCCCCAGTTCTCCATGGCACCAACCATGAAGTCCGGCAAGGCAATCATATCTAAGACATGAAAAAGCAGAGAATCTGTAATTACATGGTGAAATTTCAGACCCATTCCTAAATCGAAACTGTCGCTGACTGCCTGCATGTTCTATGCAGATCTTAACGATATTTCGTGATCAGGTCGACCATTTTCTATAGAGGACGGATTATCTTTTTTGGCATCGTTATTGCTGGAGTGTGCTGATAAAAAGTAAGCCCCCTCCTAAGGCAAAATAAAAAAATATGTTAAGCATCCCCGCCCACTTCCTTTTTGGAGGCCGCTCCTTTTTTTTTTTACCAAAAAAATGATAAATCTTTAACAGTGACATCATTTTGGCCTTTTTGTCTGTTGTATACAGTATAGATAGCCAATGTAAAGCTGGTATGTCATTCCCTGAGTCCAAGTGGTGGCCATTTCAAAAAAGCTGGCCGCCATCTTGCAAAATAGCCTGGCTTGCGTTTGGTGGCCATTTTGGAGAAAAAACAGGGCCTCCTCCTTACTTTTGTTTTTTCCAATAAGGCAGGACGCCAAACATGTTTATGTTTTACATGGCTTTATGTTAGAAAAGGATGTTTCAGAAAGATTCCCATACATGTATCTGGCCATCACTTCTTATCCTGTGCACAAACCCTATGAGACTGGTCTGAAAACTTCTAAGTTCTAAGTGTATTCTTAGCTTGAGTAACTCCAGCTCCACTGATTATCGCACAATAGAGCAGGAGGCACAACAACATGTACATTAAAAAAAACTAGATCGTTAAGAGGCCCCAAATCCGGGACCGTGTATCCCCCAGTGTATTTCAAACTGTCAATTTTTCTTCTATTATCCCAACCTAGCTACTTAGCCCCATAAATGTGGCCAATTTACTAGACTACCTCCGTAAACATAGGCCACACTTCCACAAGTACAAAAACGTGTCGAACTTTGTCAAATTTTGATTTTCACATTTCATTGCATTTAGGCTTAGGTTGTAGGGTTTTTGAACCCTACAAACTAAGCCTAAATGTGAAAATCAAAATTTACTGTTTTGGAAAACACGGGGGATATACGGTCCCGGATTTCGGGCCTCTGACGATCTAGTATTTTTAGTGTAGTTGAGCCTCCAGCCCTAATGGGATAAGCATTGGAGCTAGTATTTTCTCAGTAAATACTTCAACATTTTTTTCTGCTAAATTTGACTATTTATGACATTGACATATAATTATAGCAGTGTATATTTTGCCGGAGACGGCAAACCTTTAGTAAACGTTAGTTTGCCGGATATGCACTGAACATGCGCAGTTACTGTTTTTTTGTACTTGGGAATTTAATACAATTCAGCCCTATTTTAAAGAGTACAGCGCCCTCTGTTGATATGGATTGCCACCGGCAAACCTTCAGTAATCGTTAGTTTGCCGTCATTACCTCCGGCAAAATATCCACTATCTAGTATAATTATCACTTTCTGAGTGATGGCTGATATTGATAATATTAATTAGGTCACTAAGGCCAGAGGAGAAACAGTGATGGCCAGATATGGGAATCTTTCCAAAATCCAAAACCCTGCCCTGTATGGTAAATGAGTGACCAAACATACCTGCCATCCCTGCTGAATAATATATCAATAATATCATGTTATTTTGTGTCAATTAATGTTGCACTTGCACTTGCACTGACTGTCAGGACTGTTGCAGTTTGGGTTTATAGCGCGGGCCCGTACTACACGAACGCCCTTTCTTCATTGTCACCTCTTGTTTGGCGGTCTTTTAAATTAGAGGCGAATAATCAAATCATATTATTCATATAATTTTGTTTTCCGACGCAGCCACAAATAGGGTACCCACAAATAGGAATCAATTTCGCCGCCGTACGGAATGCTATTTGCTAGAGCGCCCTCCTTAGTCGCAAAATGTAAACGATTTACATCAACGCTGAGGGAGCCCTTCATCATTTATTGCGGTTGATTTTTTTTCTATAACGAATTTGAGGGCGCCCTTGGCCTTCAGTATGGAGGTACAAAAGTGGACATCTGTTTTTCTGCAGTCCCAGTCCAAACATACCATTTTCCACACTTTTGCTCAAAAACGATAGTCATGGTCGACAAACTATCTCAAAAAATAAGTAATGCATTAAAATGAACGGTGGCCAGGTGATTTATCATGAAAAATAGACAAACTAGACAGAAGATTTAGACAAAATATTGTTCTCTCCCTCCGTCAACAGTGTCTTGTGTAAACGCGGAGAAAAACTTGGCGAGAGTGCAGTCCCAGTCCAAACATACCATTTTCCACACTTTTTGCTTTGAAATGACAGTCATGGTCGACAAACTATCTCAAAAATTAAGTAATGCATTAAATTGAACGGTGGCCAGGTGATTTATCATGAAAAATAGACAAACTAGACAGAAGATTTAGACAAAATATTGTTGTTCGCTCCCTCAACAGTGTCTTGTGTCAATGCGGAGAAAAACTTGGCGAGAGTGCAGTCCCAGTTCAAACAGACAACTTTCCACACTTTTTGCTCAAAAACGATAGTCATGGTCGACAAACTTGCTCAAAAACGATAGTCATGGTCGACAAACTATCTCAAAAATTCAGTAATGCATTAACTTGAACGGTGGCCGCGCGCCAGGTGATTTATCATAAAAAATAGACAAACTAGACAGATTTAAACAAATTTACGGTGCGTGATCCAATCTACAGACCGTTTTATGCGCGCAGCCAGGCAATTATAACTTTCTCACGCTTCACACTGGTGACTGACACCATTGCAGCTCAGGATACAACTCGGCGGGAAAGAAAGTCGGCTCACACAAAGAACTAAAATGGAGCAAAAAGCCCTTTTGATTATGCCAACTGCTGTCTCTGACACTTCTCTTTGATTGGAAATGCAGAAAGCAAAGTCCTGGTGAAGGAACACTTCCGCGACCATAGCTCCTGCAGTATGGGGAAGGGGAGCGAAAAGATAAATCCCCGTTTTTTACGCTCAAGAACACGCTCGAGAAATTGGTAAAGACAGGAAAGATCCAACTAATTAAAAAAATTATGCCTTGAATTTAATATTATAATTACAAATAGCCAATGGTGAAATTCCCTTAAAAATGGAAGCACAGATAGTTTCTATATTATGTGCGACACCTGCATGTGGCATTTGTTAGTACATTTACTTCACACTATATTCAACTTTTTTCAATTTTATTTCATTAGCGCATACGAACTAAGCTCTGTTAAAAACATTCCATATCTGCGTTTCCCTCAATGGCATTACCGTATACTAACCAAGCTGTGTAAAAACATGCCATATCTGCGTTTCCCTCAATAGCATTAGCGCATACGAACTAAGCTCTGTTAAAAACATGCCATATCTGTATTTCCCTCTATAGCATTAGCGTATACGAAGTAAGCTCTGTTAAAAACATGCCATATCTGCGTTTCCCTCATTAGCATTAGCGCATACGAACCAAGCTGCGTAAAAACATGCCATATCTGCGTTTCCCTCAATAGCATTAGCGCATACGAACTAAGCTGTGTAAAAACATGCCATATCTGCGTTTCTCTCAATAAAACTAGCGTATGCAAACCAAGCTCTGCAAAAAACATGCCATATCGGCGTTTCCCTTAATAGCACTAGCGTATGCGAACCAAGCTTTGTAAAAAACATGCCATATTTGCGTTTCCCTCAATAGCACTAGCGTATACGAACCAAGCTCTGCAAAAAACATGCCGTTTCTGCGTTTCCCTCAATAGCACTAGCGTATGCGAACCAAGCTCTGTAAAAAACATGCCATATCTGCGTTTCCCTCAATAGCACAAGCGTATACGAACCAAGCTCTGCAAAAAACATGCCGTTTCTGCGTTTCCCTCAATAGCACTAGCGTATGCAAACCAAGCTCTGCAAAAAACATGCCGTTTCTGCGTTTCCCTCAATAGCACTAGCGTATGCGAACCAAGCTCAGCAAAAAAATGTCATATTTGCGTTTCCCTCAATAGCACAAGCGTATACGAACCAAGCTCTGCAAAAAACATGCCGTATCTGCGTTTCCCTCAATAGCACTAGCGTATGCGAACCAAGCTTTGCAAAAAACATGCCATATCTGCGTTTCCCTCTATAGCACTAGCGTATGCAAACCAAGCTGCGTAAAAAAATGCCATATCCGCGTTTCCCTCAATAGCACTAGCGTATGCGAACCAAGCTTTGTAAAAAACATGCCGTATCTGCGTTTCCCTCCGTAGCACTAGCGTATGCGAACCAAGCTTTGTAAAAAACATGCCGTATCTGCGTTTCCCTCAATAGCATTAGCGTATGCGAACTAAGCTTTGTAAAAAACATGCCGTATCTGCGTTTCCCTCAATAGCACAAGCGTATACGAACCAAGCTCTGCAAAAAACATGCCGTATCTGCGTTTCCCTCAATAGCACTAGCGTATACGAACCAAGCTCTGCAAAATACATACCGTATCTGCGTTTCCCTCAATAGCACTAGCGTATGCAAACCAAGCTCTGCAAAAAACATGCTATATCTGCGTTTTCCTCAATAGCACTAGCGTATGCAAACCAAGCTCTGCAAAAAATGTCATATCTGCGTTTCCCTCATTAGCACTAGCGTATGCGAACCAAGCTCTGTAAAAAACATGCCATATCTGCGTTTCCCTCAATAGCATTAGCGTATGCGAACCAAGCTGCGTAAAAAACATGCCATATCCGCGTTTCCCTCAATAGCACTAGCGTATGCGAACCAAGCTCTGCAAAAAACATGCCGTATCTGCGTTTCCCTCAATAGCACTAGCGTATGCGAACCAAGCTGTGCAAAAAACATGCCATATCTGCGTTTCCCTCAAAAGCACTAGCGTATGCGAACCAAGCTGTGCAAAAAACATGCCGTATCTGCGTTTCCCTCAATAGCACTAGCGTATGCGAACCAAGCTCAGCAAAAAACATGCCATATTTGCGTTCCCTCAATAGCACTAGCGTATACGAACCAAGCTCTGCAAAAAACATGCCGTATCTGCGTTTCCCTCAATAGCACTAGCGTATGCGAACCAAGCTCTGCAAAAACATGCCATATCTGCGTTTCCCTCAATAGCACTAGCGTATACGAACCAAGCTCTGCAAAATACATACCGTATCTGCGTTTCCCTCAATAGCACAAGCGTATACGAACCAAGCTCTGCAAAAAACATGCCGTATCTGCGTTTCCCTCAATAGCACTAGCGTATACGAACCAAGCTCTGCAAAATACATACCGTATCTGCGTTTCCCTCAATAGCACTAGCGTATGCAAACCAAGCTCTGCAAAAAACATGCAATATCTGCGTTTCCCTCAATAGCACTAGCGTATGCAAACCAAGCTCTGCAAAAAACATGTCATATCTGCGTTTCCCTCATTAGCACTAGCGTATACGAACCAACTCTGTAAAAAACATGCCATATCTGCGTTTCCCTCAATAGCATTAGCGTATGCGAACCAAGCTGCGTAAAAAACATGCCATATCCGCGTTTCCCTCAATAGCACTAGCGTATGCAAACCAAGCTGTGCAAAAAACATGCCGTATCTGCGTTTCCCTCAATAGCACTAGCGTATGCGAACCAAGCTCTGCAAAAAAATGCCATATTTGCGTTCCCTCAATAGCACTAGCGTATACGAACCAAGCTCTGCAAAAAACATGCCGTATCTGCGTTTCCCTCAATAGCACTAGCGTATGCAAACCAAGCTCTGCAAAAACATGCCATATCTGCGTTTCCCTCAATAGCACTAGCGTATACGAACCAAGCTCTGCAAAAAACATGCCGTATCTGCGTTTCCCTCAATAGCACTAGCGTATGCGAACCAAGCTCTGCAAAAACATGCCATATCTGCGTTTCCCTCAATAGCACTAGCGTATACGAACCAAGCTCTGCAAAATACATACCGTATCTGCGTTTCCCTCAATAGCACTAGCGTATGCAAACTAAGCTCTGCAAAAAACATCCCATATCTGCGTTTCCCTCAATAGCACTAGCGTATGCAAACCAAGCTCTGCAAAAAACATGTCATATCTGCGTTTCCCTCAATAGCACTAGCGTATACGAACCAAGCTCTGTAAAAAACATGCCATATCTGCGTTTCCCTCAATTGCATTAGCGTATGCGACAAAGCTGCTTAAAAAACATGCTATATCTGCGTTTCCCTCAATAGCACTAGCGTATGCGAACCAAGCTTTGTAAAAAACATGCCGTATCTGCGTTTCCCTCAATAGCACTAGCGTATACGAACAAGCTCTGTTAAAAACATGCCATATCTGCGTTTCCCTCAATAGCATTGGCGTTTACGAACCAAGCGCTGTTAAAAATCTGCGTTTTCCGCAATAGCACTAGCGTATCTGGACTATTCTGGATCAAGCTGTACACGAAACAGGCCTTTAGAATGGATGAAGGGCGCCCTCATTTTCGAAGACGACAATAAAATCAACCCAATCATCCGCATAAGATAAAGAGCGCCCTCGTTTTTAATAATTTGATAATAAAGTCGCGGCTTCGCCGCTTTGTCTAATACTGGCAAGTTGAGCCACAATAGCCGTGGCGAAAGGCTAACTTCTTTATTAAGACGGTTATGAAGTTCGCTTTTACGGAACCTTCAGTCCTCTCTTTTCATGTATTTTTTGTAAAGATTTTAATTGTGGGCTATGGTAGGCCTGAAATTAAGCCAAGAAAAAAATCATTAGTAAAATAGACATACGATAATAATTTGTTAACGTCATTGTGCGAAGCTGCAAGACGTGAATAATATTTGAAACGCATCACATAAAAAACGCCCTTAATTTCAGTGATAATTGTACTATGTTTTGTTCACAACCGTCATGACCGAATTGGATGATAATAAAAAAAAATGGATTGGGATGACAGGCGCCCTCATTTTTATGTAAGTAATAAGTTTTAATCTCATGGGATGAAGGGCGCCCTCATCTAAAGTACGGCAATCGATTACCAGAAAGTATGGAGTACTCTAGCGCTGAGATTATTAACAGTAAACCTTCATTCGTCGAGTGTAAATATGTAACACCAGACTCACCCATTTTAGGCAGAGGATATTTATTCTCATCTCCAAACAAGGTATCGAAGTGATCCAATATGGCCGCCCCTTTATCGAGCGCATAGTCCACTTGATCGATGAAATCTTCCCGGGCCCATACGCCAAACTAAACTCAAAAATAGATTTTCAAAACAATTATTACAAAAAAGACGCAACAAATGCACGGAGGTGACTCATTTTGATGGTGGATGAGTGTGACTGTGTGTGTGTGTGGGGGGGGGGGATCGGCTTGCGACCTCTGACATGAATGTATTAGTGGGCCATGATGAATTTTACTTGAGAACATATTTTGTGCAACTTTCTACTGAAACAACGACGAAGCAACAAAGAAAAGACAAACTAATCAGCAAAATATCCATCATTCTGGCAATTTTTGTGCTGAAATAACTTTTTAGTTTTTTTTTAAAGAGATTTAATACCGCAATTACTTACTTTAACGCCATTAGTCGTGTTTTTAAACTTTGCCTTGAACTCACTGATGACATAGCAAACGAGATACGTTGGCATGACAACGGTCTCTTCAAAAGTCGCTGTAATCCATCCATCTTTAAGTTGTTTATCTGGACGTCTTTTGGGCATGTTGGAGAGGGCGTGGTACTCAGGCTCATGCTCCAGGGTGATAGTAAAGATAGCTTTGAGATCAGGCTCATCAAAACATGGGAAAGCTTTACGGGCGTCCACTGGATCAAAGAAGGTACTCGTCAGGTACCTATATTTGAATGATTTAGAAAATTATTTTAGATGAATCAGACTGGCATAAAATCTGTATTGAAAGCATGAAGGGGCGTGGGAATAATCACAATTTTCAAGAATGATTTCAAGACGGGTAATGTTAAGTTCCATGTACAAAGATACTTATCGATTAAGATGGGTTTTTTTTATGTAAACGAAGAGCAGATTAAAGGATAGTTCTTACTTTTCCTCTCCGGAGGCAGTCTTGTAGGACATCTTGTAGTAGCCCAGTAAGTCATTCTTCAACGGTCCTTGAAACTCCATGTACAGCCGATACTGTGCTCCTTTATCAAGTTCGCCATTCAGTTCGATCACAGCAAACTGGTTATCTGTGTACAGCCACGGATCTTTAGCCAACTCAGGAGCTTTGGTCCCGCTACCTTGTCGTGTCAAGGTTGTCTTCCCTCCGCTGATGACCAGTTCCTTACTGTGAATCAGTATTACGTTAGTGTCTTGCAAGCATTCTACCAAGACACTGACGGAACCGGTGAAGATGGAGTTAGTCAGATCGGTTCTGACTTTTAGATCATAGGAGATGGGTCGCAGGGTCTCAGGTAGCCGCGTCGACTCCCACGGCTGCTTGACGTCATCTGCTTCCCTGATGTGTTAGAAAACGACGTGAACCGCGTGATAAAACGGATAATGATACCTATTAACATTTTTTAAAAAATAAGCAAGTGAAGTCCATCACAAAAATCATATTGATGTTCAATATGCCATCGACCCACAGGCACCTGGTTCGATACATCGGTACTTTAAGAAGAATGTATTTTTTATTTTTTTATTCTTGACGAGATGTCTTACCTCTTTTCCACTTTCGGTAAAATCCCTCCCTTCACGCCGACCATCACATCCATCAATATGAAGGCTACGGCGAGAAGGACCATCGAGTGTTTCGTTACCACACCCGTGACCATGCTGATGGAATGATATCACACTACTACCTTGCAAGGAATAGTACCAGAAAATGATCCCAGATAGGGCGAATGGCTACACGGACTGAGAAAATGCCACTGTGTACCCTGGATCCAAAGGCCCAGGGTACTGAATATGGCGTGTCAAACGTTGCAATATTCAATGTTTTACAATGTATATGTTGGATGTTCAATATGTGTTTGTTATCTTTTACATTTATGTGCGATGTTCAACATAAGTGTGCGATGTTTTTCATATCGAAATCGTTGCACCTTTGATGTAAAACTTCGCATACATAATTGAAAATATCGCATATATATTGTAAAACATCGCACACACATATTGCACATCGCACACACATACTGAACATCACACATAAATGTAAAAGATAACACACAAATATTGAACATCAAACATATATATTGTGAAACATTGAATTTTGCAACGTTTGACACGCCATAACTGAAAGCCACCAACAACCAGTGGAATAAAGAGCGACCCTTGTCTTTCATGTCGTAAATAACAGACATTTCGATGTGTGGTTTATGAGTTGTATGAAGGCAACAGACAACTTGAACCTCCAGACTTTTTTTTAGTTTAAAGTTGCAGAAGGATTCCTGTCCATGCCTATATATAATATAATCATACATAAGTTTTTCTGAGAATCAGACTACGTACGTGTCGTTTCATATTCGTAATCCAAATTCAAGTACATGTACATGTAATCCAATAAATTCAAGCAGAAAACCTGTTCAACAACGTACTGTTTTATTTCTACATGATACTTGTATACGGACAATATCGAAATACAAATCAGCGTTTACTTGTATAACTGAGCTGACAGTGACAATACCGATAATTTTAACAGATAATTAATAAACAATGACCTAAAATAAATGGAATTGTTACTTTGACAAAATCGTTGTACTTAAATAATCACAAAATGTTTGGTCCTCGATCAAACAAAAACGCTTCCTTTTTTTATAAGCTCCTATCATTTCTTACAACACCAGTTTTATCATGCCCCCTTTTCCATACCTTTATTTATTTCAGTGTGGTCATTTTTATGCCAGGCATTTCCGTCACAGAGCGCACTTCATACCTCAACTCATTTTTGAGTGGGATTGGGAAGGTGCATCAAGCTTCTCTTTTTGGTTAGCCCTCTCACGGTCCCCAAGTCTCGTCTTTAAGTCTCGTCTCTATAAAGGTCGTTGTCGTGAGTCGCCTTTTCCTAATGTGAACTGGCTGTGCATTATGACTTGTAAAGGCCCATAAACGTTTCCATGGTTACTGTAGCCCATAACGTCGTAAAAGTCGGTAAACATCGTCGGTCAGGAATGTCTGTCCAGATTAAAGTTTGAGACCCCGAGGGCACTATGAAGTTTGGAAGATCCAGTGTGGGAGCGATCCTAGCTTTCGAGAAACATAGTCACAGTTCCAAAACCCTGAGTGACCTCCGCATTTGACATGATTACAGGTGATGTACATGACAGTATAATACAATACAAGTATAATGCTACGGTGAGATAGAGGTACACTCACTACAAAAATGTTACATTAAACAACCTCCCGCCCTTTTCCATTAATACCTCCGCCTCATGTACCTGGTCACTAGTCTGTTAAAATTGAACATTGATTCAGTCTCAGATAATTATAGTTATACATGTACAATGATATAGACTTACGATTAATTATTGAAATTTATATCACCTGTACCACATACAAATCGATTTTAAAACAATCCAAATGTTCTGGACAGGTTCCCCGTGTTGAACAGGAGGCCTATATCCTACACATAATTATTCGATCTCAGCTCAATTCAAAATCTGCCTCGTCACTACTCTCAATTCATTATAAACCCCTTATTCGACGCCTTTACGGTGGATTTTCGTAAATAAATATTGGTCCTACAAGTAAAACAAATCGCTCAGCAAGGCGCACGTACCATACTACTCAATCAAGGACAACTAATCAACAAATTTTGTTTTTACATATTTCATTACCAAAACTGGCAAACATACCTGCTAAAACTTGACAATTTTCAGTCGAAACAACAATAATTCCACATAAAGTTTATCGTCAAATCCACATCAACACAGTGTCACTAAACAACACAACCAACTTACCAATAAAATACTGATTATAGACATCATTTAGTTAACGTGAACATGTAATAAATTTCCATTACAAAAACAACAGGTCCAAAAAACTTCAAGTTACTGAGATCAAGTGTAAAAAAAAACTAATACTACCAACAATTTACACCAAACTACTAATATATTTTCTTACACGTTAAAAAAAGTTGCAATATGCATTAGTTGTCAATGGATTAATGATGCAATGTCCCAGACACCGTTTCGTTATATTTCTCCAGATGTCGATGTTTATGGGTTACAGATTAAAACAATAATCCGTGCGAAGAGTGGGATTCTTACGTCAGTTTGGTGACATTACCGGTACTCATTCTATAATACTCAGGTCGCCATAATGTCAAAACATTGTTTATATGCCTAATACAATATTGAAACTTCCGTTGAAGTGATTTTCAATTGAAAGCATGACGTTTGTTTGAAAACATGCAACTCGAAGGTGCTAAAAACCTAGTTTATAGTACAAATACTCGTACAAAAGATGGCTGCTAATTATGTCAATCAGGTAAGTTCCCAAAATGCATCAGCCACCGGAAACAGCCTCCTCTAACCACCGTTTGACCTCTTCATAGTTATTCTTCATCCAGCGGATGTTGACTTTCGTAATCTCCTCCGCTTGTCTGAAATTGCTCAGCCCCGCCATGCCTGTTAGTTCCTTCTCCTTGCTGGCCACAAAGTCTTGAAGCTGAAGAGAAACATATACGAGAAATACAAATTAATTGTGACAATATGTTTTGATAATTAAAAAAAAAAAAAGCGGCACAATTCTTGCGCATCAACCTTACCTCTTTCAGGTGGAAGTCTGTGTTAAACCACTGAGTGACTGCATCAATGATCTGATTCATCTGGAACAGCGTCTTAGCGTATCTGCACACAAAACAAGAAAACAAGCAAGACATTTGGAAAGGTTTTAATCATAACATAGAGAAATATGTCTTTGTTTTGGTTGTGATGACTGTGTATAAAATATGTACCTCTCTTTCAAGATATCCCAGTGTTGGCGGAAGAAGTTCCAAGCTAGATATCCTCCCAAAGGACCGTTGATGGCAAATTTGAAAACTTCGACAGTGTCTTGTCGCGGCACAAAACTTTCATTCAGGGATCGCTCCATGTACCTATAAAAAGGAGAAACACTTTGACAATATAATACATCTTTGTTTTGACTTTTGTTCAACTAATGATTTTTTTCTGCCCAAGATAACTATGCGCACAATGCGATGCCCCGTATTGCGCGTCCGCGTCGGGTGAGTCGTGCGTTTAAACGCGCAATCGTTGAATGCAATAGAAAAACAAAAGATCGAAAACAAAACAAAGCAAAAAGCAAGTGGATTCAGAGCAGGGGAGACGTACATCGTTGTTTCGCCGGGGCACAAGTTTAGGGCAGTAGAAATTAATTCAGGGGATCAATAAAGAGAAGCTAAAGAGGAAGGGATAATATACACGTTGAGCATGATCTTTTCCTTGACCCTGCTTCTTGGATATTTGTCCTCGAGTCTGAAGACAGCAAAAGAAGAAATGGACTCGACTTCAAAGGACGCTGAAAAGAGGTAGGCCTATAACTTATAAGACAACATTAAAAGTTTCGGATTTTTAAAATATTTTAGAAGCATAGGATGGATGGAACGATGACGATTGACGATTGGAACGATGTAAAATGTCCACCGATAACGGCGCTTTAATAAACTTCGGGAGGTGTATTCTTGATCAATAATATTTTACAAACAAGCTGCATGTTTTTTTTAATATTCATTTCAGCGAACTAGCGAGTTCACTTGATTTATCAATCACGCCATCTAAACACGGTCGCATCCCAGCGTTTATCCGAGACAAACTTGCCTACTTTAAGACAAACGGCTCTACCATAGCTGCTCACCGTCTTCATCTTCGTGTAGCCGAAGACCAAATCATGGCTTTAGTCAACCAATGCAAAGCCATGAAGAATGAGATTAAGGTGTGCAATGCAAAGAAGGATGAAGTAACCAAGGCATTTGAGGAGAAGCTGACAGCGATGGCCACTGACCACAAGGCAAAGATGTCTGAGATGCAAGACAAGAGTAACTTAGCAACCAACAATATGGATCAACTCCTGAAAGATCAAATCTCACTCAACCAAGCCAAAGAGAAGATAGCTAAACAGCTGAAGGAAGCAGAAATGAAGATTCGACGCCAAGAAAACACCAAAGGAGTTTTGAGCCACAAGCTTCATCTTGCCGAGAAAAGTCGATCTGAAATACTGAAGAAGCTGGAGGAATTTGAAGCCAAGTACGCAGAAAACATGGCCAGGTTTCAGACGAAATACAAGAATCAGGAGGCAGCGTATGGAGCCAAGCTGTCTGAGCAAGAGGCGATGTTTGAATCCAAATACTCAGAGCAGAAGTTCAAGCAACAGGAGTCGACATTCGACAGCAAATTCAAGGCACAACAGGCAATGTTCGACACCAACCACAATAAGCAGAGAGAGTTGTTCGATGCAAAGTTCAAGGAACAACAAGACACGTTCGGCAATAAGTGCAAGGAGCAGAAGGCAACATTCGACGCAGTTTACAAAGCACAGCAGGTCAAATTCGACAACAAATTCAGGCAACAGGAGGTTCACTTCGCGGCACGGCTGCAGGGAGAGAGGCGCAAATTGGACGAAATGCAGAAACGGAATGATGCAGTGACTGAAAGGCTGAAGAACACAGAAACTGCTCTGCTCAAATCGAGACAGGTAGGGAACTAATTTTTAAAATTAGTTTCCAAAGAAATCAACTCTCTTCGCTTTTGTTCTTTCAGTTTCAGTAACACTGTCGACCTTTCTTTTTTTTTGGCGGCAGGTCAAAGTGAATCAGGAGTACGAGTTTACCGACACTATGAATAATCTGGTACCCAGAGAGGCGCTCATGACGGTCCAAGATCAGTGTCAACTCTACAAGAAGACCATATCAGTCCTGGCTGCTATCGTGCTGGTTCTATTGGTTGTGGTATTTGTGGGATCAAGGTTTCTCTTTTATTAAACTTGAGAGGGAAGGGATGAAGTTAACGGTCATGTAGCTACAGGTGGGATTGGTAGAGCGGGAGAAACGAGGTATATAATGTTGCTTCCAATTGTACGTACAATGTTCAACCCAAAAAATCTCACCGCTTGGAGACTGGTTTTCGTGACTAGGCATCTTTTACAAGTGTAATTGAGCAGTATTATAATAAGGAAAGAAAATTGATGGGTATTGAGGAAGGGCTCCGTCCATTTTGTGGCATCAAACGGTAAACCCGACTCTTTTTTGGCAGCAGGCGTTGTTTAGTTTTAATTGTGGTTATGCTTTACAAAAATGATATTCACTTATGCAGCAGCTGACTGATGTACAGATTTGAATCAATTACAAAAAAAAACCAAACTTCAAAGCTTTCCATAGAAATAGGTTGCCAAATCATTATAGAGCACAATCATCACCCTGCTGATTAGGTAAAAATGTATAAACTGAAAGTCAAGGAAATAGCTTCGGTCTAGTCGGAAGCGTTGCAATCATGGCAATTCACTTGGAAAAAGGGAAAAACGAAAACTGGAACATTAAATATGATAATGCAATCAGAGGCAGATGATTATAATTTGAAAATTAATACACAAATTTGAAACAGTAACTATGATCATGTCTTAAGATGTAAAAGGTTTTATGAATAAAAGAATCATGAAAAAAAATATTTCATGGCTGTGTTTTGGAGTTTATTTCCTACATGATCTATGACCTTTGACCTACCTGCTGAGTATCCATGGCTCATTAGTCGCAGCCAAAGCCCTCAGCCACTGTTGCCTCTCGCCCGCTGAGCCGTTTCGGTATTGTTGCCATGCGTAGTCTCTCGTCGAGCCGTCACCATTAGCTACTCCAATCAAGTACACGAAATTCCTGAAGTTTGGTGGCACTCTTCAACGAAAGATGCAAGTTTCAAATGATTCATTATAACTAAGTTTAAAAACAGTTTTCAAAGAATCAAACATCACCATTCAATGTCTGTAAACTTTGCGGTTTTTTCAACGCGTAACTCTAGGCGCTCAAACTCTGTCAAATTTTTTTTAAAGATTATTTAGAGTAATTTCAAAATACTTGATTACGAAATCACTTACCTGGTCCCGTATTTTAGGTGTTTCACGAAAAGACTTTTGGCCTTAGATGTACAGTCCTCGTTGCCATAGAAACAAGTTGCTTCCAGAATCTCCATCTGCAATAATCTTTCAGAGAAACGAATACAAGCATAGAACAACGTGATTGTCAGCCACTAGCCGTCTTAGAACCGACAGTTTTATTACTTATAGCTCATTCATTGCCAAGTATAAAACTCATTCTTCGATTCAGGAATCACATAGCTTATATCCTTCTGACATTCCTTGTTTGCGTTCTTGTTTTATGCCTAACTTTCATAATTCTCTTGTTTATTTTTAACTTCAATTTATGGAACTTACCTTCCTTGGTGAGACGCCGTGTCATTCCAGCCGATGTCCTCATAAGCGGGCAACAACTGTTGCACCATGTATTTCTATACATAAAGACAAACATGTAGATTTCAACCAAAATATTGAAACTCATACTTATGAATCAGTGTCTTGTCTAACTTCTTGAATATTAAGTGTAGGCTACATGCAAACAAATTCACATCAATACGTAGAAATCTATTATAATTTTCAATAATAAAGGGGTCTGCTAAATTCTGATTTTTCTAAGATAGACAATAATTATTGGATATTCATTTTCTTCCTAAGTTAAAAAATAAATAAACGCACAACACTCTTGCAAAACGACCAAGTCAGTTATCAGCATACCTTCAGATTTCCAAAGGCGGAAGTGAAGCTAAGCATTCGTGAGACGTAACCAAGGATCTCCAGGGTGACTTTCCAGGGCACGTATTCTCGTTCTTTAGTCAGGTACCTAGTCAGGTTCAGTGCTACAGTGATGCTAAGACGACCAGCAGTTGCCAGGTGGAATGCATCATCTATCAGCATTGCTCGATCCGCTGTACTGATTACCTGTGCAAAGAATGCCGTTATTATGCTGGTCATTGTCTAAACGGGGAATTGTTGATGGAGAAATATCTGATTAACAAAATATTTGGGTATCAGATGTTTCCATTCGTTTCTTGGTAAGTATTTGTTTCCAGACTTTAAATAGCCAAAAAATGCGGGAGAAGAATGTAACTGAATATATTATCACAATTAGCTTAATTTTGCAGGCAAGGTTTTCATCATTAGCCAACGGAGAAGGAATTTTCTTGGTTGAATCTGTTCTTAAGACAACAATATCCTGTACAAATTTACTGATGCAGAGCTTTTGTATGGGTAAAACCAAACTACAAAAAAATGACAAAGCAAACTTATGGTTACAAACAAGACGATTGACATCACCTTCTTATGGGCAGGAGGAGAGAAGACTGGAGAAACAGATGGAAAGAAACAAAGAACCCCGCAGGATGTGACATAACATTTAAATCCTTAATAGAACTTACAAAACTACTAAGATTTTAAATCCCACCTCGTGATCTTCAAGAAGTTGCTTGATGATCAAATTCCAATTGGTTTCGTCGTAATTTGTTCTGAAGAATCCCGTCCGTTTACTGTTTGCCACAATCCACTGATGGGGGCCAATATCTGGCATACTGAAGGAAGCTTTCAAAGGGAAGAAATGTAAAGTTCAGAATTTCAGTATCTCGTGATTGATAATTATTTATTTGGGTTTGAATTCAAAGCACAAAATCACGCCAGCACTTTTTACTTTGAAAACTTCTGCATGTAATATCGTTGCACAAAGCTCCAAACAATTATGTCAACATACCTGATTCGTTACCGAGAATGATTATCGAAGGTGGGGTGATTTGGTCCGCGTATGAATACATTATTGGTATATTCCATTGATACCTGCGGTAAAGTCAAATGAGAAAATTGGAATGCTTTGATTTTGCATGAAAAACAGATGAAGCTTATTAACCGATACTGGGGAAAAAATTGTGTCTTCCATTTATTTTTCCAAAAGAGACCTACCCGTATGGAGATGTGGGCAGACACTCAGTGGCGACTGGTTGCAAGAAAAATGGCGCCTGTGAAATACTGACGAATCTCGTTTGATATTCACGTGTCAGCTTGATGACTGGGTAGCCCATCTGCATAATCCATGGACTCATGAAGGCAGTGATATTGAGGTCGACGCCCGTGTCCCGTAATGCCTGTTGGCAACAAAGGTATAACAAGAGATTTCGACAGTTGCTAAAAACGGTAAAAAGGATCAGAAAAAATATTCATATTCTGGACTATCACATGGACAAGATAACGAAAAAGAAAGACTGATAGTTTTTACGAAAAACACAAACAAACAGCTCACCGTGGATAATGCATCCCATAAATCAGTCGCCTTGACGTTGCTGTAGGCTCTGTTTTGAAGAAATGTCTGCAGGGAAAAAAGATGAGACGAGCGCATCTCAATGTCAACAGTATGTAACGAGGATAAACTTATAAAGAAATGATGATGAATCATTTTTTAGCAGACACTATATGCAAAAAGTAGCTCGATTTCGTTTCTTTTTCCATAGCAAAATATACTTCATATAGATTCCAATAATTTAAAAGTAAACAATCGAAGTAACCATATAGCAGCTTTTTCGACTGAAATTCTAAATGCATCAACATTTGAAGAATTTCCTTGGATTTACTTACTGTAAGTCCGCTCTGAAACAAGTCTGGTCCCAGTATATATCGCAACATACGAAGCACTGCTTCACTCTAAAATAGAAAATATTAAACACATAAACTTATTATTATTCATGATATGTCTCCATGGTGACCGGATTTTCAACATGCAGGTTACCAAATAAAGGAAGTTGCAAATTGTCTGTTGTTTTTCCAATCACATATGACTTGCTGTGACTTGTACATATGGCATCATATGGTTCGACTAGGCCTACCTTGTAATAACTCGTCAAGTCAAAGTTGTTGAGAATAGCGCTGATGTCGTTAATGTTCGGCTGTACGGCGTGAGAGGTTGGCTGGGCATCTAGCTCCATGACTCTCAAAAACTCTTCCCCGGCCAAACTTAACTCATCCATCTGAAAGGAAACAATAACAAGCCAATTGGCTTAGAGCGAGTTGGAATGATTGATGTACGTGGCGGCCCATGCATGCGTGAACGAACGGCTCTCTACAGACCACGTGCATGTCGCGCGCGTTCTTGAGACGGGCGTGTAATTACAGCCCTATTCGTCGACGAAGCGCCAAGTGAACCACGTACGCACGGGCGTGATACCACATAGCTTTGAATTTCAGTATTCGGATCATTCTATTCCTTACCATTTTCCGATTGGGGTAAATGTGATCCAGAGCAAGATGAGCTAGAAGATTGGCGAAGCTTTCCTTCAACCAAAGCTCTCCCCAGTATTCTTGGGTTACCAAATTGCTGTACCACTGCAAGAGAAAACAGATATAAATCCGCGATTTGCGCCAAAATAAAAAAAAAACATAAAGAAGGAAAAGCAAAGTTCTGATAAAATACGTTGTAGATATTCATATTACGTGTTTGGTAATAATAATGAAGCATCAGTCAAGACAAGAGTCGGATCTTAAGGCCAAGATAAGACATAATCTGTCTAAGAAGTTTACCTGATGGGCAATCTCATGCGCTATGACTGTGGCCACCTCTTGTATCTTCTTACTGGGTGTTTCCTCTTGGTTAAGCAGCATGTACGACTCACGGAAGATCAACAAGCCCCAATTTTCCATCCCTCCTGATATGGTCTCCGGTAAAGCAATCATGTCTGTCCAAAAGTAACCACAGCAAATTACTTGAAACAATTTAAATTAGACAATGATGCCTACAGCGGCGATGTCTGGTTCCCCTTCTGAGATCTGAACACCTGAAACTTCAAGGCTTATATTTCCTGGGAACGTTTGTAAAGGTAATGCCTATATATAATCAACTGTTGGGAAATTTAAAGACCGGTACCGTAACAATATTGTACATCATCACTCCTGTTATTTTGACACAATTGTCATGATAGTCTTATTGATGATTAGAGAATATAACTGAAACGATTTCGGATGATTGTTCCATATCAACCAAATCCTATAACTTACCCAATTTAGGCAGAGGATATTCAAGACCACTGTATTTCTCCAAAAATCGAAACGCTCGCGTGCCATACTCTAGGGCAAACGTTGTGTCGTTGAAAACATCTTCTCTAGCCCACACGCTAAACTGTTGAAACAAATTGACATTGCAAATCTAATTAGTGGTGAAGGTGAGATTCATCCATTTTCAACTATTTTAGCAAAAGTCATGTTGGTCTGCACTTTTAAAGGTTACAAGCCTGAGTCTTGAATTGTTAATTCCGAAAGTTGACACTAAGGAAACAAACAATGTTGTAATTGTCGGTTTTATCTAGTCCTTGGTGTTTCATTTTGTAAGCATAAGGAACATTTCCTAAAGTCCACAGTATCTATTTCATGTGAAAGGACGTACCACTCTATTGTCCACAGTCCTGCTCTTCTGCCAGAAATCACATACTACAAACGCTACTAGGTACGTCGACATCTTGGGCGTGGTTTGGAAGTAGGTGGCGTTCCAGCCTTCTTCTCTAGCTTCACGCCGTACTTCTGGCATGTTAGACAGAGCACGGTACCCGACTGGATGTACGATGGTCACAGTGTAGTTAGCTTTGAAGGCAGGTTCGTCAAAGCAAGGAAACACGTTCCGAGCCCCGTTTGGTGAGAGAAAGGACGCCACAATGTACCTGCATGGGGTAAAAGAGTTACAAAGACATCGACATTGATCATGAGTTATTTGTCAAGTATTTCTGGAGCTTTAACAACAATAATAACTTGTCTCTTGTTTTGAACCAGGAAGTGCAAATATTTTATGTGCAGCGACATTTCTGGAATGTGTGTGTATGCCAGAGGCCTGCGTTTGGTTGGAAAAAAACAGCAATGAGCGAAATTTTCTCTTTGCGTGAGAAAAGGAAATTTGGGGGGTTTATAAGTTGACGTGCATGGAAAGTCCAGTTTTGACTGCGTTTAAGATAATAGTCACCAACTGAGCGATACCGACATCTTCACAAGATGTCTGAGTTTGATATCAAAATGCAATTGCAAAAAATAACAAAGATTGTTATCCTAAGTAGTGCTTCAAAATTTGTAAAAACAAGGCTCCTGACATATCGGATGCCGTTTTGTTGAGAAATGTCTGCTGTTGTCAAAGTTCATTTATCGAACTGCCCAAAATTAAAACTAGAAAAATTGCGAGCAAAAGGTCAATCGAACCCGAGCGCTTTAAAGGAAAGAAAAGTTCTTCGGACTTGATAATAAACAAATATTATGCTACGTTTAGGTATTTAGGTAGAGAGTATCGTAAGCTTTCAGACTTTCAACACATGCAGAATATAAACATTAATTTAAAACAGCTAAATAACTCACTCAGTATTCCGATAAATCAAACGAGTCAAGTGAAAATATCTCATTGTTGACGGAGGCGCAATAACCATTACCACTGAAGGTCACTTCCATTAAGAAAACAACAAAATCATGCAACATTAACATACCAATAAATCCCCAAACAAAATTCTAAAAATACCGACTTTTTGTCCTCATTCTTCAAGTTGGTAAAAAGTTCTCCCAAGACGCATCTAATATTTTACGAGTGTCACTTCGGCTTGGCCGAATTGGGTGAAGTTAGATCGCTCATGACCGCGCAGTAGGGGGTGTAGTGAAATATGTACAGCTATTATTTCTCCCGGTGTATAGATTTTGAAATCAACATAACTCAGTCCAACCGGAACCCCTTCGGAGTCTCCACAAATTCCAGCCTTCACCTGTGATGTCGGGGATCTTTCTTCCTGTCACCTGCCTAATTTGGATTCAGAAACACCCCCTCTGTGGTGTAAATTAATGGGGTCAATACGGCTTGTCTGTTAAAGTTGTGGGATTTTCCTTCGTAGGATTTTTTAAGGGCCAAAGTGTTCCAGCCGAAATTGAAATTATGTATTTGTCACTAAACGACCGACAAATGAATTCCCTCCCGAAAAAAATCATTATTATTATTTTCAAAGCAAGTTCAGTTAAAACCATTATTATATTTTATTAACCAACTGTGATGAGTAGCAGGTTACGTACTTCACCGTTTTGTTGTTTCGAGAAATTTCGAGCTACGTCTATTAGGACTGAGACTGGTTGAAAATATTTTAAATGTTTGGAAAGAACCAGCGTAGCCTACACATATTAAAACAAAACGTCAGCCATACGGGGGAATTGTTTTTGTGTTCCTTGACTTTGTCGAGTTATATTCGTCCTTGAGCTCCCATTATGCTCCAGCTGTGGGGCGGACAATCCACCCTCCCACACCGCTGGTTCCTTCCCGGATCTCAACTTATTGGGACTGCATTAGCATGAAAAAAATATGCCAGCAAATTCTCCATAAATTTTCTTTTGTCTGTATTAACCATTGGAATGTGTCTGGCTTATCCTTAACCTCGAACTACATCTGCGCTTTAGAGTGCTTTTAACATTCCAACAGAAGTGCAAATTAAAAACAAAACAGTGCCACAAACATCATACTTTGAAGAAATACATCCGTATTTGTTCTCTGAGAAAGCAGACGACTTAAATATCCAACTGTACTTAATTTTTCAGAGTATTCCCCTCCACATAATTTCTAGTTTGCCTGCATCTTCCACCACCCAAGGCAGTGCTAAACATCAAAATAACAAATGTTATCCTTTGCCTGCAACTCTGAGCATCTGTCTTTATTCAGTGGTTCAAATATCTCACAGGCTCGAATTACAAGTAATAGGGACACGGTTAGGCAGTAATACACTTGGTCAGCTGTGAAAACACCTCCTTAGCTTGGAGGGAAGACTGTAAAGTCAGTCGTCGTTCACGGGTGAAAACCAATATTATTCGACATAGTAATAACAACTAGTTTACATCGAATGGAAATATTTGAAAGAATCATAATTGTGGACAACTTCAGCATGGCTTAAAGGAAGGGAATCAAGAATTTCCCACGACTGAGGAACAGATTTGCGGTGCAAGACTTGAAACAGGGCCAGAAATGACTGTGAGACTTGAGCAATCAAAATCAACATCGGAAACAAAACAGGGACAAACGGAAAGATAGCAAATTGTCACCGTTCTTATAGTCATCACGGCAGGTGAATCGTGAAAGATCTTTTATGGGCACACACAACATTCGGAGAAATGGTTCGACATTATTTAAATTCAGAGTTCGCCATGAACGAGATTTAATCTTCCACCAAGACTTGGAACAACTTGAGAACAGACCGCATCAACCATCACTGTTTGTATTCTAGTCAACGCAAGGCAAATATCGACTGTTCTCGGAACTTATCGATCTGACGGTCGTCGACGTTCATTGTTTTACCGGTGGAAATTTTGGGGAAATCTGCCTCAGTGGGCATTTTGGCAGGAACATTATAAGGTATCAACCCGAAATAACACGATGTGAAGGAAAGAGATAGGTGCACACGTCAAATAAAAAAAATAAAAAAATTTCATGGAATGCCTCATCCCTTTTATTTTGTCCCTTATCCAATCTTCACTCTTAAACTTTCAAATAGCTCACGATACTCAATCAAACCATACGAATTCCCCGTTATAAATCGTTCGTATAGCACTTTGTTATCTCTGTCAACACCGTACCATTTTCAGAGGCCGGCGAAACGACTTGTGTAACATGTATAACAGAGTAGCTAGCTAAACACTCCGAGCTGTTCCTATAGGAAAACTCGGAAAACTTGACCCAGTTTTAACAATGCTTATTCAAATTAAGCCAAGACGTATACTGGCCTATAACAATTGAATTTAAATGAAATTTAAATCAAGATTAAAAAGTAATCGAAACATTGTTAGAAGGCCTAATCTTAATAGTTATTAAAATATTAAACGACTATTGAGACGATTGAGATGACCATTTAAGAAGGAATATCTCTTCCTTCACGAGACCAAAAAAAATGTCTTTTTCGTGTTAGCTAAATAATACTCCATGCAATCATTAATTATACACCTCACTAGATGGCGCTTAGGACTTCATCGGAAAACTTACAATAAATTTCATAGCCACGAATCTCCCCTATATTTTGAACTTCCCTTGGATGTCTTCCTGACCATTTTGAGGCGCACAACCTATATTTCCAATATTTGAAAGGAATATGACGTTTTCAACATCTAGCAGCAATAAGCCCTTACCTCAGAGGGTCCAGGCTGAACGACGATTCCCAGAGATCACGATTTAATGGGTTTTAAAGCTCCGGAATAAACGCTATGTGGGATTTCCGCAAGAAGGATGGAGCGCCTAGTGGGACATTTTTAATGGACTGCCATGACAACTGATGACGTAACTTTTCCCCGAACGATCTGTGATCTTTGACTTTTCGACAGTAACCCATTCCTAAACCTCAAAACCTCAACTCTTCTCCGGAAATCCATCTATTATGATGTATTTCACATAATAAAGGCACAATTGCAAATCGTTATTGTAACAGCACCCTCTTTCGATTAGCAATCCACCCATTAAACTTAAAAAAGCTCGCTTTACAGGTTAACAAATTTCGTTTAGTCAAAGTCCACACTGTAAAATCAGTATCCTGGCGTGAATCTATGACCAACGACCCTGGAAGTAAAATAGTACAATTATTTACAAATCGTTTATATGAGTAGTCATTAAATACCCATTTGTCACTCCATCACTTCCATGCAGACACAGCATTGAACCGGTCTCAATTCCTAGCCATCTACGGTTGTTACGGTTGTGTACAATTAAGCCCTGCGTACAACTTCAGAATTGGTGAAAACTGCATCACATTATGTCATTACCGGTTATGACTTCAGCAGGAATGTTTGTGTCTTACCGAACCACTTGATCCCGGAAACCAATTTGACTTCCATGGCAAATAGTTTAATTGAGTGAAAGTGCCCCTTTTGTGGTAAATTTTGATGGGCTGTGTAATGTGTTGGTCGATGTACACTTATACCTATTTAGTTTTGCCCCTCAACTTTGTCTTATGGCTGTGAATCCGTACGACTCATTAATTTGTGTAAGGGTTGTATAAAATGTAGCCAAACTAGCAAAACAAAACCAACTGGCCAAAATAAGTACGTTCAGGGGAAAACAAATGATGATTCTAGTTTTATGCATAGTGCCACAATCGTGTACATCTTACAATGAGTATAGGATTAAAATATTCCCAAATGAAACTGCCTGTCGGTGATTGTGAGAACTTATTAGAAGGTAAAGGCAATTAAAATTTCACTTTGCACGCGTTGTGGAAGTACACTTGCTTCGCATTTTAGAATAGAGAAGAAAGGGTTGGAATGGTCATACGGAGCCATAGGGATTAAATAATGCGGAGCAAGATAATTCCACAAGATTAAGTACGGGAGGGGACACTTAGGATGGCCCGCCGAGACTTGCCTCAAGAGAGAGGATATTTGCTGCACCACTCTGCCTATCAGCTGAGAGGAATATGAGGATTTAGTTTGAGAGTTACTCAAGAGCATCTCTCAGACATACATTCCCTTGAGGTGTTTTGGGCAGTAACTCGATTATTTTCTGGTTAGAAATAGATGGAGATGTAAAATGAATGTGTCATTCTGTGTTTAATGGTGGATAGTCGTACACGGGTTTGGCAATAATGCAAAGTGTTCATCACTGCACTGCAAAAAGGTATCTTTGTGTGCAGCAGCAGGTTGAACATAGCTAAACACGGTTAAATACTATCTTAAAGTGTCAGTGAGCATATCAAGCTAAATTTTGGAGTTGAATCATGACCTATATAAAGGACGATGTCGTTAGCGTTAACGATGGATCCCTCCTTACGTGTGTATTTTTCAAATCTTCAAAGGAGCTCATTTGGACACTTCCTTTCATGTTGTACTTCCGACACACATATTTCACCTTGTATTTTCTAGGTTCTATTATCATACGATACATCCGTCATATCCATGTTACTACAGGAACCGTGCAGCGAGACGCCACCACAAAAAAGACCATCTTTGCTCCGCACAAAAGACACAAACAGAAGAGAGATGTTGAGACACTGATACCCTTGCTTCCTGGACAAAAGATGAGCGGAATCTGGGAAGGTATCTCTGAAGAAAGACACTCTGATGTAGGAGCAGTACAAAGGGGCTGAAGGGAACCCTGATACACACTCTGATACTCTCTTTCACTCACGGGTATGAGAGAGCTGCAACTAGAGAATCCTCTTCAGGCTTTCTGGCAGAGAACAGGTTTTATTTTCAGGCAAATTGAGGGATTTACATTTCAACTTGGAACAACACGGGGAATTATATTTCGAAAGAAAAAGAACCAAAGTGCAGGCTTGAAAGATTAACTCATCACCATGACAATGCCACTGAGTCGGAGTTGCCATGACAGACTATTGTCCAAATTCGTTGCCAGTGGCAACGTGTAGAAATCTAGAAATCCCAAAGGGAGCATGTGCGATAAGATTTGGTGTTAGAAGGAGAAAATGCTTTAAGGAACCGTGCATGCCGTTGTTAACACAACCAAGGAGTGAATATCAAATAACCGCAACTGATTATTCAAATAGCAAATTTGTGTTTAGTATATCACATGAAGTCTTTGATGATCGAAAATAAAGATACCAAAATTCCGCAAAATGTAGAGCTGGGAATTAAAAGGCCACAGTTAAGACCTTAGAATAAAATGGCATCTTGGCCGTGCCCTTTTTTATTTTCACAGTAAACGTTTATCCCTTTAAAATCGACAGCCCATAAAATAATTGAATCCGGGATACAAGAACGGCAAAATACGCTGGCTCCGCAAGTCTCAGTTCTCAAAATACAAAATAAGCAATTTCTACCACTTTTCGATTGAAATCTGTCCAATGATATTCTAAAGACAAGACGAACATTTTAAAGGAAAACAGTGAAGAATAACAAGAGCTGGTTTGTATTTAGTCCCTGAATGCGGATTAGAATTCACAGTCTATTATTATTTCATTAAAAAAATACGCATGGCAGTTAGGAGGCTGAATTACGGTCATTTTACAATAGTAATTATAGTTATTTGAGATTTGAGTTATACATGTAATGAGACCGTAATGAATCCGTGGCGGCTGGTTTTTTATCCGCGTGCCATAACCGTTAATAAAGATTTTAGGGGCAATTCCTAGGAAATCCAAAGTTTAGTACCACGAAAGAAGAAAGTTATCCAAACAAACGTGCATTAAGACACGGTACTATAGGATTTCAAGAATATTGACTTATTTCAGTCGGACTAGTTGGCGGGTCAGCTGAGTATACTCAAGCCTTAAAGAAAAAAAAACACTCAGAATATTGGAGTGGACAAAAAAGTATGCAAGTCGAAAGTCGCTCAGCAACTGCATTAAGTCATTCGTGTTTTCTTGAACCAGATTCAGTTGTATCGATTGCTAAAAGGTTGTAAAATGCATGTTATTGACAAAAAGCTGTCTGCAATGGTTGATGGAAAAATTGGTGATTGGAGAATTAGATTTATCCATTTGTCGGATCTAAAAATAGCCAAGAGTTTTAAGCAAAACATCGACTCCTTTCTAGGTCAGCGGCATTAGTGTACTTTTGTAACAATTATTACTTGCACTTTTTTTTAAAGGAGGTTCAATTGGCAACGAAAGATGCTGCACGTTTGTGGGAAAGATTTGAGGGCCACAATTCTAATAAACCGATGTGCGGCTCTGTGGATGTTCTGGAGGGCTTTGTTGTGAGAACTTTTTTTCAGGAGGACCCAAGGGATTTGATTCAGCAATTATTTAAAAAATGTATTGGTGCTTCTAGCTTTGGGAACGTTGTGCAATGAGAAAAATATGCATTTAGTTACACTTCAATCGCTGCGAAGCGAAAGTACGGTGGAAATTACCAATGCAATCAACGTTTTGGATATTATTAACAAGAGGGCACTTATTCTGTACCGTTGATTTAAAGGGAAATTGGGACTATAATCTTGATAGCACTTTTCAAATAGAATTTGAAGAAGAGGGTTGCGATCATGACGCAACCATGATCTTCTAAAATAACATAGATGACAAAAGATCAACGTCAAAGAGACTTACTTGGTTTGTCCTTGCTTGGTCTCATACTTGCTGACGTATAAGCCTCCAAGATTATCGCTAAATTCAGCATGGTATCTGATTCTGAGCGTGTAAATATGACCCTGCTGTAACTGTCCATCTAGAGTCAGAGTCATGAAATGAAAGGGTCGGTAGAACTCCGGATCGCCCGTTATCTTAGGCGCCTTGCTTAGCCTAGGTCCACCGTCTGTGGTTGTGGCAGTTTCATCGAGCTGAATCGAGACAATGTGCAGTCCGGAGCTGTGTAACAAAATGAAGCGAGTGGGAGTGCGACAGAGGAAGTGTATCGCCAACGCCCCCGCAAAGGTGTTGTCCGAAATGTCAGTGCGTAACTCCAATTCGTAATGGAGTGGTTTGAGAGAGGTGGGAAGGCGGAAGGTTTGCCAAAGGGGATTGGTGACAGGTTCAATGGTATCTCCTGGAGTGGCAAGTCCAACACTGGTCACCTCAGGTTTTGGAGATACCCGTACCTCACCTTTGTCGGTTTGGTTACTACTCAATCCAGTCCCAAGGCCCCCACAAGTTTCGTTTTGTCGACCGATCAGTGAGACTAGCAGACAAGCCGTGAGGATTAAGACAAGGCACACAGCAATGACAGCAATAGTCTTGATACGAGTAAGTCGACTACAACTTGACTTTGGGGTATACATACGGACCCCAGTCATATGAACCTCGCCATCCTCCCCAAGATGATTCTGTCCGCCTTTGGTAGGACCAACAATGAAGTTGACAATACGGTCTTTCTGAGGCGGCATCTTGGAAGAAACCTGACTGCTCCAGACTCACTGACCTGAAGGATGACACAGATGGTTCACTGACTGGATGAGAATGAGGAGTCCAAATGGTACGATGAGACGCCTTGAAGACTGCATCTGACAGCTAGCATCCCTGGTTCATGTTAATTAAGTGACACAGCTAGAGATGCACACTTCAGAATTTCTGGCGCATAGTCAAGTACCACTACTGTATGCTGAACAGTCACTCACTTCAGATGAAACTTGCGAGGCAGAAGACGAAAATCATACACCAAATGCCAAAAATATCCTTCAATTAGGGTTCATTCTAAGTTGTTCATAAACAGGATTAAGTTATTGGTATCATTATCACGAATTGTATGCATTTGTCAATCATATGAACGTGAGAGATATGGCAAAATCGCCAATTGGTGTAAAAAAACAACAGGCCGAATTGGTACAAAGTGTTTTAAATCTTTGTATTGAAAAAATATCAAAATCACAAGAACAATTCTTCGTTAGCAGCCGTTAAGTGGTCCTCATACGAACACGACACACTCGGAGTTGAAAATAAAATTATCTGCACATTGGTCGGCAGTAAGGGGCGCGTTGGTTGACTAGATCAGCTGAACGGAGCACACCGAGTGATCACCTGCGGTAGCAGACTATCTGTATGGTGAGAGGTCGAGAAATAGTCGGACCCGTGTGAGGGAATGACTTTATCGACGTCCGCTGCTGTAGTATTCACTATCCGCCCAGTCACGCATCCAGTCGTAAGGGAAGTGTAGTTCGAGGTGAGGTAAGGTGATTTCAGGGAAGGATACCTAGAATGGACTCGTAGGCAAATTGTCGCGCCACTGGAGTGGAAGATTCTTTTAACAGGAAAAGTTCAAATCTGCAGAATTTGTGTCAGTTGTTGGTGAGAAAAGAGAGAACAATTACTGGCTCATTCCCCGTCATTTCCAGGCCTGTCCAAACGAATTCCACTGTCATCTTCATACATTCGATCAGTTCACAATTACGATTATTCGAAGAAGCCACCAAAATCATATCCATCACAGAACAAACAATTGAAGCACAAAGCTCGAGCTGGTTTCTTAAGATGGCTGCAAGTACATTGCTATTTTTCCGCACCTCAGAATCTATAATTCAAGCTTATCGAGGAGGTCAAATAATACTCGTTTCATGTGATACAGCTGCGATTGTTGTCGCTTGTTCATTAAACATTCAGAAAGATGACAATTTACATTTGTATTTTCATTCCGCATGATGACGCACAGTTAGCTTCAAAAGAATCCAAGATTGATTACATCATGCATTCAAGTACAAGACTTCATATAAGACATCCACATATCTAAGGGGCGAGTATGACGCTTTGATATCGTGTAGAGGTCCGTTCATTCACTGCATCCAGCGTCGATATTATTAAAAAGCCTGATAAGCTTGCGTGCTTGCAGCGGCCCCGCCGAGACCCAACTGAACAAACGCGGCCGAATCTATGGTGTCAGCTCAAATTCAATCCAACCTCCCGCTAGCTTTGTAACCCGAAAGCACGTTCATTGTCAAAACACCACCCGTATACCTTCAAAAACATGAAATACAAAGAGAGGGGAAAATATGAGTGTGCAAGGTGATTCTTTTGAATAATAATGAGCCTAAGATTTGAGAGGCACGTGAACGTTGATCACAAAGCCGGATTCTGACAGTATTTCCCACATGGCCGAGAGAGAAATATACGCGCTTCTTAAGAGTTCTGAATACCGAACTAAAGCTGTGGTATTTATGAAAAGGTTGCATAAAAAGTCGAGTGGGTACAACTGTCACCTGGGGAAACAGACATTGTTCCCCTCTGTAGTACAGGACTTGCCCGTACCACTGCACCGAAATATGGTTCGTGACAAAGATTACGTTTTGTCGCTATTAAGCAAACCTCATGAATCAAAATATTTTAGGATTTCACAAGTAGGCCACTTCCTTGTAATTTTTAATGTATTGGTGCATGTATAATGACGTTGCGCATGAATAACCATTTGGAATTTTGTCACCACAACACATCCAAAAGTCCATCATCATTTAATTTGAATCCAACACCACAAGTCACTTTGTTTTCGTACCGTCTGATTGATCTGTCTCGTTCGAGTTTCAAATTTTGCAATAATATTGCAAAATGCCTGTAACAATATTCTTATATTACAGGCATTCCCGCAAATATGACAAACGATCCAAGATACCCTCTCATGTTTGACGCCCCTTTGGGTCTATTTTTAGCCACATTTCTAGTGGGTGCTTCTTAAAAAAAAATACAGGAGCGAGGGAGGAAAAGAAACCAGAATCGATTTAGGAATCAAACAAGTACTGTCAATATTGGCAAAGGAATACAGCTGTCGGTCACTGACAAGAAAGGCAAAACATAAGGTGACCTTAACAACAACTATATTCCCTTTACGACTATCGCTCTGTTAGGGGAGGGTGGCAAATAACAGAGTCTGTCTTGCCTTAATTTAAGGATGATTCTTTTTTTCAATGAGAACAATTTATCTGCCTTGAAAATTGTTGTTGTTGTTTATTTTTTTATCAGAGGACGTCTGCGTGGAAGTTAAAGTAAACATTGGCAAATTACCCAAACTGAAAAATTAACATTTTCCTGTAGCCCTTTCATCCACATCCAATATGTAATGTGATGTGGCAAAATTCATCTGTTTATGGTTATCTTTGTGACAGGCATATTGACAATATTCACATAGAAGTGACTAGTTATCCATGCTATTGATTAAAATACACATTTTGCCTAGTTTACACAGAGTGAACTTTGTGGATCCGTTTTCACAAAAACAAACATCTTGACAAATTCGTAGTAACAAAGATTCAAACGTATATGGTTCCTGTGTTGTTACAACACTCGAAACTGTCAAGTGATAAGAAATTGCAAATTCTTATGTCTGGATTTGTAATTTAATTTCTGGTATGTTTTGCAATACATCTTATGTGGCCACGTTGCTTTACGGCCAGTCTAGTAACGTAGCAGCAAATTTTACCAGGGAAAAAAAAGAAGCAGAAATCCTTGAAAAAGAAAGTTTTCGGTTTGATTGAATTGAAATTAAAATTGATATCCGGCACAGTATTATTCCTGGAGATGAGATGTGATTTTTTTTCTATTAAAAAGCATGAAAGAAACCATAATGATCTCATTTCACATGGAAATAATCTACATGTTCCCCTTCAACACACATACAGTTGGTAATGACGGAGTGATCAGGTGCGTATTGTTTGGGGTTCCTGTCAATTAGGCTGGATTGTCAACGTATCCGGATAACGAGCAGTAGCTCGTTTGCGTACTACACATCCTGATTGCTGTTTTCGATTTGCTCTGCTTCATCGAGTTTGGGGCCTCAAAATTAACTTAACAAACGGCAGTATTAAAGCCTTCGTAAAAACGCAGTTCCAAGTTAGCAACACCCTTTTTTTTTAATGTTTCAAAGACTGAGAAAAAAAATTGGATTAAATTGTTCTGCCGCGTGGTAGTGATGCACCGATTAAACCGGACCACGACAAGTACAAATAATTATCCAACAACTTGTTAAAATACTAGGCCAATGGACTCGGAAATGTGTTTAATATTCAATTTCCAGTGCGGAACTTCAGCTCTTCCCACTGGCGTTCGGTGAGGGGTTAATGGGCTTGTGATTGCCTGGTTCAAGCACGGGACCCGTTGCCTGGGACTCGCATTCGCTAGCGCCATCCGGTGTCAATGTTGATTCGTTGACGGCACCGGCAATCGGATATCCGGACACCGAGTATCGATCTCCCCTCTTCCACCCCCCCCCCCTTTCCCTTCTTCTTTCTCTACCTTGGTTAAGGGTTATGGCTTGCATCGAACGACAGAGAACACGCTCTCCAACCAGACTTGAAATCGCGGCAAGCACGTGACCTCTGAACGAGATTTGAATAAGAAGACTGAACTATACAGCACGGCAGTGATAGCTTGAATTTAACCCACTTTCCTTCAATTCCACGAATTGCGTGGTGAAAATCAATAATGGTAAAATGAAGCGTAAATGGCTTAAAAGCTACTAGGCCTATAGATTATGCTTTAAATGTGAATTGATTGTGCTCCGATGTATCTGTTGTCGTGGCAACATCATTTTCCCCTTTGTAAAAGTATATCTCGCGAAATCCTTCAAATAAATATGAAATACAAAAAAAACCCAGCTTTCAAAACATACTAATGATGATAATTTTAATTCGTAAAATGACGACAGTGATTCACAAAATAAAACTATACAGCAACCAAAGAAATTAAGCACTGTATCGACGAAAGGATATCAGCGAATTTCACTTGGTTCATTATTCAGTGGCATGAGACCATGCGAAATATAAGTTTTATATTTTGTTGCCATCGAGTTTAGGTCTATTGCGATAAAAAAAAAACCGATAATAAAAGCTTGAGTTTGGACAGCAAACAAATGGCGACCTCTTGCGGTGTAGAACATTTTTTTTTTACTCCTTTCAGAGGTGAAAAGACAGGATGAGTATATATCTGATAAAAATGGACAATCTTGAGGGCGCGCGACAGGAACCATGTTTGTAGATGTTTGATACTATTTTTGCCAGTCACACTTTATAAGCACAAAATCCAGCAATCAAAACTGCAAAATAATTAATTCAATATCTATGCAAACATTAATTCTGCATCGTTGATGTTAATCTCTTTTTTAACATCATGCCAATGCCGTTTGGTAACTTTGATGTGAAAACAAGAATACATGTACATGCACATTATTTACATTCATATATTATACAGAATAAGTAATTAGCAATAACTGTGTGGATTCTACATGTATTTCAATTTTAAAGATTCTAACGAAGTGAATATATATTGAGGAATTTTAAAATGACACTTCACAACGAGATGATGTAATGGAGAAGAAGAGCACTGGGATCTCATTAACAATGCAGTTAAAAAATATGCCAAAACTTCAGGAATATTTCAATCCTACTTGACAATGAGGTTCCTCGACAGTGAGGAAAAAATTATCTTATTAAAATCAGAGCAGCATGTTAAAGTGTCATGTCTCATCAATGCAACAACTCTTCAACCTGAAATTGTAAAGTGTACGTTGTATTAACTGGGTAGCATTACAACTAAACTGACCTACATTATTCCTTGTCACGTTTCTTGATTTTCCGGTGCCCATGCAGCAGTAATCATTACTTGTCCTCTCTTCAAAATGTTATTGCAGAGAAGAATCCAGCATGTGATTCCCACAGCACCAGGAACAGCGCTAGGGAAAGCAATGAACCAAGACAGGGGCCACAACCATTCCTCATTCAGGATCAGCATGGGTTCGTGGCGATATCTCCAGATGAGGAAGATAAAGCAACATGTCTGCCAAGATATGATGAAACATAATATTATTGGTATAACTACATTTGTAAAAGAAACAAAACAAATCATTTTGAATTCAACAGAAGGTAGATTAATTTAGCATTCTTTATCCTGGAGTAAAGTTTTGATGTAAGACCTGACATATCATAATTAGATGACAGTTGTTGATGTGTCTTACCTGTACTGAATTCAAAGCTAGCGTCAGACCCCAACTGACAGTGAATGACTTGGCAGTTTTGCTTTGCCCTGAAATAAAAGATTCAAATAACGCAGATCATTACATTAATTAGAGTATCTATATCCATGCTTAATTTTACACTTTATGTTTTTGTTTGTGACATTTTTTCCAAGAAATACTATGCCCACAATGCCAAAGACTTTTACTGAAAGACAAAATATCATGTACATGTACATGTACTGTAAAACCAATTATCACAGCACAACTGTATTGTTATTGAATAGGTATATTTAGTAGTAAAAAAAAAAAAAAAAAAAAAATGTGAATACATTTATAATATTTCTTAAGTTTAAAGTTGGCCCTAATGCCCTGCTGCTTGACTGAATAACACCGATTTCATGGCCACATTCGATAGACACTTACTTATTTTCTTGAGTTCATCTTTTAGCTTGTTGATTTTTCGGTCAATCCTTGCAAACTTTGGGAATTCCTCTTTCACATTGAGTTCTGACTGCTCATCTCCCAGTTTCTTTATCTTGATCTTTAAGCTTCCTTCCACTTGACTGTCTTGAAATAGGATTTTTGTAACCTGCATATGGCAGCACAAATATAATCAAGAATTCAAAATGTATGAAAATTGAAATGTAACAAATTCACACGCTGCACTGTATTACTATTAACATATTTGTTGGCACTGCAGGGAACAATTCGGGAAGAATCCTATACATGGCCATCAGTATGAGAAAATGATAACAATAACTTAGTTTTTTTAGCAGGGAAAATTTGAAGCATTTTATGATTTACCCAGAAAACACTTAAAATTGTTCAAACCAGTCTCAGTCTAGTCATAGGGTTTGTGCACATAGTGCTGTCCAGGTGTGGAATTCTGTCCGGAAAAAAAACCGTTGCAACCTGAAGCCACTTCGCGATTGTGTACAAAGGCTATGGAGAGTCAAGAACATTTTCCAAGTGTTTCCTATAAGTAGGCCTATATAAGTACAAAATTGGAAATATTTCTCAGTCCCTACTCCTACTCCTAGTTTGTGATTGTCCCAGATTCTCATCTTATTTGCAATGAATGACCTTCATTGAGATGATATATGAAGCAAAAAATGGCGTCACGTTGCAACATTCTTTCCTTCTGTCCCATTTACTTACTTGTTTTACTATGCTTGGGATGAAATATCGGGACAAATGAAGGACGAAAACGGCGAGAAAAACAACGAACATGGAGGCTGCCATCTTGATTTTCATTCCCGCACTCGTCACAGGAGGGCGCTAAAGAGGTCGACCAAAAGTGCAAAAAACGCTGGTTTCCAAACCTCGGCGTCGTTTCGGCTGAGGTTTCTCTCTAGATCTATCACGATTTTGACGCCTTTTATATCCAGACCAAACGCAAATATTGTAAACGCAAATATTTTAAGCCTTGGTGGTATCTTATGGTATTTGATGTTCTTGAGTGAAAAAATGAACCCCATTTTGAGTCGGAGAGCTAAAGCCGGGGTCTTAATGCCTGAGAATTAGCCACCGAGCCGAGACAACACCAGAGTTTGGACCCCCCCCCCCCCCCGGCAATCGGGCCGGGAGGAATCAACCCCCCACCCCAGTACATTTTCCCTGAAGTCACTGCAAATTAGTTATTCTAAACATCATCTCGTACACATCTTTACACATGAACGCAAATGGGATTGTAATTGTGATACAAATATTTAATTTTCTTCAAACACTATTTTTTACACAAATTTTACAATATTACATTGTATATCAACACTTATCTCGAGATACATGTATATATAAAATAACCTACTTTAAGTCTGTGCACTTTTGTCATAAGTTAAATTTTAAAAACAAAATTAATGATGTTTAATTTGCAATGTCCAAGTTATTCAAAATCAAACATGCCCCATTGTTGACATAATGATTTTATATCCTATACGCTGGACCAACTATCATTGCATGCAGGCTAAGCATAAAAATTAACTCTGAACTGGTAACATTCTGGTGTGCTTTTTCCTCTCTTGTACACATATCACTATACAGATTGGAGCAAAACTGTCTCAAAGGTGATTCCAAACATCAAGTTGTAAGCTGAAGGTCTACTGTCATTTTTTCCTGGATCTCTTCCGGTGATATCAGCTGTAAATAAGGGCAAAGCAAACAAAAATATTAATATTGGATAACTAAACTGTATGCCTCCCACTTAACTTACCACTAGTGTGATCGATATGACAAAATGTTTCTATTTTCAAGACGTGACTCAATTATTTCATTTTATTTTAATTCTTAACGAAGTGGGAAAATTAAAAGTACCTCCAATAGAACCAAACAAACCTTTAGAAATTCCTCATAGGGCACTCTATGCTCCTCCTTTATCCCAGGCCTTTCAAGGATGCGGACCACTAAATCAACGATGTAATCATCATCCACAGCAGGATTCAAGATAGACTTGTAGAATCGAAAGAGTTCATCGAATCCAAGGCTGCCATCATGGCTACAGTCAAGACAATCAAAGAGTGCTGTAAAAGATAAAACAAAGATGGGATATGTTGAAGGTTTCATAACGTAGTAAGCAAGGGATGAGGAAACCTGACATTAAAATGCTACTTGTTTTTTGTTTGCAAGTAATCATTTTTTTAACAGATGAGCTTCAACAAACAGAAAACAAAAGTGACTACAACATGATATCTCACCCCTACTCTTTTCTTCTGCTGTTGCACGTGAGCTCAGGGTGGAGAACATCCGAAGAAAAGCTTCAGCCTTGAGGCTCATAGTTGACCGCTCTAAGTAAGCATAAACAATTCTCTCATAGAAGGGACATCCACAGAGCTCTGGGATTTCTGACAGATCCTCAACGGGTATCCCATCCTGACCATTGAGTGACTTGTCATACTGTGCATAGTAGGATATCACTCTCTGGATCTCCTTTGCTGTAACTGGAAAATAAGATGATTGAAGTGAAAACAATTAAGGTTGTGAAGTCAGCCTACTGACTTACTCATCAAATGCTGATACCGTCTGTGATAGTGATACTGGGTAATTAACATGCCCATGTAGTATTTTTTACGTAGCAATGCACATAATACCATGGCTATATACATAGCCACACTCCGTTCATAATCTCTGGACTTTTGACATTTTCGAAATCCCGGTTGGAGACCTTCCACTTACAGTCCCAAAATTTAACAAGAACTACACTGTATATATGTTCAGTACTTACTTCAGTTCAGTACTTATTCCAAACAAATTCGAGGGGAAAATGAAGCCCATACGAAGAGTACTGTATAAATGTCTCGAAAGTCCAGAGATATGAATGAAGCGTGGCTATATATAGCCACGCTTTTTTTACGGGTCTATCTGAATAAATGGGATCAATAAATGTACCTACAATGTGTGCTCTTTTCCAGTTCGGCAATCTTCTCAGGAGTTAGAATTGAGTCTGCATTCCCCTGAAATTAACAAAGCCAGAAAGTTATTGCTGGCTCGGGAACAAATAATGTTTATTTTATAATTTCCTTTGGCACATGTTAATTTGTCATCCCATGGCATGGCGCTATATGGCTACAAAAAAAGTACAATTGGTATCGCCGTCGCTCACTCAGAGATTTTGTTACCAATAAATGTACTGCAATTTGCCACTTAGTATAATTCCACAACACAAAAGACAAATGGGTATTTTAAGGTCCACAAATAAAGTTGATAACTTACCATACTTTAAACTTATAACGAACCAGAAATTTAATAAGAAACCATCTCCGATTTATTTACAAAATCCAGGCAACAAGCGCGACAAGCAGGCCACCATTATTTTTATGTAGCGCCCTCAAGCAACATCTTCATTTTTCTTGGTTTTTAGTCTGATACCTTAGAGCCCTTTAAACATAAGTTTAAAAAAAAACTACATACGGAGTCCAGGAATCTATCAACTATTTTAAGCGTTCTTATTCCAGCGGGATAACCTTAAATATATTTTTCTACCTTACTTTTAAAGCATGTTTTTCTTCTTATTTGCAGTTACTGTGACCCCAATTTTCATTTGGACCACTTGAAATAGAGAATATACTACTACTAACATGTTCCAAGAATATGCCATGATTTTTGGAAGGCGCATGTTATTTTTTACCAACCGAATAATTTTTCATCAGCCGTCATCTTCCAAATGGAGACAAATTAGCAGTAGAGGGCGCCGTTACTCACATGTCGGACAAAAACAACTGACGCTCGCGCTATCAAGCAAGTCACAACTCAACAGATTTCTGAGGCTGAAAATCCACGAGTTTGAAAACAAGAAAAACCCTCAGATTTTCTCATCTAGTCGACTTCATTGGAGTGATTGTTTTGGAAAACAGGATCGATCTAAAACCAGCACGATGCCGAAAAGAAAGGTCAGATATTTGTTATGAACCCCGGGCCCGGTCTAGTCTGTCGCCTAGTGTCGGTGGCTTACGGCGCGGCCAGGCCAAATCCTTTGTCAGAATATTGCAATTTGCATAGGCCTTAGTATTGTGCATAGGCCTTGTATGTGAAAATAATGTCACAACCTGACGCTACGTTTTTCTTCATATATCTTCTCAATTGAGTCAGTCTCAATTGGGTCAGTCATTGCAAAAATGTGCAAAGACATGAATCTGGGACTGAGAAACATTTCCAATTTTGTTACGAAATACTTTAAAAAAAAATTCTGGACTCTCCATAGACTTTGTACACAACTGCTGAAGTGGTGTCAGGATGCAACATTCTTTCCAGCCATGCATATGCCTAGACTCTATCCACTTCTCTCTAACCAAACATTTATCAAGATAACTTATCAGCAATATTTTCTTGTATATTCCCTGCAGAGCGACACTAAATCTGAGAGTGAAGCATCTCCAAAGAAAGCAAAGGTTTGTTCTCACGGTTAAACTTTTTGTCCAATTTCAGAGTTTGTTTTGCTCATCACATCAACATGCTGTGTGCATGATTGTACATGAAGTACTGCCATGACTTTCAATCATCATCATCATAATTTATAAAAGCTTCAAAAGAGTCAAAATGTGAACCTACCATCATATATTACCATTTATAGTTTATTACTAGGGACAGTGTAGCTTGGAAAATCCAGATCTAACGTTAAGCCTTCAGGCTTATTACATGGGATTTTATTGCAAATTTCCCATGTCTTAGAGCTGGTTATTCCAAGCTAAATACAAATGTAAATGTGCATCAGGATATGAATATTTGTAGACATCTGCTCATATGAGAGAATGCAGCAAATCTGAGAAATTACATGTACATGTTGTTCTTCTTTTACCCCTAGAGATATTATAGGGTGTTCTTTAATCCAAAAGTGTTATTTTTTTTGTATCAAGTTGCACACTTTTTCTATATTTTTGTTTGCAGGAAGAAACCACCAAAGAAAAGCCAGCAAAGAAACCAAAGGTTGGTTATTTGTAAAATCAATAAACAATTTGAGAGAAATCTCCATCAGTAGCACAAGTTAACTTCTTTTTGGATTATTTTAGATGATTATTGACAGATTGGAGTTTGTATTTTCATGTTTACAAAAACGTTCTTTCTAAATGACAGACTGACAAGAATGATGCCAATGAAGCTGCAATTGCTGCCTTGGATGTTCCTGAAACTTACACAACAGACAAAAAATCAGCAGAGGGAAAGTAAGATTAATTCCAGTTATTATTTATGCATTTCGTCTTCATGAAGAAACTAATTTGATAATAATTTATTACCAAGCCTAACTCTTTCCTATCCCCTTCATATTCAGTGAGGCCAACCTGAAGATAGCATCTTGGAACGTTGCTGGCTTAAAAGCTTGGCTGAAGGTATGTTTGGACTTTGGTCAGTACTTAGAAATCTTGGGATATATTTAGAAAATTAAGGATGCTTTGGAAGGTCAAAATTACTGTTGGTCTAATAATTATAAAAAAATTATCATCTGCAGAAAGATGGCATTTCATACATCAAGAAAGAGGATCCAGACATCTTTTTCATCATGGAAACCAAGATTGCCACAGAATCTGTTCCATCAGATGCCAAAGTAGAAGGATACCATACCTACTGGTACGGTGCTACAGCTAAGAAGGGGTATTCAGGAACAGGATTGTACAGCAAGAAAAAACCTGTCAATGTCAAGTATGGGATAGGTAAGGGCAATAAGATTACAACAGGTTATTTGGCACTTAATTCTTAAAACCAATTCAGCACAGCAGCAGTTTGATATATTACATTCTATTTCAGTTGTAACTTGTTTAGTGAAATAAATTTGTGTGATCAGTAGTTCTTTGAAGCTTTCCAAATTTGATATTTTTATTTTCTTATAGGTGTAGAGAAACACGACGAGGAAGGCAGAGTAATCACTGCAGAGTATGATGATTTCTATTTTGTTGGAAGTTGTAAGTATATTTTCCTCATTTAACTCTGACTTAACAATTAAGCCATTCATTACAATGACATGTATTCCCCGTTTTCTCTGTTTGCTTTTCTCTCCCAAACTCTGCTTTCCACACAGTTCCCTTGCTTTACAGCCTGTAAGCTTAAAATATAAGATTGTAATAGCAGCACAATTTTTTTTAGAACTACCAGCATTTTTGTAATTACATAAAAGTTTATTTATAATCTTTATACGGTTACAAAATTAAAATGTACTTGTTTTTTGTAGATGTGCCAAACTCTGGACGTGGACTTACAAGGTATGATAAAGCTTTCTGACTTTTTCAGTGTTTGTTCTCATGTATGTATTTTCTTCTCCTTTTTTCTTTGAATAAGGGGAACAAAGCCTATACAGTGTATAGGGAAAAACTAATTGTGAGCGCCCCTATTCAGTGGACTGGGCTGGATGCATTGTACATGTACATGTAGTTTGTTGTTGTTGATGGCATCTCATATTCTGATTCAGATTTTTGTTTTTGTCTGTTTGAACTTGTTCAAAAGGTTGGACTATAGACAGGAATGGGACAAAGACTTCAACGATTACTTGGCTAAGTTGGATGAGACTAAACCTGTTATCTACTGCGGTGATCTCAATGTGGCACATGAAGAAATAGGTAGGTAGTGCCGAATTTGTGCAATACCATAGTGAAATTAACAATCCTCTATTCCATTGACTTTTCTTGATCACAGTAAGATGTTATCAGCAATTTCACTTCTTGTCTTTTTCTAGATCTGAAAAATCCGAAAACTAATCGCAACAAGACGCCAGGATTTGCTGATGAAGAGAGGGAGGGATTTACTGCTCTACTGAGCAAGGGCTTTGTGGATAGTTTCAGGCAGCTTTATCCTGATAAAGAATACGCCTACTCATTCTGGACATACATGGGGAATTGCCGAGCTAAGAATGTAGGATGGTAAGACAAAACCTGTAATATAACATTTCAGCTCTGGACACAACATGGAAGGACAAATAATTCTATGTTTACCTGTTTATCACCTGTTAAACCAAGCTGTCTTTGAATTGGATAATAATAACTCACATGACGTCTTTTGATATTATCTGACGTAGGCGGCTGGACTACTTTGTGATCTCCAAGAGACTGGTACCCAAGCTGTGCGACACTGGTATGCGGACATGGATAATGGGTAGTGATCACTGCCCCGTTGCACTTCACATGGCCATGTGATTCAGAGACGATAATGAGCAGTGAAATGTCAACTCCTGTACATGATTCCATCACTGGTGTACAACACAAATTGTTGTCAAAATATACGATTTCAGTTACTAGCAGGAAGCGATATTGAGCAACTGTATAGTGAGGTTTTTTCCCACTTCAGAGTCAGAGACTGTCTTTTTAAACATATTGTAGCATAAAACTTCATTCGTTTTTCTAATTGTTTGTCCTATGTGGTTGTTAGACTGGTAGTGTAGGTGGTAGTACCTGGCGGGATTAGAATCCCAACTGAAAATATTGAGTCAATCATGTCATTGTTTGTTTTCCCAGACATTTGAAAGTCACTCGTACAAGTTTTGTGTTTAGCTTCAGTTTAATAACGGAACTTTTGTGTCTCTAACTAAAAAAAAAAGTAACATTGATTGAAAATCCACTGTTGCATTATGTGTTTGAGTTAAACATGTATTATGTTTTATCTTTGTGAAGAACGAATTTAGTAAAATAATGCTTTTATAAAAAGTAAGGCCTGTGTTAATGCAAAGTTTAATATTCATTATTCTCGAGGTAGAAAATTGCCTGGCCACTGACTTTTTCACAAGAAAGACCAGATAAAGGTATGGAATCCCTCAGTCTCCTGACGAGGGAAGGAGCATACTGTCCGAAACCTTCAGTACCCTCCGGTTCACACATACTCACAAAAGAGATTTTGCCACATGTTGCTACCGCAACAACTTATCTTATCATAAAGGTATTATTTCAAACTTTTCACCGAGCAGGGAACTGCTGTGTGGCTTCTGCTGCTTCTTCGGAATATTTCTTGATTAATGTAACGTCGCGTATCAGCCAGTGGGATAGAAACAAGGTGAAAATCTGAAATGATTAGGAAATGAAGCAAAGCTTGAATTAATTATACAACTGTATTTTACTATTACCCTGATCTTAGAACCCTATCGTCAATTTTGTCATCGTGTACATGTACCACTAAAATTAAAGAATTTCACTCCCCATTCATCTTACCTGCAAGAACAATGACGCAAATACCAGAAGCCCAAGTAGAAGAATATTATCCTTCATCCATAGAACAAAGGAATCCACGCAGCCATGGATGTGAATCGTGGAGTAGATCTCATATTTCTGAAGTCAGAAATTAAGGCGAAACAAAAAAAACATTGAAATATTAATCAAGTTACTTGAATAAAAACAAATCAAAATAATACACGTACGTGTACTTTATTGGTGAATTTTCATAAGTGTAATTCAGAATGTGATGTCTGATAAAAAACTTACCGTTTTGGTTCTAATGTCTAGTCCACATTGAAAGTTCATGTTCCAATCAATACAACATGAATACGGGACACCACACGCCTCGCGTCCGGGTGAGGAACAGTTGAAGTACACGTTCATCTGCCAGTCTGCGTAACTTGCCGCTCCGCAACATTGAAACTTAAAAAAAAACCAGTAATAATTGTTAATCCCGTTTCCCATGTTTAGCTCGCGAGATGTTTTTTGTTTATCGTAATTTTGTTAACCTTTGACCTACCTCTGCTTGTACATAATCGACGGCATCTTGTAGGTCAACGTCGTCACGGTAACGAACTATCGCGCGCTCAAAGAAAAGGAGCGCCGACTCGAGGACCGTTTCTTGAAGCAGCAAAACCAAGATGCCTCCCACCAATTGCAGAATGATCAGAAAAACCAGTGAGGCACAGAACTGTCAACATATAAAAAAAACGGTTCTTATTTGTCATTTTTTTTTGGGGGGGGGGGCTTGTAATTTGTTTTGTAGTTCATGCTGACTTGTGAAAATTGAGAACATTGTTCGAATTATTTCGAGCAATTTTACTCAAGATTTAGTTTAAAAAAACACAACAAAAGAGCTTACGGTATAGAGGAGGCATAAGTTTTGTCTCAGCGCACCGATACATCCAAAGCCAGAGATCATGAAGAGAACGCATCCACTGATGATGATGTAGGTAGTGGGATCTGTGTCTAGCGTAGACAAGTCATCAAAACCTCCTTTACTCACTTTGGCCCAGATACCAACGGCGATTAAAGTACCTCCGATTGACTGGACAAGAAGAAGACAAAAATGTCCAATGAAGTAAAGAAACAGCCTAAAGAAAAAAATGCTGCAAACTAAAGATGATACACACAGGGTGAGTCCAAAAAAGTGGAACCCAAACCCCTTAAAATATATTTCACATTTAAAAAAATATGTAGCACCAAACATAATAATGACTGGAAAGCCAATTGCATAAGCTACTTTTAGATGAAAAAAATACTGAAATTGCTCAATCCGTTCAAAAACCTAAAACCTGTCTAGTCAAAAAAAAAAGGAATTCGTTGTGTGTTTTGACTGTTTGGAACAACAAAGAAAATGACACAGAATACTTGTTTCAACAACTGTCACCAACTGTAATACACAATACCCTGGTTACGCAAACAATACGATTTATAAAATCTACTTTTTTAAAAGGACGGGCCTTCAAAGGGATTCAGTTGAATATCTTAACGTTTAAACTGAGATTTTATCGCTGGTGATGTTTGAAGACAATTCCGACGACGATTCTTGAAATCGCATTTTTTGGACGAGACAGGTTAAGTTAGGGTCATTGTGTTTAAATGGTAAAATTTTCTACACGGATTGACCAATTTCAGTCATTTTTTATCTAAAAGTATACCTTATGAAATTGGCTTTCCATTCAATATTATTTTTGGTGCTACATATTTTTTAAAATATGTAATATAAATTTGGAGGTTTGGGTTCCGCTTTTTTTTCACGCACCCTCTATATCAGTGACTGATCATGTGACAATTAAGCTGTAAAGTCGTTACATAATGTACAACATATATTTAATACATGTATTTGCTCATCTAAATATGTCGGTACTCACCTGAAGAAGCTTTTATCAAAACACTTTTGTTCACTTACCCAGACAAGAAAGTTAAGAACAAACAGCAGATATTGTCTGAATGTGACATATCGCGAGTTACTCCCCTCCATTATCCGGCATCGAGTTGAAACAATCCTCACAGCAGATAAGGTTATTTAGCGGCTACAAGGATGTATATCAAGAATTTCAGTCAAAGAATGTCCATACCTCCATTATATCATGATTATTGTTCTCCACTTTACCACAGTATACATCGACACTGTGTGTACATGTACATCTAGTCCTATACTGCCTGGCTACGGGTACAGTAGTAATTGTAAGATCAATAATAACATGGGCACAAAAGGCAGGGTGTATGAATTATTCATGACTACCGTATTACGAGCAGAGTACACAGTGGGCGTGGTTAGGATGCGCTGCGCATTATGTCGGCTCTTTTAAGTCGTTATATAATTATATTTCAAAATCATTTTGGGAACTTTGTGGATTTAAGCTTCTACAAATACAGCTTTGCCATTGAAAGGGAACACATTTTTAGACAACTGACAAAATTCTGAAATTTATAAGTTACTTCTTTATTATACAATTAGCTAAGCTGTATATGAAATCACAAATAAACAAAAATAGACCAGACATCCAAAAACAAAACATAAGCTGCTTTTGTACGTTACGCTTGTATGATACTTTTTGAAAAGAAAGCAAGTATAATAATGGACAAACCTTAAAAAGAAAATGTTTTAACATGCAATTCCAGAGTTTTATAGTATGTTTAACCATGTTGGATATAACTGACAAATAATTATAGCATAAAATATAATTATTCAAAAACATGTACTGTTGTATTTTTGGTTTTTATGTATGTTATGATTAAAACCTCTCCATTTCAAAGAAAGGGGACAGCTCATGTATTAAATTCTTGTTACATTATAAAAAAATAGAGGCTCCAACAAATTTTGCCGAACAAAGCCATCCCACAAATTTCCAATCTAATTATTACTTTCATCGTTCAGTCCCAATAAAACAACTGTCTTCTTGATATTTAGGATTGTCCCCCCCTCCCCACCCAAGCTTCATTGTCAACACGTGGGTATAAGTTTAGCAATCGGTATTTCTCTGTTGGAGGTTTCTGGGAGAAGACTAGTGATATATTCCGCCCTCTTTCCCTCAAGGTGTGCCAGGAATTTTGTCACTCTGGCCTGTCTTTCTTGAGTGTACTTCTGGACATGTGTTTGGACATTCACTGACGAGGATGTCTCGTGGCTCTGTTCTCGTCTTGTTTCCATCTCACGGACGGCACAGGTCAGGTCAGATCTCTGCTGTCTCTCAGCTTGCTCGTGTTTATTGGCTTCTCTCGCTGCCTGTAAGGTCAAAGGTCAGAGGTCATCAGAGGTCATGAAAGGGTCAGAGCTATGGGTATGTTCAAATGATAAATACAATGTTCATCTGAGACAAATTTTCCAATTTACTCACTGCAATTGAGGCGTAATTGCTCTGGTAGTGAAGAATTGCAGAGTAGAGATGCCAAGTGGTGAACTCAGGCCACAGTACCTCAATGAAGGACAGGACGGAGTAGTTGCTCTGTGACAAGAACAACAAACTGCAATCTTTAACACAGGAAGGGGTTCTATGCGACAAACGATTGTATCATTACTACATGTACTAGAGTGCGCTATACCCAGCTCTGTTGTGTGTTTCCCAGACGGAATTTGTGATAAAAAATCATTCTGACTGTTCATTTTTAAAAAAGCTTTTCTAAAAGTATCATCAATGAGACAACTACACAGATCAAACTGATTATGAATGACCATTGTTTTCTTGAGACCCCTTTTGGCCGAGAATAAATTGGGTTATTCAATTAGGAAAGAAGTATGACATCTACAAGCCACCCATAAATAGATAATGACTATTTTCTTCAAAAATGTACCTGCCACAAGAGGAAATCACTGAGTCTAACTTCCCCAGAAGTCCTGAGAAGTAGATCTGGATCAGGAGAGTGGCTGGTATAAAGACACTTCTCTAGAAGCTCCTCAGAAACGTCACTGACATAGGAAGACAAAGAGTGTACTTGTAAGGATTCATGAATGATGACAGTAAGAAGCTATACTTTTTATGATGCTCATTGCTTCAGAATATTTCTCTGCTCTAATTTGCTGATAAAAATAAACTGCTCCACAATCCTGAGATGTAAGAAACGTGTCAAAACTTTAAAATATCTTACCTTGGTCTAAGCAGTCCTTCGTCTACTCCTATAGCCATCTCCTTCATTGCATTGGTTATCTCGTTTCTTGATGTGTAAGCTAGACAGACATTTAAAATAGCACTGTGGAGAATAACAGAAAATCCTTATTTGTATTTGTTGTGAACTGTTTGGTTGCTACACAAATAACCTAACCCAGGGTTCTAGTTTAGCAGTAGCACGCTAGCTAAATGCTTGTCAAAACAGCGGTAGGCTAGTCAATCTATTCCTCAAGTAGCCCAGCTGGCGAGTCAAAAATTATTGGGATACGGCAAAGATGAAAGGAAAGGAAAAAACATATCATTAAATTCAGAAAACAAAACCTGTATCAATTTTTGTCTAATTTTATTAACTGTTTAGGGCTAAATTATTAGATCTGTTTATTAAAAACACGACAATATTGCCTCAGGATACACATTGTTACATGTGTGCACATTGTTGTTTATGAGACACTCTATAAAAAAAGAATGCGGGCGAGTGAAAATGCCTGCGGGCTAGTTAAGAGTCTGTTTCAGTAGCCCGGCTGGCTAGTGAAAAAAAAGTTAAGGTCAAACGCTGCTTATTAACTCCCTGTATGGTCAAGGGTCATCTCAAACTCACTTTGTATTATTCCTTGAGAAGTACATAGCCTCAGCCACAACCTCTTGTACGTCTCTAGGAAGTAGATGAAGATCCCCTAAGACTCGTATGCAAACTCCATGTTTCATTAGTTGCTCCCTATATAGAACGGAAGAAAGACACAGAAATGAGGACAATTGACCACATAAATGATCAAATAATCAACAAATATGACATAAATTATTTGTCTGAAATTTATCCATGGTCTAAACACCAAGTATAATTCTGATATAAGTCAAGAGTGATGCAAAGAAAAGAAGGCCTATCTTACATCAAAAAAATGCTAGTCAATAACGGCTGTATCACTTGCTATATAGTGATTCATATACAATGCACAGCTCGACCAATGATTCATGTACTAAGAAAGTCTCTTACTTTTCTTGAAGTAACCGTGCAAACTTCTGTCTGGCAAGCTCCATCAGTCCATCTACCTCTTCCTTCGATCGTTTGAAATTCTCAGTACTGAAGGCGTATACTGTAACCTCCTTAATATCGAAGTCTAGACACCACTGTAGCATCTGGAAAAAGCAGAAAATGTTGTTGGGAAAGGTCATAATTTCGAATAAATGGAAACTTGTCACAAAACAATGGCATGACCTTTGAACTTTTGGGCACCGACAAGAATAGTACACAGTATAGAATCAACATTTACTATTATTTTAAGAATTGTCAAATTTTGTAAATTTCCAGACAACATATGATTAACATAAAGCCTATTTCGTATTACCTCTGCCATTTTATCAAATCCTCTCCGGTGTCCCTCGGCTTTCTCCACTGATTCCTTCTTTGCAAATCGTCTGTTACCATCCATGATGAAGGCGATGTGTTTGGGAACAGGTCCAGTCTTTAGAACCCGAGTGCAAAAACTCTGAAGCCAAGTTTTCTGAACTCGGTACTTCTCCTCTGGAAACCACTCTGAGTCAACTGTCGTTGTCATGGTTACTGTTCCTGTATGAAATACAATCGTAAAACTAGAAAACATCAGATATCACAACATTATACAGATCCAAATGATGTAGTAGTCTGTTAGTACTACAGTAGTCAGTAGTACTATCATGTTTACTATACTGCCTACCATATATTTTATTTTGAACCAAAAAAACATGATGTAGGCCTAGGCCTGCAATAAAATACAATACATCTTTAGAAGAAAAAAAACCAAAAAATAAATCTCTCTTAATTCATAAAAAATTAATTGAATAATTTTTATTCTTAAAATCCGATTTGTTTAAACTCACCAAGGATGGTGAAACCGTCCGAAGCAATAATCTGATTGTATTCTGAAGAAAAATAGGCAAAAAATCAAACTTCAGTTCCTCGGTCTCGGAGATGTGAACCTAGGCAGGTTACTGATGATGAATAGCGGGCAGCGGGGGTTTAACACTAAGGCCAAAGGGCCACGGGCGGGTATCCCATCCGGCCCACGGGCACTCGGCTCAAAACCCCGGCCCAAGAAACCGGGTGCCACACGGTAATGTACAACACCCATCACGTTCCAGATTTTGGATATTTTAGATCTGTAGTTACTCTGTTGAGCTTTAAGAATCATACTTTACAACTCACCTTTTCAAAATGATTACAATCATACAGAAATATGACATTTTTTTTCACTTTTCTCGACTTACCGTTCTCGCTGTCCGCTGGATGGATCACACATGTATGATGCAATTTCGTATTTTGTGTCTACGACTGTTTCGTGTATAATTACATTAAGTTACAAAATAGTCCCGATTTCTACGAAGATGGGGAACATTTCAGTGTCAAAGGTCGAACCCTGAATTGTATGGCGCGGATGAATACAGATCTTTAGGCGAGGTCATTTCCAATTCCATCAAAAGAAAAGGACAAGTCAATCTTTTTGGCAAGAAATAGGGATCTTTTGGAGAATAATTTAATCATTAAATTCAATATAGGTGAGCTATATGGACATTAAATGCGTAATATTTCTTCAACGGTTCCGCACTATGTGGCGCGGAGGAGCCGAAGCACACAGTTCATGTCCATGCATCGTAGCACATCTGATTGTACATACTGATCTACGACTCCGGATTTTTACGTGAAATAACTCCGATTTTTTGACGATTATAACCAACGAACGAAGGGAAAATACACAAAGCTGTTAAGATATATCAATGTTCAATGATGTCAGATGAAGACGGTTTCATTCGGAAGCCATCACCATCAGAAGCAGGTGAGATTTTGACCGCTGTTTCAACAGTATTTTGCCGCGTTTGCAAGAACCGTCGTTTTGTTTTCCTTGTTGAAACATGAATTTATTGAAATTTATCCATGCTTTCTTCGCAGAATTATACTTCTTGGTGGTGAAATTCCTGGCAGCTGGTCCATGTAGGGCAACAGCAGAGGTAATTATTGTTCCTTTGAATCCATTTTTATGGTCAAATTTGATCCATGGCTTAAACGTTTTTGCATTTTTTCATGCAGGTCCTGAAGCAAGAAATCGAGAAACACGGGGTGAGTACAGCGCACATGTTGACGTGTTTCAAAATATGCGCTTTTCGCGCAACTTTTTGCCGATTTTCATCGCATTTTCTACCAGCTTGCTTTTAATTTTAGTTTTAAATATGCAAATCGTTAGATTATGAGTTGTTTTATGTCTTTGTTTAAATTTTTCTTTGTGATATTCTGATTTTTCTCGTTTTTAGCTTTTTCCAACTCGATTGGATTGGTTAGGAAATGAACATCGAAAGAGCTTCGAAAACTTGGTGAGACACGCGTTAAAACTTTTTATACTCTCGTCAAACAAAATTTTAACTGAAATAAACATTAAAATTAAAAAATATGTCTTAATGGGCCGAGATAGTGTTAATTGTAAATACAATTTATTTCATGTCACCTAAAAATGAAATTGTTGCTTTTTCTTGCCACAAAAACAGCAAAAACCGTCAAAAATATGCTGTTTTCAATGCCCAGCTAACAGTCGAGACATTTGCATAATGGTAAATGACTTGCCATCCGTCGACGTCACGTTTCAGTGCTTGGCGCATCAACCAATGAAAAGGCAGCACGCTCGTGATAGCATATTACAGGTTAAAAGGTCAAGTCTATTTATATCGCGATATATGATTGGTTAGCGGATGCAGTCACCGACATCTACCTTATGAATATTTATTCATTTTAACTGCACGCTGCATGCAAATGCTAGAGAATAGTACATGTACAGTGTACATTTTATATGCACATAGCGTACGTGAGCAGTGTGAATACATTGTACATGTACATTGTACCATGGAGAAATGATTGTACATGTACAGATCTGTACACGATGTACAAATGTACATGTACATAACATGTACTGTATTATTATCATGGAGAAATTTCTCCATGATTATATTCATATGCATAGTGACCGTTTTAGCCGGTTTTCGGCTAACTTTGACAGATTTTTTGTTAAAAAACGAGTTTGACAGAAAATTTGTCAGAATGGATTTTTGTGGCAGATTTCTGGCAGAATTTTGCAAAAATGGTTATTTGACAGAAAAACATAGCAAGTTTGAAACAAAATGGTTCATTTGTTTTTAAAAAGCGTCAATCTTTTCAAACAAACCCTTGCAAAATGGGACAGGTTGCCTGGTTTAGGCGCTGAGGTTCACTGGAGCGAGACCATCGTCGTGACGTATCTGCATTTTGCCTAGAATTTACACAGTTTCATAACAATTTTAATTTGTCCATAGAGTAATTTATAATGTAATTTGAACCTTAATTAAGGCAATATTACAACATCTGCATGTGATTTGAAGTGTTTATAGTGTATTTCGAGTAATTCTGGGCCTTGGCAGAATTTTGATAAATCTGACAGATTTTTGAAGTGCATTTAGCAGAATTTGGCCATGACCTTACGGTCACCCTGTTCATATGTACATGTACATGTACAGTATTTACAAACGGACTCATGTCATGTGCATGGTTCAAGTAGCCCAGAATTTTGGAGGGAATGTCATTTTGACAGCCAAAAATAAACGGCAGTGACAAATTGTTTGGGTTTTTTTTTTATAAAAGATTATTTTATAAATTCAGATTATTTTATAAATAATGATATTTTGAGCAAAAATGTTGCAACGTGATGCCACTTTTTTCTTCATATCGATATCATCTCACTTCTCAGTCATTGCAAAAATGATGATAAGAGATTTATTTCCCAATTTTTCTCAACTCTCCAAAGACTTTGTACACAATAGCAGAAGTAGCGTCAGCTAGGTTGCAACATTTTTAGGATATTTTTACAATTGAATCATGTGAATGTATCCTCGATCCTAAATAATCTGCGCAGGAAACGCTTTGCATGCGCGCACGTTGCCAAACGCAAATTAAAGATGACTGTGCAGGATTGCGTAGTTTTAAAGGGGCTGAGGATACATGTATCATCACATCAGATCCTTTAAAACTACGCGGTCCTATTTCTACGCACTCGCCTTTATTTTTAGTTTTCCTTTGACAACGCGTGCGTGTTGCAAAGCGTTATCTGCGCAGATTGTGGATCGAGGATATATAGCTTTATAGGCCTGTATTATTTTAATGCTGTTTATTTTCTGAATTTGCTTTTCTTATGATACAACAGACAAATTCCAACCAGCACATAAACAATGACCACCTACTGCAGATATGTGAACGGATCGGACCACTCCTCGACAAGGATGTAAAGCCTAGCGTTTGCGGTGTTCGCTCATTACTTGGTGTAGGCACACAGTCACTCCTACGAACTGCAAAAGGTAAGTTTCAATATTTATTGCCCATTCTTTTATTTTAACAAGAAGGAAATGTTGATAAAAATATAAAAATTCAAACGACACAAGGAATTCATACCAAGTAATTTGTATAAAATAACTCGAGTCTGTAACTGTTTTTATTTAAGTAAACAATATTCTTTTTTAACTATTTTACTTGAAGTATTGAAGTTATGAACTTGTTCTTTATTTGTTTTTTGGGTTTTTTTTAATTGTAAGGCGTATTATTTTTTTTCTTCAGACGTTAAGCCAACAGAATGGGCCCCTTCGGTGTTTGCTGCTACGATCCATCAAAGGCCTCTCTTACCACCACCAAAGCAGACGAAAAACCCCAATACATGTAAGTATTTTGCCTACAATCATCCTAATTTGTTTAATTTACCAAGAAGTGTGCACCGTCAACCTGAATTTGATAAAATTTTGCAGCATCACTCTGTTTTTATTTGTCCTAGCCCACACTAATTGTTTCTGTTGGTTCCTTACTGGCGAGTAAGACTTTCCACATGTTGTGTATATAGATTATAAATATTTTTTTTTTTTACATATTATTTGACCCATAATTACCCCCTCCCTACCCAAAAAAGAGGTGCTTATACATGTAAGAACATTTCCTTTCTTGTCAGTTCATGTGTTACGTGGACGACTTCGTACTGGCGTGGCACGAAGGAACCATTTATTTCCCACCTCACAATACCTCAAAACGGCTGTCCACCTACGTACCCTTGGCCATTTGTCGTCTGTCTACTGTGTTGCTTTTGATCGTAGAGGCACACGGATCTTTACAGTAAGTTTTGAGTCTTCAGTTGTTTTTATTAAATTTCTTTGGCAATATAGTTCTTTCAATTTTATGAGTCACTGAAGAGGAAAGTTTTGGGCAAAAAAGCAGAAAGTTACAATTAAACCCACCGAATGAAAATCCAAATGTTTCAGAAATGTCAAAGTACTATTTCTCGGTCAGTGTTTTCAATTAAAGAGCTTCAGTGATTTTGTTGTAATTCTTTAACTAAAATGTGTTTTGCTGTTCAGGGTGCAGATGATCATCTTGTTAAGATCTGGAGTGCCCTTGATGGCCGCCTTCTTGGAACCTTACGTGGCCATGGCTCCGAGATTGTTGACATGCATCTCAACTATGAGAGCACCTTGATTGCAGCAGCAAGCATTGATAAGGTGATTCGAGTGTGGAACATGCAGTCATTGGCACCGGTGGCTGTATTGACTGGACACACGGCTATGATCACTTCATTAGAGGTAAATCAGTTTTTAGTTTTATATATTTTATGATAGTTGAGTTACTGGACTTTAACTGAATGCCAGCGGTTCGAATCCAAACTTTAAAATACTTTTTTTTCCACAGTGCTGATAGTTGATTTAAATGTTTAAAAAGTTATATTATTTCCAAGCCTATTTATTAGTTGCCAATTTTTTTTCAAATTTGGTGCAGTTTTCACCGTACAACCGTGGTCACAATCGATACATGGCAACAACTGGCTCTGATGGAACTGTGTGTATTTGGACGTGGAATGTAAACACTCAAGTCTTCAAGTAAGTCCGTAACTTTAAGACTTTTGTGGTCGATAAATACATTCCTTTTTCATTTCTAAAATTATCTCATGTAATTCAAAGGCCTCATAAATACACAAAATTGCATCCACTTGCAAATATTCTGTTTGTCTCTTTGTGAAAATTAATATCCACAATTAATTTCTAAAGTAATGAATTTTTTGTCTGATAATTTTCAGTCACAGACCAACCCGATTTCAGGAGAGATCCAGAGCAGGAAGCCAAATGCTGTGCCTCTCGTTCAGCCCAGGTTTGTTCATTTGTTTAAATCCTCGTTACATTTTGGCCCTGTATTGTCTATCTGCAATGTGGTTTGGAATTTAACATACAAATTACACAGATAGATCAGGTAACAATTTTCATAAAAAAATTGTCATTTTTTTGACATTTAATTTACAGGTGGTGCATTCCTGGCTGCCGGTAGTTCAGATGCCACCATTAGGATGTACATGTTTGGCAGTAATGGACCTGAGAAACAGTGTGAATTAGAAGCCCACACAGTAAGTAGGAATTCATTGTTTAACCAAAGTATTTTTAAAATATGTAAAATGGTATGTTTAAATAAAAAAATGACCTTTCACCTTTTCTGTTAAAGGATCGTGTGGACAGCATTGACTTTTGTCATTCCAGCGAGCGTTTTGTCAGTGGCAGTAAGGATGGCACAGCTCGTATCTGGAGATACGAACGTCAGGAATGGAGGAGTATCCTACTCAACATGGACGTCCGTATTCCTGGGTAAGTTGTTTAAAAGATGCTCAGATGGTTTAAGTTGAGCTTACTTTTTAACCCAAACTCCTCTACTTTACTTGAAACAGCTGCACATTCTTTGCAGTTCAACGGGCATCAAGCTCAATGGCTTGACATTCCTCTATCCAGAAAAATCCTTCAAACAACCAGGTGGATTATGAAGGATATTAAAAGTTGATAAAATAATTACTTTTTATCGACTTTTTTTTCATGATCAGAGCGAAGACACCAGGGATCGATGATTCCAATAAGATAATGAAACACAGAGTGACGATGGTTGGTTGGGATCTTGACGATCGGAGAGTTGTGACTGCAGTCAATGATCATTCCTTGAGAGTATGGGACTCAAGAACCGGGAAACTCCTCCAAGAACTCTACGTAAGTTCTTTAATCTATCCACCTTCTGATCACTATTAAAGGGCCCATGACATGAATTTTATTTGGGAATATATTTTATGCAACTTTCTATTCCTCTTAAATGTATGAAAACAATTTGACATCCTTTTTTGGTTAGTTTTATTGAAAAATGCAGTTTTGTTACATTTAAATTTTTGTTGTGATGTCATTTCAGGAAGACACTATTCAGTTGTGAACCCGAAATTTGCTCACTGAAAACATTTGTGAGAAAACTTTGCTCACCGGCTTACTGTCACATACGGAAGCAACAACAAATCACCAAAGAAAAGAAAATTTACGTCAGCAAAATATCCAAACTTTCTGGCAATGTTTGGAGCAGATATAGCTGTAACATTGAGGTTTCTGCCTGAAATGACATCACACTTTTGCTCATGAATATGGATATTTTCATTAGCATAAAAACCAAAAAGGCACCAAATTTAAAATCCCCTTAGAAGTGGAAAATTGAAAATAAGGTTAAATGGGACACAAAGATGCATTTTCATGAATTGTATTTAAAAGAATTGCATTACAAAGGCCCTTTAAGCTTCTTAAAATTCAGTACGCTATACGTTTACTTAATTGCTGTGTTTGCAGACTAATCATAAAGTTCCCAGATTTGTTTTTAATATTTTCAGATTTTTTTTTAGTTTGGGAAACATTCCCAAATCAAATTGATTAAATATGGCTGTGTTAATATTTTTATGTTTTTCTCTGGTTTTAAAAAACACACCAAATGTAGGCAAACCTTCAACCATCAATTCCTTTCCCATTTACTCAAAGTGATGTACACCCTCTCCCAAGATTTATCCGTAATATTGCTCCACACAGTCCCACACAGATGAAGTCTTTGTCTTAGAGGGCCATCCAACAGATACAAGGATCTTTCTGAGTGCTGGTCATGACGGTCTCATCATCTTGTGGGATTTGGACACCGGTTCCAAGATCTACAGCTACTACAATAATGTAAGCTGAATTGAAAGATACAGTTATAAGAGACGATGTGATGGCATTTGATTGATTCCGTCTTTTTCTACATCAATGATAATTTACCAGTTGATCCATTGTTATTTCTAACCTTGATCGCCTATTATCACAGCTTTTAAACCTAATCTTGACACATTATTCTCATCATTTGATAACTATTTTTTTGCCTCAAAGAATAGCAAGATTTGAAGAAAGCCTCGCGATTCTTCCACATTTTAACCATCTCTGTCATCTTGTTTTCCTCTAGATTGAAGGTCAAGGTCATGGTGCTATGTTTGACTGCAAGTTCTCTCATAACGGCCAGTACATTGCAGCTACAGACTCACATGGACACTTGTTAATACTTGGCTGGGGTTCAAGTGAAAGATACTCAAAGGTTAGCTTACATCTTGCATATTTCTTGCTTCTTGCATGTAGGCATTAATCAACCAAATGTGATTGGTGTTCATCTGTCAAAAGTGCACAACAGTTCTCCTTGTTAAAGAAATGTTTTTTTGACATTTTCCTTTTCTTCAGGTGCCTGTTGAACAATTCTTCCATACTGACTACCGCCCACTCATGAGAGATGCCAACAACTATGTCTTAGATGAGCAAACCCAACAAGCCCCTCACCTTATGCCCCCTCCTTTCCTGGTAGACATGGATGGCAACCCTCACCCCATCCAATACCAGAAACTGGTACCCGGCAGAGAGAATTGTACATCCAGTGCCTTGGTCCCTCAGATTGGTGTAGCTCCAAATGGTACGATCCCACTTCTGACACCAAAAAGATTTCCAAAGAGTTTTGAAAATGTTAAATAGTTCATTTCAGACCTCAAAACTGTTTGTTGTTTTGTCTTATATAGTTACCTCAATGTAATTTCAGAAATGACTTCATTGATGCTCAATTGACATTTTGTCAAATTTTTAGGAGAAAACGAAGTCATAAGTCAGCCACTAAGGGCAGAGCCTGTGAGACAACAGGGACCCCCTGCTGAGGAAGCAGCTGCCTTAAATGAGTCACACGAAGCATCCAGCATTCTAGATGAGATGATAGAACAGATGCAGCGAGAACAGGATGAACAGCAAGGAGTAGTCAGTGCTGCTGTTGCAATGCCTCCACCTGCAGGTGTTCCGGTAACCAGACCAACCACACCCAGTAGAGGTAAACAGAAATTTGTTAATTTGATTATCTTCCATGCTGACCTTCAATGTTTATGTAGGCTATGGATAATAATTTGGTTAACTGGAACAAATGATCTTAATGCTTAATGTCACTGAGCTAGACACTCGACAGCAACTGCTGCCAAAGTTCACTTGATTTTTTGGGATCTTTGTGCCTTTGAGAAAGATCTTGCGGGGTCCCACTGTTAGGGTCTTACACTTGTATTACAATTGTTTATACTTTCAGGTGGCCCAAATGGACCCCTAAGCCCCTCGGCAGTCTCCCCTAGAGGTGTGCGGCTTAGTGGCGAGATAGAAGGCGTACGTCAAGCTACAGGCAATGTTCCTATCAGCCAGCAGGCATCACAAGCTGATCTGTTGGCTTGGAGTGAGCGAGTAGTGGTTCCGGAGCTCCCTCCAAACATCTTAAGGTAAGGGTATTGTTCGGGGGATTTATGGACGATAAAATCCTCTCTTTCAAACAGATTTTGACTCCTTCTTATGCATGTAGTTTTAGTTTTTTAAATAATGGATTTTTTTCTCTGTAGAAATCAAGAAAAAAGGCGACGGTGGTTATTAGAAGAGGAGCAAGCTCATTTTAAGGTGGAAAAGAAGAGGAAGCCATCCGTTGCATTCCTTCAAAGGGTAAGAAGATGTTAGAAATAATACTTTCTCCCATGTCTTTATGATGATGTTGGTGAAGACTTGTTACCAATATGGTCATCTTTTTATCACTGATAAGACAAAATCAAAACTTTTGTGTTGACAAGGGTGTGACAATTACAATTATTAAGTAGACGGAATACAATTATTAAAAGCATATTCTCTGGTGTACTGTGATAACTAGAAATTGTTCCTCTGGCAGGAGGATTCCAGTGATTCCCTCGATCGACTCAGAAAGAGAAAGAAAGCCAACACTCATGGCTATGGTACTCGGTCCAGCCGTGAGGCACTGAGAAGGGAACGTAGGGAGCAACGGGAGAGAGAACAGAGAGAGCAAGACCAAGAAGCCATCAATACTGATGATGAGGTATGACTGCAAAACTGCAAGACAACTGAACTGGTCACAAAGTGGAGTGAATTCGTTTTGAGAAGCCTAATCAGTGTTTTAATATTGTTCTTTCTCAGGTCCAGAGATGAGAAGATGGGGTACTAGCTTGAGAAAAAAAAACCTTTACAACACTTTGTCGGGGACAACTCCCACAGATTTTTAGGAAGATTGCCCAATTGATATTGTGGCCTCAGCACTAATCAATCAATCAGAAGCTAACAGGTGGATGTTTAGTCTAGATCCACCTGCCAAAGTTGACCTTGCCCATTCTCTTTCTTTAACTATTAATTCATCTTCATCTACAGGGAGATGAGACCTTAGTAATGAGTGGAGGAGAAACAACTGAAGATGAGGTGGAATGGAATAGTAGCAGTGAAGGAGGAAGTGAAACAAGCGAGTATTCTGATTGGACGGCAGATGTAGGAATTAATCTGGAACCACCCAAGAGAAGTCAGAGGCAAATAACTCGTCGAAGATTTTACAGCGGCTCAGACGAAGAAGAAGAACCAGAGTCATCATCACCGGCAAAAACGAATAGGAAAGAATCGAAAGCAAGAAAGAAGAAGGTCAGTGGATCAATTTATTGACACATTAAGTCTTATTTACCCTGAGGAGTAGGGGGATCAGTGCAACCAATCTTTCTGAAAGAATCAAATGAGGTCTTCTCATTGCCTCAGCATATCTCACAAATTCTTCATTGGACTGTTTTTTGTCGTCTTCTGTTTTTACTCCAGCCCCCAGCCACTGTCATTGAGGATCAAGAGTTAATCAAAGAACTGCCAGAAGAAATGAAACCTCCTTGTTGGATAACAGACTCCTCCCCTCGCCGATGTCCATACATTCCTCAGATGGGTGATGAGGTGGTTTACTTACGTCAAGGTCATGAGTGTTACTTTGAAGCAGTCAAGAGGTTAAAACTCTATAAGATTGAGCTGAAGAAACAACCATGGTATAAAAGAAAGTTGAGGGTGAGTTTAAGACTTTCGCTGTAAAGTTTACATATCATTTATCTGCCTTTCTGATTGTTATTTTTCCCTGAACACACATGACCCACAATGGCCCTACTACCCTGGAAATGTTTTATTATCTGAATTTCATGTTTCATTTCTACAGGAGCAAGAATTGGTGAAAGTTGTGGGCATCAAATACCAAGTAGGACCACCAACTCTATGTGGCCTCAAACTTGCCTTCATTGATCCTGAAACACGCAAACAGACGGGATCTAGCTTCTCAATCAAGTAAGTTGTGACAAAATGTGAAAGTTATGCTCTGTATTTTTTAACACAGGCCTCGTGATAGTGAGGACACATGATAGTTTGATGATAAATTTTGTTCGCCTTTCCCCCTTTAATGTTTCAGGTACCATGACATGTCAGACGTCATAGACTTCTTAGTTCTACGCCAGCATTACGACATCTCAAAAGCACGGAACTGGAAAGCAGGGGACCGGTTTCGATCTATGATAGACGATGCATGGTGGCTGGGTACCATTGTTGATCAGCAGCCTTTCCAAGCTGAAAGTCCAGACAGCTTCTTTCAGTGTTACAACGTTGCGTAAGTATTATCCTCTAAATTTATTGCTTCAAAGGCAAAATTGTTCTCATTCATCACATATTGACTGTGAAGAAATTGGTGCACTTGAATTTGTCAGTGTATGTGGACAAAGCAACTGGTGACTGTGGTTGGAGGTAAACCTTGTGCCACCTGATTATGTAATTTACAATTTTAAATCATAATTCCTCACAAGAGTAAAACTTATCACACATACCAGTGTTACAGACTAATACAATTTCTTTCCTATGTTCATTTATCTAAAGTTGGGACAATGGAGAGACAGAAAAGATGAGTCCGTGGGACCTGGAACCTATCGATGAAGATAGTAAGTCTTATCCATGTTAATAATTAATTTAATGAAGAAATTAACCGGAGCAGGATTTGAACCCACTCCCTTTGGGACACAGTGTGTGTATTCTGTGCACTGACAAACATTTGTTGTTGCATGCTATCACAGACTTACCAGACGTAACAGGCGGCAGTGTTCCTGTCACTCAAGATGAAGCTCTGCAAGCTCTGTACACCTCTGACTGCGCTGAGTGGGGTGAACGTGATCCAACAGCTGAATGTGAACGCATCATTGCCTGTATTGATCAAGTCATGGGATTACGCATAGCTCGGCCATTTAACACTATGGTAGACCTGAATGTCTACCCATTCTATGCCCAAGTGGTGTCTTATCCGACAGACTTAGCTAAGATCAAGACACGGTTAGAACTGCGCTTTTACCGTCGGCTGTCTGCTTTGATGTGGGAGGTGCGACTGATGGAACAGAATGCAATACTCTTCAATGAGAAGGATAGTAAGATTGTCAAATGTGCTGAACTCATCACTAAACTCCTACTTGATGTTATCAGGTAAGATATTATCACATAGCATGGTTAAAACACTACTTATACTTCTATCCTCACTGTTGTGTGGGGATGGTCAATCCCTTGTAAATTCTCACATGGTCAATCCCTTGTAAATTTTCCTGGACGTGATAGGGCCAGTGTACTGTTCTCCGTCTGATTGACTGACTGAGTCACTGAGCAATGTAATGTCCTTGCCCAAGGCACTCCGTGAAGTTAAAATACACAAGCCAAAAGGCTGACTCTTGCCTGCTGTCAGACTTTCGGGTTCAGCTTGACGGTCAAACCTAGTCTTACTTTGTCTTGAACAATGAGAATTTTTTTGTTTGTTTTCAGGAACCCTAAGTGTACAGATGCCTTGGCTGTGTGCCGCAAAATCACAGGTGCCATGGATCCAGACGAAGCGGTCAAGATTGAGGATTCATCGTCGAATGAAGATGATGATAGACCATCAACGAGCAGAAAGAGATCAGCAGTAAGTAAAACAATCATGAAGGCATTCATTTGACTCAAACATTGATGCATTTTCATCATCCTCTCAGACAATTATTACAATAATGATATCCATCGAAATTTCTAAGGAACAACAGATTAATGCTATACTTATTGTACTTTTCATTCATAAAGCAGGATTTTGGTTCGCCTCCAGCCAAGAGGAGTCGTAGTCATGCTTGCTACAACACTAAAGCCTGGATCGGACAATGCAAAGAGCTTATGCAGATGCTATGGAACTGTCAAGACTCGGAACCATTCAAATACCCTGTGGATGACATGATGTACCCGGTAGGAAGCATCATTTCATTCGTTGTCCCTACCCACCCACCCCCTCCATTTCCATCAAAATACATTGAAGGATTTCACTGGCTTAAGGATGGTAGAGCCAATCAGAACATGCCCTGCAAGTTACGTTAATTAAACTGGAACAGGGGATATCTTAAGTAGAAAGTTCTGTTGAAATGATATCTGATGTCTTTTTTCTTAATCCTTAGGACTATCGGACCATCATTGACACACCGATGGATCTAAACATTGTCCGTGAGCAGCTGGATGGAATGACTTATCAAGATCCTATGGAGTTCTGTAAAGATGTCCGTCTGATCTTTACTAATTCAAAGAGTTACACTCCAAACAAGAAATCCAAAGTAAGTATCACTTATGAAATCATAAGTCATAAGCTTCATCTTTTTAAAGTGAGAAGCCGTATCCTTGTCCAATCTTTCACAGCAGCAATACTAAATACAAATATTTCAAAAATTCTGTTGTACTTTGTTGAACAGGGAAGTTACAAAAGCCTTAAGATATTACTGTTGGATGCTGTAGCATTTAGTAGTATTGGGTCTTTGCTGTAATTTGATTCTGTTGGAAACTGTTTATATCATTCACATTTTCAAAAACTCAAAGTCATTACTTTGTTCACAGATCTACTCTATGACCCTCCGCTTATCCGCTCTTTTTGAGGAGCACTTCCGGCCAATCCTGGGTGACTACAAAGCAGCACTTAAATATGAGAAGCAAGTCAGATCTGGCCTCAAAAGGTACCTAAATACAAGAGTTTGTTCCAATGTTGTGACTTACAGAGTAAAGATTAAGGACTCCTGTTGACTTCTTGTCAAAGTAAACCAATGCTGCAGACGACATTCATGTGTGGTACTTTGATATTAGCATATAGTTCTCTCTTGAGCATTGAATGACTTAAGGTTTTTTCCATCAAGAATTTCACTAGAGCTTCTTTAGACATTGTCTGCAGCTGAATAAATGCTGTGCCCTGAAGTCAGGCTTCTTTGGAAACAAGAGCTTGGAATGATTCTCACAGCCCATCCTCTTTAATACAGGAAAAGAAGCCACACCCACTTTGAAGACGCCTCCCCATCAAGCAAAGCCAGGAGCACCTCAGTAGATGCCTCATCCCACAGTGAAGATGAGGACAGGCCAGGGCCATCTTCAAGGGCAGGGCCTTCAAGGGCGGGGTCTTCAAGGGCAGGGTCATCCCGCCCAAGTTCATCAAGGACCAACATCAGGGACGTAGCTTCATCTAGCAACAGACCAAGTACTTCACGACAAACAAGCTTGTCCTACACCAAAGAGTCCAACCAGATCAGTACAAAAACTGCGAAGAACATTCCTTCCAAGAGTAAAAATTCAGGTAAAAAATCAAGTCCAATACGTCATCATTGATCAAGACTAAACGACATTTGTGTACTTATTTGTAAATGTTTATTATTTATTTAACATTTTTGTTTACTTCACAGGGAATTCGACAGCATTCTCAAAGACAATAGCAGAGAGAGTCAAGCGCCAGACAGCATCCAGAAAATTGGGACAAGAAGATGATGATGACAGTGATGATGACAACGAGAGTGACAAGGATGAAGAAGAAGACGAGGAGGAGAATGAGGACACAGATGTGGAGCAGGAAGATGAGCAGGAAGACGAAGGGGAAGAAGATGAAGGAGATGAAGACGATGAGGAAGACGATGAAGACGAAGATGAAGATGGCAAAAACCTCAGACCAAGAAGGAATGGACTTAGGAGAAGAGTGTCCGCAAGAAACACAGGTATCATTATTAATCACCAACCACATGCTTCAGTAAAAACTAATTATGAAGAAGCAATAACGCAGACAGGTTCCAGACCCAGGATTACTAGCTGTTTTTTTTTTTTAATTTGCTCTGAATTACATTAGTGCAGGTGAACAGAAAATGTCCTTTCCAGTGGCTTCAAGTGCAAAGAATCTATCATCTGAATAGTAGTTTGTGTTAAACTTTTATCGCAACTTCATCGGCATCATAGTTTCATTATTTTTGTTTGTTTGTTTGGATTTTTACAGCTTCCAAACTCAGCAATGGTCATGTGAAGAGATATGCAACAAGGCAAAATACTGTCCAGAGAAATAATGATGAGGACGATGATGATGAAAACTCAAATAGTGAAGAAAGTGAGAACAATTCAGAATCTGGAAGCAACTCGTCAGGATCTTGTTCGGGGTCAAACTCAGAAAACAGCTCTGATGAGCAATCTCACGATAGTGACACAGAACACTACATGTCAGAGGACAATGAGAACCACAGCACACGCTCAAATAGATCTCAGGCTCGGTCAACATCCAAGAGAAAAAGCAGGAAGACAAGCCCAGAGGCAACGCGAAGGTCACAACGAACTTTGGCACGACCCAGACGAAGGTTGGACTCAAGTGATTGTGAGTCAGAGTTTGTGTCGGCTGCACAGAAGCCTAAGACACGGAACCAGGGCAAACAGACAGTGATTTATCGAGACTTGGATGAGGAAAGTGAGAATCAGTCGTATGACAGTGAGGACATGAATGGAGTTGAGGATGTTGAGGATGTCGTCACGACGGTATCGAGTAGAGGCAGAGTTCGGAGAATGACACAGAGGGCACGAGCTAATATCATGGGAGAATAGTGCCTTGGACATGAACCTTTCAATCTACAGGGTTATTGAAAAGCCTGCAACTGACATTGGACTTGCTGGATGAAAGAAAGACAGTCAAGCTACCATGGATGATTCAAGTGATTTTTGCTTCTTCTTTTCTTTCATATTGGGACCATTTTCATACTTTTTAATTCAACAAGTTTTGTGTTTTGCAATTCAGTATCCAACACTTCACTTGGTACCACATTGGGTAACTAAGCTACTGAGTGTTGGGACACATATAAACAATGTGTGATCTTTTTTATGTTCAGATCAGAACCAGTTGATTTTGAATCTTTTGTTCTGTTGGTTTGTTAAGTTGGTTTGCTTTTTAGTTTCATTTTACATCTTCAGGATTCTGATTGTGAAAACAATGTCCCTACTTATCTCATTGTTCATGAAAATTAATAATTATGATCTTCAAACCCAATTAAACAACCATTTGTTTATCAGAGTTTTACAGCTTTTAAGCTCAGTTTTCTGTTCGTTTTAAAATGTATAAACCATGTTACCCGACTGCACCTAATGATTTCCATTGGCCAATATTTACACCCTGTAATGCATTATTATTACAGAATATGGTCCAGTGATTCAAATGTCATCTCGGCCAAGTTTTTTTTTTTTTGGGGGGGGGGTCTTTTTTATTCATAAGGGCATTGGAAAACAGTACATGTTGGCAAATTAACTACATTTATAAGCAAAAAAAGTAGTGTCAATTTCCCTGTAAAAGTGTGAAATTGATTTATTTAAAAATTATACTTGTACATGTATATTTATATGCATAACAGGGTTAAATGGCCTAGGCCAAAAAAATACTTCTGCTTCCGATTACCCTACCTACCCTATTTTGACAGAGCCTATCCTAATTTTATTTTGGGAAAAATGAAGAAAAAGCCCCGAAATCATCAATTAATACCTTACATCCTTGACTACACGCAGACACCTCCATATGATTGTACACACAAAATATTTGCCAAAATCAAAATTCCCTACCTACCTACCTACCCTATTTTTATTTGCTGTACATGTAATGGGAAGCAGAACCATTTTTTTGGCCCTATTCAAACGATTTGTTGCATCAATGCACACGTTATTGTTCTAGCACTTTGTTATTTTTTAAGCACCGTTTCTTAAAACTTTTCCCACTCCGTTCTAACTAAAGTTGCTTCAAATGTTACTTCTCTTCTCAATAGAAGACACACTCATCAATGGTTTTCAAGAAAAGCAGAAACAGTGAGTTTTCCCTGATCAATTGAACAAGGTGAGAACTTAAAAGAATCGGACGAATACATGTGTCATTTTATTTCAATGCAAGTCGAAGTACTCTATACATTGTTGCCCAATTAAACTTTTTGTTACATTGTTAAAGCTAAATATTTCCTGCGGTGTTTCCGTTTTATTTTATGGTTATCATAGGATTTGTTGGCGAAAGTTGCAGGTGGATACGCGCAGTGTTTTGTGTCACTGAAATCATAAGGCGTTCGGGGGGGGGGGGATCACTTAAACCTACACTTATTGAGTGGTCGGGCACAACCCGGTCACTGTTTAGAATTGTTCTGACAATTTTTTCTTTTTGTCCGGACAATAATTCTCCACGGGTTTTCTCCTAAACGGTTTATGGTATGAACTTGTAACTTTCAATATCGACACTCCCCCCCCCCCCCCGGCTTGGTGCCTATTTCTGACGTCATGATGACTTCATCGGCGATTTTCGTTGAAAATATGACCAACATCTTTCACTTATAACTCTTAAACAAAACGATCAATCATGGTCATATGTTGTAATTAGGTAGACCATTAATTGATAATGCACTTGTACTCGCTTGACCTTAACTTCCGGGTCTAAAATTTAGGTGAATTTAAAGTACAGTCAGACTGAAAGCCTCAAAATCAAAACGAACCACATTTCTTCCAAACGTTTGGGGTTGTAGACGGTGCATTGAGCAACATTATTTTGACCGCTAGACTTTCACTCCGGTGTTACCGGAAAAGTAATAAAAATTTAATATAACTAAACAAAAAATGCAGCATGATGACGTCATCATCCGAAAGGGCGCCCTCTAGCGGCATGTCAAATAGAGTTTGCTTTCTTTTAACTTTAAAACCATCCGTCCAAAATTTCAAAATCGCCCCTTTGTGTTTTTTGATTAACCATAGATAACTTTGCAGGGTTTTAAAATTATGACATCATCAGACCGGAAGTTACTGTGACGAATTTGAAAAGGATCATTTTTAAAATTTAATTCTATCATATGATCCCTGTCTTATGACTATCTCCCTGTCCCATGACCAGGCCTATGATATCCGTTACAATGTTGGCCTTTGGATTCCCAATGTTGTTAGGTGTTATTATAATGTACATATACTCATATTTTCTTACGTTATTTTAAGTTCATAATGAACATGCATCATCTTCGGACTAAATAGTCACTTTCCCTTGTTTGTCTGATAACGTCTTCAAAACCAGTAGGAACCTCTAGGCCTAGTTTCAGTTATGTTTTTACTTACAAATATTTTAAGAAGGGTTAAGAGAATTAGATCTGACAATATTAAAACTTTTCCCACTAGATTTGGTTTACAAGAGCCGGTGATTCATCATGTACAATGGATGCCATTCGGCTCCTTGACGTTAAGACTAAACTCTTTTATTTTTGCCCAAAGTCGGCACATACTACTGTCTTTAACCGGCCGTTTATCAGAGCATCTGAACCCAGAATGAAGTTTGTTATCTCCTCGGTAATGAACCATTCTTATCTCAGTCAACGGTGACAATGTGATGGTATCACCTCCTAGCTTCACGCCATGAATCTTAAAGAAGTGTACATTAGTTGGCCTAACCACTGCCTTGTCTCGACCCATGTTGACTGGTGTCGGCTCCCTCCTCCGGTACTGGTTCCTCTCGAAGACGCTCTCGTGATGATGTCGCCTCGTTTGGTTCCATCCTCGACAAAAGAACCAGTTCTGAATCCTTAAGGAACCGATGGAGTCCATTACAACTGTATATTTACGTAAGACGTCAGGTATCGATGGCATAGAAGAGTCCATGGGTTGCAAAAACTCGTCCACGTCAATTTTAATCATCCAGTCCGTCCGATAACGATTCCGCCACAAACAATCGTTTTCGTGGGCTATTTGAACTTCTAGATAAGTCTTACCGGGTGAGTGGACATGAGCCCATGGGATAATGGTGAGAAATCCACTGTCTAGATACCGACGAACTGTCTGATTAAGGGTAGAAGTTCTGGAGTTGTCATAGATGTAGACATGTTCAATACCTAAATGACGGTGGTAATCCAACCACGGTGGCACTGCAGCGTCCATGTCTTTTAGCATCGTACACATGGAGAGATATCGCTTCTTTCCCCCATGCGGTTGTGACTGACACACGGTAATGTTTTCGTAAGCGAGACTCGTGTTGGAAGTCCGTCTCAACGTTAGCATAGACTTCTGAACCCCTATGAGAGGTTTAGGAATGGGACAAATCAAGACGAGGACATACTGAGCTGTAGCACCGAATCGCTGGTAGTCCTTAAGGATGGGGTCAGTAAGTTGAATAAATAACCCCCCTCTTGGTCCATGGAACTCGCAATAAAACATTTCCTCATGCCAACGTTCGAACCAGAAGCGAACACCGACTGCCACAACTTGATTCTTGACGGGATCAGCGAAAATGGAATGGATGATAGGCATGTTGTGTTTTTCGAGTTTTTCTTTCAGATAACAGCTTGGGTCGTGCCGCTGTGGACCGGGATTGGTATCATTTCTTCTCGAACGTGGTAAGATTCTTGTCTCCGTGTGAAACGTAAAGAAGAAAATCAAAAACATTTGGAAGATCAAAATCAAAGAGGAGACCAACTCCAAGTGAGATCTCTTGAGAGAGCAAGCAGGCATGATGGCACGGTTTCTTCTGACACGGCATGAACTTTTCTTGATGCAAGACGAAGATATCAAAACTACACCCTCGTGGCCAAATGTGGAGCTCAGTCAGCCTCTTCAAACATAGATGAGAGAAGCGCATATATGGCATACCTTTCACTCCAGTTTATTTCCAGCCTCAGCTGTTCTTTTGGTTCTAATGTAAAAGTCATGAGCTGGTCGATGATGAGAAGTCCTTAAAATTCAAGCCTTTTTCGTGATTTTTAGTGCCGCCTGTTGCTACACTATAGCATTACTTCTCGCGAATTTATAGCCACAGTTGTTTTCTAGAATGTCCATTTCATAATGTATATGAAACGATCTGACAATTAGACCGGGCAGTTAACAATGAAAATACGCTCATCAGATGGCGCAAAACTGTTAAGATGTCTACCCTACGTTATACACTATGAGAAAGTGCTGCTGGATCGCCTTTGCGTGTACACGCCCTAAACACACTGCTTACTATACTGCAAATAAATGTAACGTGAGCGAATATTAACCGCGTAGTATAAAGACGTCTGTAGAAACTTAAGTCAACAGTCTTAATAGCTTAAACCAATACCACTGTTACCACACATTTGCTTTCTCTAAGTTAAACCAATATTTACATATCGGGTCAAGTTGGCTCAAGGGTCTGTTGTTTACTAACGGTGTTGCCTTTTTCCATTCTTTTTAAAGTCTCATTATGCATTTTGATCCGCTTCGCAATACTAAGAGATGGAAATTGTGCACGAGTAGAAGCCTCTAGGAGAGTAATGAAATTATATTTGCTCAATTCCGTACTGAGGTCGAGCCTAAAATTAATTTTTAAAGATCAACAGAACGAAAAATATTTGCAAAGAAACATTTGATGCAAAATATTCAAATAGCGATTTTATTTGATGCTCAATGTAGCCACTGCATGCAGCTCGCAACTACAGCTCCTGTAAATTTTGAATAGCGCCATCTATGTGTATTGACTATTGCTCGGCATGCCATACACAATTAGTGTCATATTTTTATATCATTTTGTCAGAGACGATGGTACTCGATTGGTTCAAAACAATTATGCAAAGTACGAATTTACAGTGTGAGTATTGTGGTATGTTTCAGGTATATTGGACAATAATTACAACGGACACCTGGCCAATATCACTAAGGCTCATACCTAGAGACAACAGAGCCGAGGACAACAAGAAAATGTAAGTACAATTAACTTCAGCTTTGAAAACAAATATGTATTTTATTGGTCAAACTGCATTTTTTGTATCTGAAAAAGCAGTCATTACATATTGTCATAGTCTTCCAGAACATTGTGCAATGCACAATAATTATGTTATAATGCAATACCTTCCATACTCATTTCAACATCTCACACAATGTAACGCAAACTGCAAACACCGCCCTCGCGCGAAAAAAAAAATAAAACTTGAAAGTCACCACTTTCATTATTACCGCAAGGCAAACCGCACAACGTGCGCCAATCAAAAAACAACGTATTCTACCGATCAGTGCGCATGCGCCAACTCAACACCCAACCAAACATCACTTCTCGGCTGAATGTAGTCTTCATGGACCTCAATTTTCCGTCGTTGGATTCCGCGAACCGTGAAGCTGTAGGCATCGCTTCGGCACTGTTTCGTTTCCGCGCCATTGGCACAATGAGTACTCACACACAGTGCTTGGAGGCCAAGACTAACCCTACCAACCCAACTATAAGGCGGTGACCGCGTGGGAGGACATTAATAGGGAAGATAGACTACGACGCAGGCGTTTTAGTACACCGTGTTGGAATACTTTGTGTCTTTGGGAGAGTATAGTGACACGCGAGGAGTGGCCATGGGATTTTGAAGGCCAGACAAAGCCAGATCATTCCTATCTTGATAACACACTGCGTCCGTGGTTACCGATTATTTCCACCAGCTTAACTGCGTGGTGAACTATAGTTACTGGCGGATTGCAGTAGCAACTACTCTTATCTCACGTAGAGAGAAGCCCCAGTCTTAAGAAGTGAAGTCTGTATCTCCAATGTATTGACTGCCTCCCTTACAAAAGGATTTCAAGCGACACCACTTCCGTTTCGACGCAAATATGCTGTATCTTCGTATTACTATTACTTTAAGTGCACCGCGGAGAAAGTAAAGTCAACTTTCAAACAATCACAAAGACTGACCGTTGCAGCTGATTGCATCAACGCCGTTTAGAATCGGTCTCTTTTCCTAGCCGTAAGAGAAAATGGCTTCCCTGACAACGGCATTTCCAAACTTTACCTGGAATAACTCCATCGATTACCATGCAGAAAGAGTAGACGCTTATGAGGCTGTTGCCATGGCATTGGTGCTACTTTTTGGTTTGATGGGTGTGATAGGTAACGGAATACTGGTATGTATAGTCTTGCTCAACCCAGATATGCGATCTGTACCTAACATTCTCATCGCAAGTCTTGGTCTTGGGGATTTCTTTGTCGTCATCACCTCAGTACCTTTTACTTTCGTGTCGTACCTGTACAATATCTATCCATTCAGCTCAGCCGTTTGTAAGTTTGCAAACGCCGTTCCTATCGTATCTCATGGTGTCTCGGTCTTCACGCTATCTGCTTTGAGTTACGATCGCTACACGGCTATCGTGAGACCCATGCAACGCCGCAAGTCCAACGCTGTACGTCGAACATACGCCGTAGCGGTTACCATTTGGGCATTATCGGTAACGCTAGGCATACCAACGGCTATACTCGCCAAAAGAGACGTTTTTCACTTCCAAGGTTTCGAGATAGCCATATGTTACGCTTTGCCGGTCAACCTGACTTTGGAGGGAGCCGTTCCAACCACCGCTGCTAAGGTTCATGAAGTGGTTCGATGTCTGATCATGTTCGTCATACCACTGGCCATTATCACCATGTATTACATGCTGATAGCCATGCAACTGATCCAGAGTTCTAAGGCGATTCCCTGCGAGGGGCATGGTGACTCCAGACAACTTCGAGCTCGTCGACGACTTGCCAGGACAGTCCTAGTTCTCGTGGTTATATTTGCTATATGCTGGATACCACACTTTGTATACAGGTAAGCCCTTATAATCTATTAAATTGTAAATACATGTATGTAATCCACGGCTATATAGGCTTTGTAATTCAATTTTAAACCGGAGCTCATTCATCAAGCATAATTAATAACTCTTCATATTTCCCCCGTATACACATTGCTGCATCCGCAACTGCATGCGTGTCAGAGAGCCCCAAGGGAAAAAAAAGTTTGCTCTGAAAGCTAAAAAAAAAAAAAATCGTGTACGATTCAGAATACTGTTATGTGAAAAAGTCAAAGGAGATTGAATATTTTTTACTGCTTGACTGTGTCTTAGATGAGAAATTGTGACAGAGAACCAATAGATTGTGGTGTTTCAACCGCATAAAAAAATTGTATCTCCTTAAAGATTGTGACTTTGCTTTAATTTCATTGGGTAACTTCATCGATAAATATATTAAAAGTAGTATAAGTTGTGATTGTGTACACTCAGGCGTATTCTATATTAAACTCATTTACTGGACAAAATGTCTACATAAGCAATTTAATATGCACTCTTTAAAACAGCGACGGTAGAGTTATGGGATTGATAAGAACTTTTACCCTAAATCTGAAGCGCATTTATCGTGTAATATTACTTTCTACCTCCTGCCGCGAATCACGTGGCTTGCTTCAGTTTGTAACATGAATTTATGTTGCAGTTCAATGGTCCTCAGTCTTCATAGCAAAGACCCCTCAACGCTACACCTGTCTCAATCATTGGCTTGATGGACCCATGGGATTTCTCTGACTTCTATTTTTCCTATGACACGGCAATGATCCGTGACTCTTCAATTACTTTCAATTAAACTGCCATCTGTTTCAGTTACCTTCTCAAGCAAATGTGATAAATCAATTCTGAGTGATACTACTATAGGCTGGTCACATATTGAAACAATCTGTTTCAGCTGCCTTGGACATTGGAATTAGAAAAAAAGATACTTTAAAACCTGAACTCTTTTCCTTTATTTTTCTTTCATGTATGTACACTGTGCAACCGAATTTTGCCTCTTTGTCCTGTGCGGTTTTGCGTCATGAGAGTTAAGAAAGAAACTTAATCAAATTGTTTCTTGTGGAAGAAGTCCGTCCTTAACTTTGCGTGCGGAGGTGGGCATGAGATATACCCATCAGAAAATCGATGAAAACATCACCGTGATCAAGTTGTATATTCCCCGAGGGACAAACACCTGTACATGCTTCAAATCCTTCCTGTTTTTCAGTTAGTCAGACACCTGATCGTTTCTCCGCCTATCTGTCTCTCAGATCGAGATGTTTCCTGCCTCCTTCTTTGTTCAAATTTCCCTACCTTCTTAATAACATCGTCATCCCGACATGCCGTGTATTTCCTCGTGGATGTTTTTGTTTACTTCTCTCGTATCCAATTCCGCTCGCATATTTGCCCCCTGTCCGTATGCTACGCCATAACCCTATTCTCAGCTCGTATGTGGTCCCTGCGGGATTGTACATCCTGCCTGTCCGACCCATGACAAGGGCACATCCATGACTTGTTTTCACGAGTTAGACGTATCGGAGGAAGAAAACGGGTATCTCAGACGGAGCAGAACAAAATGCGATATCCAGAACGCGCCACCGTCTTGTCAATATTGGCGAGATGCTCAAATTTTGTTTTGTTTACTTGTCACGTGCATGGACGCACGGCGCAAAGTGAACATCGACAATGACTTAAAGGCGGAAAGTAACCTTGGCGATTTCGACAAAAATGTTTGTTCTGAATCTCATTTCTGGTTCGTCATTGAAATTATTCGTTAGATTAAAAAATGGATTGGGGAGCAGAACAATTGGTGGGGACTCTCGTCTCAAGGCATGAGACGCGGTAACTTGTAGACATGAACAATATTAAGTGCAGGTGTTCATGACTGGGAATGATTGTTCATACCATGGAAGTGTTCCTTCCTACATGTTCATCCACACACATATCTTGCTGGTTATTTGCACGGTACAGCAATGCCTGTAATCGACACTCTCAAAACACACAACTTGCGTGCATATTGCTCGGTTGCCAGCGCGTCTTCATTTTCTTGGGTAACAGATGCCTGAGTACACGAATGCATTACAATACATCAGTGTAACATTGTCCATTTGAGACGAGGTTAGTTGAACCGGTAATAGCTCGGAGCTATATTTTTTTAATATAAGCCGTAAAATGATTTTCGCAGTTTTTTTTTTCAACCGTCCGTAATATTACATACAAAACTGACATAAATAGTTTTGGAATCCGGCTCTGAAAATTTCGGCCATTGTGTCGTCTATAAATGCATGTACACACGTCAAGTTGAATTACTTAAAGAAATGTTCGAGTTTTTACAACTTTACCCAGCTGAATACTTCAATTTCAACAAACATCAGTTTCCTGATGCCGAGAAGACCAACCGTGTACCTACCTTTTGTCGGTTGTCAGTAATCCCCATAGAGTGTAACGGTGCATCCAGGCGCAAAGTTCGCTCGTAATTTAATGTGTCATTTAGATTGATCGCACAAAAACTCGAATTTCCGATAACAGAGTCCTACACAGTCATTACTCATCAACCTGTCTCGTTAGACCGGGCGATCACCGGGCTCATTTCCAGTGGGCTCTTAACGTCGGAAGCCCCCACGGATGGAGAGACTGCACGCGTTGCAGAAGGCACTCTGGCGTAAAATTAAACTATTAAAGTTCAGTTATCCGAGATTGACTATTAACCACGATTGTCCCATGGGAAGCTAGAAGTGTCAGCTGAAACTTTCATGCATATATTTTAAATCTGAAATTGCACATTATTCAGACCCTATCAATATCATATTTTTTTTTTTAAATCTAAACCGCAAAAAGAGCATAATTTCGTTGGAACTCTAGTCAAAGGATGGGGGCGAGCGTGCCACCTGTGAGCGAGCGTGGAAATGCACCCCTTTTGGACACCGCCCCCCCCCCCCCCCGTGAATTCATCGCCAAGTAACTGAATATTTGACATGAAATTCGATGGGACTGTATCGCGGACAAAAAAATACTCCATTGAAACTATTTCTCAAGATACGGTAGTTCTTCTTGTCTCCTGGGAGAACGCACGAATCAATCGGGATAATGGACTTGGTTATCAAAGGAAAAATTCATGAATTAAAGAAAATTGCAATGCATTGGCCTCGATTATAAAGGGTCATGACAAAAGTCTCATCCTGTTCACTGGGAAATATAACGAGTGAAATAACTCATCGGAGTGGTTCGTGATAGACTGCTAAGTCACAAGTCACAAACTCTAGATTTGTAGGTTGTCCTTTTATACGTCCACCAATTTATCTAAAAACCTTCTTTAAACTTAGCGTCTCGAAGATGACATCCCTCACGCTCGCATATGTGGACGCTCGCATCCCTCAACCATTATAATAAAACCCGATATGAAATTGGGCCCCATGTCTCTGCTAACCACATAATTCCGTGCTTACGATCACCATTTTGTGCTAACCACGCTAGCAGAAAAAATCTGCGCTGTGACCCTGTAAGCACATAATCCGTAGTTATGGAATGTACGCATGCGCAGAAGCCAAAATTCCTCGTTAACACGTGAAATACGCTTACCGTAAGCACAGCATTTTCTGATATAGTAAGCAGGGATTTTTCGCTAACGGTAAGCAGAGCCAAGAAATTGGGCCCTGGACGCTCGCATATCCCTGGACGCTCGCATCCATGGACGGCCTCATATCCCTGGACGCTCGCATCCCCAGACGATGACCATAGGCCTATAGAATAAAAAAAAGACGTCCCTGTACGCTCGCATCCCTGGACGCTCACGTTACTCAGATATGCCACTCATTCTTATTTTGGCTGAACCCGTTTCGTCCATGCAGTTTACTTTTCGGCTCCGACCTCCAACCTTCACTAAGCCATTTCCCTGCCCCAGCTTCGTGCTGAGTTGGTCAAAGAGACATAGATTCGATAATCTTGGCTTTTCACGTGCTTGTCTGGCTGCTGATTAGTGATTCTTTTCACGCTTCACAAGTGTCAAGGATCGATTAATTTCACGCTTTTTGACAATGCCATTCGGCTGGCAAAGTATCGATTAATTTGACAACCTGATTCTAGTATAACTCGGACATTGCACTTCTTGTGATCATTCACAGTACAAAAACAACCCGCTCTGCAAATGACAACGTCCAGGTGTTTTTTTTTTTATAAATATCTATACGGTGTGCTACCGAGAGTGTTTTACCCAAAAGAATTTAATTAGGTCAATATTGTTTGCATTTAAATATGACCGCGAATATGAAAGACACAATAGGTACGTTGCACTTGCCATTTATTAAAAAAATAAAAATACTTCGTGTCACGCACGATTTTCTTTCAGCTGCCGCATGCTGGACTTAACCAATTTGTTCTAATCCTTGGATTGTGACTTCTTGGTGTAGCTTTTATGTTTAACCTACTACATGTATATTTAAATTACACATATCGCTTCTCTTTGGAATATCCATTTATGTATCTAATTAGAATAGTTAGGACGATTTTGGTCAAATATTATGCCTTAGTGTCTGTAGGAATCAGTCATTTTCAAACCCATTACTCACACATTTGAATTCTAATGTAGTCAAAGGTTTTGTTGAGTGAAAATGGTCTCGCTTCTCTTCCATCTTTATACATTTACCCTCTTATCTTTCTCGCCTTCTCAGACCGTAATGGGATGGTTATCGGTCCGAGTAAATTGCCCCGGAAATGTTGCCCTTTTTTTCAAAGCACTTTGTTATTCCAAAACTCTCAGAACATTTCCAGGATGAATTACTTCCTTTGACGATTCACGATCGTTGTAATTACGGATAAAATGTGTCTATTAGATCAAGGAGTGCCGAATGGCTGAGAGTATGCCTCTCACGTTATCACGGTTCCAGTTATAATTGGTTTGTGTTGATGATGATTAATCATGGTGGACGGACTTGGTGAACTCTATAGACAAGGCTTTGATCAACAAATACCGCTGAGATAACTCGACAGACCATCTTATTCGTAAGGATTGAAG